AAAAATTTTTCCTGTGCATCAAAATTCAGAAAATTGTGTACCTTAGGAGAACAGGTATTAGTTTGTGTAGTGTAGAACCTTTTCCAAAACCTTTTTGAACTAAATCAGAAATCCTTAAAAATCCTGATCAATCCTATCTGATTAATTCTACCTCCTTTTTTGTGAATGCAACACTGTGTTTCTCTGTCTCCATCTCTGGAACCAAACCTTACAACAGTTGAATTCTAGACACAATTATTTATATTCTCCTTGTGTTCCTGCATTTTTCAGCGATTGAAATACTGACTTCAAGAAAAACCTGTGTACAAAATTTATCCTGTGGACTTATTTTTTCCATCTCTGGAATTCTCATGCCAAAAAATCAGTGTACCAAAAATTTACAGCGAATTGTTGAGAACCTTATTTTTCTCCTCCTCTGGAACCCTTGTACCAAAGAATCTGTGTTTGAAAACTGAGAATTGTGTGTGTGTCTGTGAAACGCTTTTTTTTTAATTTTTGATCCTGTGTGTATTGTTCCTTGTACTGTTTTTACAAAAAAAGAAAGGTCACCACTAGTGGGGAGAAATCCCTGGTCCATTTGCGCCCAGCCAATTGCTGTGTTTAATTTGACTATCAAATTCTTATTTCCTGAAACTCTGCTGTAAATCACACTAAAATTTCAAGGTGTAAGGCTTGATAAATTCATTGTGAGAGTAAAACCTTACAAGAACACAGCATATGTGAAAAACCCTTCTGGTTAAACGGAAAATATGCATTTATAATAACTAATTGACTTTTAACACAATTTCTGCAGTTGCCAATAACAGAGTTCATTGTCCGACACATACATAAGTAATTGTGCAAAAAATGTGCCTGACGAGGTGTCCATTATTTAGCACAATACTGTACTGTATTCCAAAAACAGAATCATGAATTATCGTTCATTGCGTTCTCCGATTATAAGAATTTCATACCCAAATTCGTTCGTTGCACCGCATCAAGTAGGTTTTTTCTTCTTTCCTCGGGATTTACTAAAGATTTTTGTGACTATGTAGACTTCATTCGTAATTAGTACACGATGAGCAGCTCAGCCCAACAGGGATTATTTGCATGTAAAAATCAACGATTTGCGTCCATCAAACAAGTTGACATTCCAGAATAATCACAAGAGATTTTCATCAGCGAAGTTCGTGAGAAAGCGGGTAATCGGGTTTCTGCGTCTATCTTCGGATTGTCGGACTTGTCACGACTTTTCGGCGACTGGCTGATGGGTGACCTTTCATTTCATTTCGTCCCATTGTTGATATCCAGGAACCTGAGAAAAGCCTGCTTTGCTTGTTTGTTTGATGCATGAAAGTAATTAGGCGTTTCATTGTTGGAAATTAGCTCAATTCATTTTTTTTTTTCGATGCATGTACACAATTACCTGATGAAGCTGGCGGACTGCGAAGAAGGGTCTTGATATCCTCCCGGTGGGGCAAATTTGTCTCCACCAATTGCAACGCACTCAATCCTTCGGGCGTTTTCAAGTACACATCGGCGCCATAATTGAGCAAAACTCGAAGGACAGGAGTAGGATCTATTCCATTTCCCACAAGAGCCAAATGAATGGATGCCCAACCATCCCATTTCCTTGCATCAGGATCCGCCCCGGCCTTCAACAAGGTTTCCACAACATCGGCAAATCCACGGAATGCGGCTTCGTGAATCGGCATCGCACCTTCGGGGTCGAAAGCCGACACTTGAGAGCTGGAAATGTCGGGGTACTTGACAAGATTTTTCACTGCAGCAGCGTTGCCGAAACGGGCAGCGAAGTGCAGGCGTGTGCCGGTGTAGGGGTGTGCTGGGGGCGACGAGGATGGTGCGAGAATTTCTGCAGAGGTTTTTGCTCCCCGAACTGCATGACTTCAGGCGACATTTTTGAGTTTTTGGCCAAGTCTAGAGGTGAATAATTGGTCCAATCTGTCAGCAAATTCACGTCGGCTCCTTGGTCCAGCAAAACCTGGAAAAATCCAAAATTTCTGTGAAATTTTTTGAAAGAAATCAGTTGAACTACAATTTAAGGGCACCCTTTGTCCTGGCACAAAATTGAGGGTATTGTGACATAAGGATTTGTTGAGGGTTTCTACTGTAGCAAAGTAAGCTTGTTCACAGAATTGTTAGGACACTCAGTCTGTTTCATGACAGAGAAAGTAACAAGACACAAGGAAGCTCAGATCTACTGCTCTTTCATGTTTCCAAAACGGATTAATTTCATTATTATGCGGTGATCCACTGTAATTGACACGATAAGCGCATGGCTTAGTATAATCCCAGAAAAGTGTATACCTTGATGACAGAAAGAGCGTGAATTCCAGGTCGCATTGCCAAATGCATCGCCGCCCATCCATCGTCTTTTTTGGCATTGGGATCAGAACCGTATTTCAGGAACTCTTCAACCACTGCAGCGAATCCATTGAAAGCTGCTTCGTGAATCGCTTGAGAGCCAGAAATCTTCTGCGATGGGTCTGCGCCGCATTTCAGTGCTATAATTTCACCTATTTTTTTTTTAGCAAGGGGAACCAAATCGAAAGTTTACGGTTAATATACGTTTCTGATTACTCTCGAACATAAAACTATGTTCTGAAAATAATATTTATTACTTTTTCCAGTCGACAAACGTTCAAGTACTGTCCTGGAAGAAATTGACAATAAAAGGAACAATGAAACCGTTGATAAATCGCCATTCGATGCCGCCGTCCGAATTGCGGAAGGATTCCGATGTTCGCATCGCATCCAGAAAATTCTTCATTCACCACATGGTCAGCTTTATTTTCTATGTGAATCGATTACTTTCCATTAATTGATTCTTTCCAGTAATTGACACTTACCTTTCGAATACAGGTGGCTACGAATAGAAAGGTGCACCTCATTGACGAAACACATCTTTATTTCTCACAAATTCTCTGGAAAAACAGAAGATGAAAATATAAAATACGCGTTTCATTATGAAACTACAACTTTGTACTCTATATACAGCAGTGATTTTCAGCATTTCGAATCAATGGAGCTGTTTTTAATACCGCATTTTTTTGAATTGATTCGAGTTTGTTCAAAAATCAATCCCCACTGAAGTCCACATGAGTCCTTCGTTCGCCGAATTTGGTATACAAGATATTGTTCTGAGGTCCAACGAAAGAAAATTTTGCCATTGTTCCGTTTTGTATTTTAAAAGAACGTTGCGCGTTCGTTTTTCTAGATTGCATCAATTGCTAGGTTTTTCTCACCTGGAGTTTCTGAAGTTGTCTTCATCTTGATTAAACAGCTTCTGAGATGCTAGTTATTTTACAAATGGCGTGAAATGATATCAGGAGTAATAGATAAGTTTAAAAATATCCATGCTACGCAAAATTTTGCAAATGTCTCCATCGCTGTCTCGTTTTGACGAGATTTCTTTGAATCATTGAACTTTTGAGCCCCCAGCTGTAATAATAAGGTTGGCCAAATTTCAAATATGTCCGTAACTCGGAAAAAAATTCGACTAGTAAACGTCCACACGTCGAAACTGATATTGATAAATGAAGAAAAACTTTAGCGACTCATTCAAAAGAATTCGGTTCACCTTCACTCGACCACATCTTACCCAAATGAAACACAGAAAATTACGAGAAACTCAGTTGATTTTCTGAATAATAAATAATGGAAGAATGCTGGAATGAACTTGTTTTCAACTCGCCAATCTTGAGCCCAGTCGGATTACTGTACTTCGTCACTATACCGCGATTGAGAATCTTATTGAAAAACTCGATGAAAAGCCTGAAAGTCGCACGGAAGTGAATTTAAAGCGAGGTTTCTCTTCTCAAATATTTCCAGTAGAATCTCGAATTTCTTGCTCACCTCTATTGCTATATCATCCAAAAGATTACATAAAACTGCTTAGAAATTGAACTTTTAAGCCTCATTTTCAATTTCTCCTGATATTTCATAGTTTAACGAATCCTCTGAAAGGTTGCGTGAGTTACAATGACGATTTCTCCGTCAAGTTTTCAACAGAGGCAAAAAATAATAAGCTGTCTGATTAATCGGATTATGGATTAAGGGCTATGGCTTTTTACCACAATTACATGTTCCTTTGGACAGCGGATTCTGTTTCGAAAAGTATACGGCTTTGAAATAACATCCTTCTTGATTCGGAAAATATGGAAATTGCCCTCGGAAATATTGTTCCCAGCATCATTTTGAATTTTTATACAGTAACAGTACTTTTATTGGGCCACTCAATTGTTACAAGAAGCGTTGCCTTCCTCGTTCAGCGATAATCTTGCAATATGTTCAGCGTTTATAAATATTTTTTTAATTAACGTGTAATTCCTCATGGGAGTCAGATTAAGGGAGTCCATTGACCGAGTCACCACTTGATTATTCAACACTAGACCGAACCATCAACCACTTGGAAAAGTTACAACTCCTATAGGTCGGTTTGGCTTCTATGTTCAACACAGAATGAGTAACAGTTGTCCCAGAACCAGTAAAGACGGCTGGGGCCCTGGAGAAGAGAGGGTGCATGACATCAGGAGCTCAGGGAACAGATGGCACACTTCAACTGGGAAACTCTCTCCCCCTTTTATTTGTACTTGCCCAGTTAAAAAGAAATCCTTTTCCTGTTCAAACTGGCAAAGCTCCAAGGCCAGCGGAAATCGAGCCTCCAAGGCCTAAAAGTTCAGGGAACCAATCCGCGCACAGATTGGGGAAAGTTGGGGGAAGTGGAGGACAAAAATCGGGAAAAGCGCACCACCAGAGCTCAGAGAAAATTGGGCAATCCAGAAATACAATAAACTTGGAAATTTGTGCTAGAAGAAAGCAAAAATTGATAAGTTTAAAAATATCCATGCCATGGAGCAATACTATTTGACAAGCAAAATATCGGGAAAAAACACTGCTAACACACAAGTAAAATTTAAATTATACTGGATAAGTGCAGTATACACACAATTACAATTTTCACAAGATTCCTCCACGTTTTTAAAAGCCTGGAGAAATCAGCCAGTAGGGGAAACCTGTTTCTTCCTGAGGAAAGGATCCAAATCCAGAGGCAGGTCAGCGTTTGGATCTTGTTCGCAAATCGCCAGGTCTTCATATAGCTTCTTTTTTGATGCTTCATCACTTGTGCAATCCAGTCCTCGATTTTTGAGCAAAAGTGCGTGATCAGCACAAGAAAGCACTCCGTCTCCATTGCAATCCTAGGAGAAGAAAGAGCATAAGATTCATGCATTTCATCCAGAAACGCGACAGATTTTAACTGAACGTTACCAGCTGGAACGAGAGTAATAATCACAAAAGGCTTCTAAATAATTTATAATTCCTCAGAATTTGGTTGAACATTTTCTGAATGAACAAATTGTTTTCTGCTTTTGGGAAACCGTCACTATCCCCGTGCAACGAAAGCCCGGGACACGAAAGCCCCGCGTGACAATAGCCCTGACACAAAATCCCCGCCATACCCACTCACAGCTGTAACAAAATCCCCGAACTTTTTTTCAGGATTGGTAGTCTTGGTAGTCAGTTTGGTAGTCGCCGCTGGTTAAACTTCATTACTTTGCTACTGATTGAGGGAAGTACACCAGCTCTTCGATTTTTTTTAAACAATAACAAATTGAAACAAAACAAATCACATAGGATTACAAAAAATTTCAAGAAAAAAGAAAAAAACGGGACAAGTGTTTATTTACACTAATAGCGATTCCAGGCTTCACTGAAATTGTTTGTCCTGCCAAGATCATTGAGCACAGCCTGATGAATGTTCCACTTCTGTGGCAAAAATGTTGGGGGTTGTCTGGTGAGAACAACTGGGGCAATTTTTCTGAGTGCTTGACTTGATGGTTGTCCAACTGGAGCAGCTGACTTTCTTCTGCAGATTCTTTGTCTACGAACGTAATTGATGTCAAAATACTAGAAAATTAGTGAATATTACTAAAATTATTTCAGATGTTTATATTGTCCCCTTCAATAGTGAAACTTGGAAACTCTCAATCATCAAGTTACTATAATTTATTGCTAGAAATATTTTAGTTTCTCCCTAAATACTGTTGTATAATACTGTTTTGCAAAGGGATGTTGCAAAATCTGAAAATTACCTTGGAATGTCATCGCCATCAATTGCAACTCTGGCAGAGTCATACCCTTGATACCCAAGCCTTTGCAATCTTTTTATGAGAAAATCTGTAGAGAACTCTTCTTACGGGTTGGAAAGAAAAATCCCACCATTTGGCTATTAATTCACTGCCTGAAACAAGACGCTGCATCAGTTGCTACAACGCTGAAGAAATTTGACGAAGATGGTGTCATTCCACATAAGCAAGTGTCGACTTTTGAAAGAGATTGCCAGAAAAAACTGCGTCAATTGTGCAAAGATTATCAAAGCCGACTTATTGAATGCTCGGATTTCTTGGAAAATATTTCAAAGACTCTTAATTTTTTTTAAATAAAAACTGTTCCCCCTTTTTTCTTTTTTTGAATTTTTTTGTAATCTTTTGTTATTTGTGTTGTTTCATTTTTTTTAAATCATTGTTTTTCTTCAAGAGCTCGTGTACTTCCCTCAATCAGTAGCAAAGTAATGAAGTTTAACCAGCGGCGACTACCAAACTGACTACCGAAGACTACCAGTCCTAAAAAAATGTTCGGGCGGGGCTTTCGTTACAGCTGTGCGCGGGTATGGCGGGGATTTCGTGTCAGGGCTATTGTCGCGCGGGGCTTTCGTGTCCCGGGCTTTCGTCGCGCGGGGACCCCGTTACAAACCCAGTAATTCCGTATACAGTGCATCCAAACATGAAGTGGCATACTACTATAGCCAGGGCCAGGGGCTTACCGTATATGAAACATGGTTTTAAATGCAGTATCACAAACTAGGAGTATAACGGATTGCAAAAATAGATCCAACAGATGTATTCAAATATTTTTTTGGAAAGATCTTCGGAGGCGCCACGTGTACACACCTCGCGCAAATTGATCCTGGGGATGATAATCTGCTCCGGATTGATCCACGGTTTCCAATGAGGCGAGTTCAAAGCTTTCCACGTTCCATAAGCGTGTGCAGCAATTTTTAACCGCTTAATCATCTATCGAGGGAACGATGGGATTTAAACCATTTTATTTAAAATTGTCTAAAGTAATTTAATTTAATTATATCGCGTCTTTTGAGCTTTGGCTTACCTGAGGAGCGAATATGTGGGTAACTTTGTTAACCAACCACGGCGGCAATTTACCCCGGGGATCCGTTTGTGAAACATACCACAGCTCTGAATCGTTTTCTCCGCTCGGACGAATGATGTATCCTGAGAATACTCACGTTTCAGAATTCAGAACGATCAACGATTTGTCGGTATACAATTTTTTACTGAGCAACACGTTTCATTACTCAAAATTTGCATCCGCGTTAAAATGTAATTCTGCAGCAAAATAATATCTTCAGATTCCAAGTTGAACTGGCTCAATCAAAAATCGGCCATGTAAAAATTGAATAAAGATTCTTTATCCCTCAAAAAAAAAATATCAGCAATATTCAACAACGTCGGATGAAGAAGCGTTGAAAGCGTCTATTGAAATAAACCTGTTATGTAGGAAGTAGCACGAACAAAGCCTTTCCTCGGCGGGTATTTCTCATGGAACACGGAGTGATTCAGAACCAAATATTCGTTGCCAGCATCCAACCAAGATCGTTGAACAACAAAATCCCTGTTCTTCAGCGGCGGTGGACATTTTACTGCAAGTGAGAGGCGAACACATTTTCAAAATGTAATTTCAAGGGCTTCAACAGACTGTCAGCCTGTCAGCAGAACATTCAATCGCAAACCGAGCAAAAGTTTCGATAGAAATTGTTGGTAAAGCGGTTCTGTAAACCGATTCGGTTTTCTTCAATCAGTCAAGCACGAGTCGCCTGTTCAATGAAAGAAAACCAAACAGTACTGAAAGTAACAACTAATGCCACGGGACTCCACATAACCTAAACGGAACCAAATCTGGCACATTTTAACTAACACAAGCAGACAACGTGGGTTCGCTATTCGGAAACCTAATTAAGAAGACTTTACTTACGGCAAAGACAATTAATTCGTGACGTCAAAGTTTACAACGAAAAAAACCCTTCACACATGCGAACACGTGGCCAGCGCTTTCAATCACGGTTTCCTTTGTCCTAATTCTTTACAAAACCCATCAGTTTTCAGATTTTTTCAACGTGTACATCACCAACAATTCAACAACAAAAAATCATTAAACATCGTATCATGCAGAAAAAAACCATTCCAACACCGAGACATACGAGTACAGTACATTAAAAAAGTAAATTATTGAAGACAGAGTTTTTCGAGGTCTGAAAAGGTACAACAGCGTTCAATATAGTTATTTTTTCCCTTCAAAGGCGGAAGGAAATAATGCATGAAATGAAGACCTACATGCATAATAGCCAATGTCGTTGTTTGGGTTCAGATAACCGATCTCGAAAGATTCGATCATGTGGGTGTCCCACTCCTTCCGGTAGTTCGGATCGTGGAGGACGTCGAACAACAATGACGGTGGCACGTCACTCAATACACCGCACAGCTGATTAAACAAAATGCAACACTTCGTGCTATACACGAAATCCCATCGAAAATCAAGCACACTTTAAGAAGACACAGTAAATCATCTTATAATAAGCGATCTTCAGAAGTCATGCAGTCAATAATATCCATCATAGGCAGACACCGGAATTTCGACCAATTTTCAGACAAGTGTTTCATTTCATAAATCAAATGCCATCCTGCAACAAATAGATAAAAAATTAAGATAAAAATTATTTCCGGAGCCTCCATTTAGACAGTATTTTATTTTGATCATCAACAAACCTAATGATCAAAATGAAAAGCCTCATGCTTTAATATCTGCAAGACTTCCGAGATATCCCTCATCATTCTTGAACCGCGCTTGTCCTACAACCGACAAGTGCAGCAAAGGTGATTTCGGCGTTCAAGTTTTTGAAGAATTATCTAATTATTGAAAAACATTAATAACTGCGGAATGAAAGTACCGTATTTACTCAAGTACTACGCGCCCTCAAGTAAGGCGCGCACAAGGGTTTTCAGTTGGAAATTTTGCTAAAATCTTATCCCTCAGTAAGACGCGCACCCCAATTTCTAGTGACTCTAAACCCACAAAATTTTGCAAATAGAAACAAATGATTTGACTTTAGACATGAATTGAACAGAAATCTCATCAATTTTCAACTTTTTCTGTAAAAAAAAGTTTTCTTGTTACACTTGTTTTTCTCCATTGTAATAAAGTATAACGCACACTTCACTTCCTAAAACTTCTTGGAAAATTTGTACCTGCTTATGATGCGCACCCCTTTTTTCTTCTGAAATATGAGAAAAAATGTGCGCGTGGTACTCAAGTAAATACAGGTAATAACCCTCTTTGTACACAATGAAACAACCACAGTTTCTATGATAAATTTAGAGGGATATCAGTTTTCATTAAATACGTAAATAAGCAAAAATAAATAAAATCAAATTACAAGAGGTCACATTCAAGCGCCTCAACAGCTGTCTTTTTCTTGACGATCTCTGGAAACACTCCCACATGAACACCGTTCAACACAATTCTTCCATCATTATTAAAAAAAATTTTTTTTAGGAATGCCGATGAGTATTCGATAATTGAAAGTTAATTATGAAATTTCATCTAGTGAACAAATAAACGAGACACCGATTCAGTAGAAATGCCAGAGGACAAACCTTGATAATTTTGAAGTTTGAATTACAGCCAGGTTTCATCCAAACTTTGACGGAATTTTTCGAGTATTCCAGTTTCCAGCCATCCTTTTCCGTTTCGTCCGCGAGTCTCTTCAAGAACGCAAAATCCTGATCTTCCGCGACACAAACGCATCCAACAGCGGGCATAATTCGAAACAACAAATGATACAATCTAAAAAAAAAATTTGAACAATATATAACAGATGGCAACAGCTCGGAAGCGGCGTTCAATAATTGATCAAAAAATGTGCAACGAAATCATGTTCTCGTACTTCTCGCACAACAGAAAAAATTAATCGTCGCTCACAAACCCAAACACGCAATCCAATAAAAATGCACCAACCACACATCACTGACTAGATAAATTCGTGATACACTTTACAAAGTTTTCTTAAGACTTTCCACAGCATCTTGTCTGAAGGAGAAGCATGCACACAGCCAAATTGCGTCAGAGATTTCCTCCTTTACCGCAGCTATGAAACAAAATACGATTCTTCGCTGCACCATTTCAGTCAGGCATGTCAATGTGGACAACTGGCATAACTGCCCGCAGTTCGGGTTTCTTGAGGCGGGAAACATTTCCGACGGACCGATCAGTGTTTCCATCCATGGAGTCTATAAATGAGAAGAAACAGGATTATTTTACGAAGTCGCACGTACTTTTAAAATGTAACTACTGTACAGTATTATCAGATTCCATCCCATGAAGCAAGAAATACTCTACAAAAGAAAGGAAGTTAGCAGGCCAGCCTCTCATTCAGTAAACCAGAATCGAGTGCCAACAAAAAAACCCAGCCTATAAATAAAATTTGCCAGTATGATTTTATGAATTTTTTCGGAGGAATATTATTTTACTGACGAAAGTAAAAGCTTCCATCCTGAGATTCTGCACTGAAATTAAGTTCATCGTGCCCAATACGCCAGCTCATGCTCATTACACAAATACTGTAATAATAAGGTAAGTGATCATCAATCACTGGAAAATTCAGACACGAGCCCCAACACGCCATATGCTTCACGAAAAAAATGAAAATCTCACGAACAAACAAGGAATATGGCTGGCTAACACTTCTTATGTTCAAAATTGTTTCTTGTCTTTTTTTGTGTTTAATATTATATTCATTCAAGGATTTTCTTCAAGAAGTACATGCTTCAATATAAAATCTGAATTTACAGTTTTGCAGTAAGTATTGCTGCAGACATTTCTAGCAGTGCCTTTATGAGAATGTTTTTATAGGATTGATATGATTTAAATCGGCCGCAGAACAATTTCGAAAGATAAGTGGGATAGTCCGATAGACCATATGAACTCATGGGCGTTATTTTCTGAGGTACGGCTTTCGGAATTAATTTTATTACCTCTCTTGCGGTAGGGCTAGCTTTGCTTCGAGCCACAAAATTTGATGGGACAATAAACCAACAGTTCAGTACCTCTTTCTGCATTTCAGAATAAAAAAAGAAAGAATAAATGGGGAGGGAAAACACTTGAATTAATTGGTTACTTAAAATCATAGCTTTTAAATAATAAAAAAAAGCTTCTCAAGTATGAAAATGCAAAAAATTTGACTTTGACCAAGAATTTTAAACTTCTCCTTTGACACGTGCAATCTCATCTTTCAATGAATAATGCAGCAGATGTTGAGTTAAGCAATGCACGCACAAATGGTTTTTTTTTATATTTCATACTATAAAAATTAAAAATAAGACTCAACGAATAGCAGATGATCTAAATCTGGAGGACTCCACCCATTTATTTAAAAGCAAAAGAACGCAAAATAAATCAAGTAAAATAAATCTTCCCGGAAGACGAGGGCATCTTTACCTCAGCCCGGTCATATACTGTATAATTGAGTCAACTACATCTTACAGGATCAAAACACGAGGGTACATACCTCGTCCACGTCGACTTGATCGCCGTCCTTCGCTCGGAGATTGTAAAGAATATGATACATTGCCATATTCTTGCAAACACGGACAAATTCCTAGTAGAAATTGACAGAAATCCTTCCTGATGCCAAACCACCCTGTACAAAAAAAAAAGATATCAAAAAGTAATGAACATATTGAAATCATCAACTCACAATGATTTCCACTTTTGGACTCAAACGCAAGGAAAATCAGCGTTGCGAACGAAACGAACAGGGGCGTGACAACCGCAAGGAAACTGAAGGATGCTTCTTGTCCGTCCAACTTGTTTGCCAGAAGTACCTGGTAAAATAATAACGCACAATTTTCAGCAGAAAGAAAAGATTAATTGGGAGACTATGAAGGGCTAAGATACGAAAAAGCTTTTTAAAAGTTGATATCTTCTGAAAATTTTGAGGAACCACCTACAAGAACAAACACTCTTCAATAAAAATTGATTCTATTATCGCTTGAACTATAATGCTGTGTGTTTAATACGGTATTCAGTAAATGATCATGTCAATTTGATGGACAATCACGACCATTGAAAAAATAACAAAAAAATTTACCCATACTGTAATTTCCATCATCTGCATTTTGATTTGTATTCTTGCGTTATTCTAAATTCCAAAAGTTCTGATTCAGTGCATTTACCATATTGTCAAAAAGAACGGAGGCCACATTGAGGATTCGTTCAAAATAGGACCTGAACTCCTGGGACTCACGTAATCAGCAGTCCAACAATTGAAAAGTTAAAAAGCAAGTGGGAGCTTTTTTATGGGCAGTTTTTCCCTGAACAACCCTGGTAGCCACTGTAATGCTGTTACAGCTATAAAATATTAAAATTAGAAATACATGGTTCGCTGAGTCTCCAATTGGCATCCTGAAACATTCGTGAGAACACTGATCGAATCTCCCGAATGATTTTGTTGGGCAACCGTGTTGTTGAACTACATCTTCAATGCAACTCTTTTCGAAGACGGGGTGAACAAACCTGGAAAACGAGCGTAGGAAGGACAAGAAATGCATAAGCGATGGCTGTATGCAAAGAGGCACGTCTGTCGTGCTGATTCACTTCAGTCGTTCGCCACAGGAGGGACGCAAAAACCAGCGAGTAGAGCACGGCAACCAGCGAGACACACATAATTATCCACAGCGGGATAAAGACTACTTCCCAACTCCATGTAATGTACCTGAGAAACAATACGGTACAGCATTTCACTCAACACTTCAATTTACTGACCGCATTAAAACGTTTCCAACTATTGTCAAGAAACATGTGAAACACCCAAGACTTTTCCACGCATCTTTCGTCATCAAAATCTTGGATTAAAAGCCTTTCAAGTGAATCACAGAATGCATGCATTGTATCGGCTGGTTAAGAATGCAGTACTGCAATTGAACTCTCCTTCAATCTACAGGGTAATTTACGCGCTACTCCAGGGCTTTTCAACCGGTGGTACGCGACTACTGTCCCCAAAAATACAAAAAATGGGAACTCACTCGGCAAAGGCAAAAACTAGTTTAATTTCTCATTTTTAATATTACTGTATTATCATTTTTATAGAATTTTAGCTCAGGAAGATGTGTATTTTTTGGCCTAGATTCCCTCTTGTCCAACATTAATTATATTGTACTTCTGGGTTGATTTCTTACATTTGCAAAATGGTGCCTGTCTTCTGCTCAATGGATGAACAGTGAAACAGTGTGCAATTCTTTTTTAATGCTGAAAAATATTTCCTGGATTCAAAAATGGGCAGACAAGTATCCTCAGCATGATATTTCAGGATATAATTCAAAAATGTATGGCACAGTGAAAAATTGGTGATTCGAATGTGGAGTTTTTCTACCTTGCCCCGCACCAAGAGGATGTGCAACTGTCTGCCCTTCCTTTCAATTCCAAACATGTTTTTCCAAATAAAGTTTCACATTTTTCAGAATAAAAATATTCATACTGTTCACCTATCGAGCAGAAGACAAGCACTATTTTGCAAGTGTAAAAAAGGAATCCAAGAACATAATGCAATTAATGTTAATGCAATTAATTAATTCAATTAATGAGAGAATCTAGGCAAATTATTACAAATTTTCCTGGGCTACGATTTTGAAAAATGAAATGAAAAAATTGAAGATGCAAAAATTACCGGACTTGTTGCCTTTGGTGAGTTATAGATTGTTGTACTGTTCGAGTTGTCAGGGAATCCAAAAAATGGCTTGGATGTTGTTTAGTGGTTGGATTATTCCTAACTCATTTAGTAAATTGGTGACAATTGAAGAAAAAAATGTTCAAGCTTTCCATGCAGCTTTCAAAAGACAAAAACCCTGTTGATCACATGAAAATAAACAAATTATTTTGTACTTGTAGTAAACAATTATTTTGTTTCATTAATAAGGTTAACTCATCATTTTATTAATAAGGTTACCTCATCAATTTATTGCCAAAAATCCAAGGCAATCTTGAGACCGTTCCTAAAATTATGCCAATATCAAATCCTAACAAAAAAGTAATTTTAATCATAATCCAATGATATGCAATTATTTTTCTGAATCCAGAATTTCTTAAACTGTGCATCAAGAGTAATACTGCTTCAAGCATAGCAATTAGGGAGCAGCACATCTTCATATCATTCCAAAATTAAATTAGGTTTGTTGTATAATTTAATGGATAATTTTGTGCATAAAACTTCAAAAGAATGAACTGAAAGGCTTCGCAAAATGAGGAAAAAGTTCTGCAAACAAGAACAAAATTAAGAATCAAAAAGGTTGAACCCTTGCATATGCATTATTACAAAATATTTGACAAATTTTTTTTATAAAAATTTATTTTTTAAATCCTAGTTAAGTTTATAAATGATTTATTTAGAAGATTAACGGAACATTCACTTTTTCTTACAAAAAATGATGGCCAAAGAGCACACAAATGTTGAGACTTTGAAACCTAAAAATGTGTTTATGACTCTGCACAGCTTGAAATTTCTATGTGGGTTTTTCAATACCTTATCTAAGCCTCCAAAGCTTGCAAAATTTTTTTACTCTTGTCAACACATGGAATTCTCTGCTAAAAATCCATTCTTCAACATTCCCTGTTTCAACTTAATTTAAATCCTCAAGACCTTGAAAATTTTATGAATTATGATGATCACTAATTCCATAAAAAAATTTGATTTAAAAAGGTAATTAAGAGGATCTTCAAGTACTGTACAGAATATCTCAGAACATACGGTCTATTATATTATTTACACCCACATTTCAAGTCACCAGTTTTACGCAACTGTTTTAGTGGATAAAAAGTGGCTCATGCCTCAAAAAGGTTGAAAACAAACCAGCGCTACTTGACCCTGAATAGTTTGGGGCGTTCAAGTAATAGGATCATGAAATTTGTGTTCAAGAAAGAAGATAAAATTTGAAACAAAAAACATTTTCTCGCGTCATTCTAAAAAAAAGGTGTTCGGGAGAGGAAGGGGGATACAGTATTATCGCCACCTGTACCTCGATATTAATTGGAAATCCCTGACATACATTTCCAGAACAAGGATCACGGTAGATTAAATGAAGGTTCTCTACTGTCCATTACATCATAAGAGAATACATCACACTAATTTCCCTCCCGAAATACTCCGCTTTTTTTTGGGTCCAGTAGCGAAATTCAGTAATTGCACTGAATCTAGAGGATAGCCGAGTGCATTGTGAGAAGCGTTTGAGAAATTTCTCACGTACCGAATGGATAAACAAATTTAAACTGAATAGTTTGGAATAATGACAACTCACCCATCGAGCTTGAGCGCAAGGAAAACGAACTGGACAACATTCACGGAGCAAAAAAGCTCCAGTTCAAAAGCCCGATCGTGCTTCACTGCCCACAGACAAACAGCAATGGAAACGAGCGACAAAAGTAGGAGAGGAACGAATGTCAGGGTCCAGAGGTAACGCTTCGAACCCGATTCAAGCTGGGCGCAAACGAGGACTTCGAACATCACCAGCAAGACATGCATTCCGAGGCAGACGATCATCGCCTTAAACTCGACATCCATATCTCCCTCCCGCCTTGCCTGATTTCATAAAAAAAAAAAAAAAAATTACAGAAGATGAAAATACTTTCAACTTCGCAAGCCGCATCAACATTTCAGGGAAACCCAGAATGGTTCAAACTGTTTAAAGAATATCCAATGAAGTACCTGCGATTTGAGCCAAACTATGCTTCCGACTAGTCCACCAGCAAATACAAGCAATTTCCAGATCCAAAGAGGCAGAAAAACGGTCCAGAAGCTCCATTTTATACTTCCATCCAGCTTTAATGCGAATAGCGCAGTGAAAACCATCAAGCAGGAGTACACCACCAACTTACTGAAACAAAAAAGAAACGTAATCGATTGGAGAACGCCTTTGGTTTCGAACTAATGTACAGTATATCAAGGAGCAATTTTTCATAGATTAAAACTTCAATTCATTGAGTGGGTGACTCAAAAAATATATCTTCATAAACCTAGTGTCATCGATACCGCGCGCGATACAACAGAAAATCATAAGTGCTTCGCAGTACATACTTGAGTTACACAGACATAAAATCGAAAATTCTAACTTGATCATCAAGATCATGATGCGTTCAAGAAATAATAAATGGCGCCTTGAATTCGCATGCAAAATTATACTTCAATAAGTGATCCAATATGCGCACCGTGGTGCACGCATGAAAATTTTAAATATCTCATTTATATCTCTCACCCGATGAGGTCAAGTTTACAACATTACGTATATCACTTTATCACGAAAATCAGATCATTCGAAGTGCAAATGTGAGAGAAAATCTGGCTCTTTGTGGAGTTGGCGTTTCCGAAGTAACATGTTCATCAGAATATTGCTCGCAACGTTAATTCAGTCTTCATTTTTTATTGAACCGAACCTCTATCTGCGGTTTGGGATTTCAATGAACCGTGGTAGAGGCGATGATAATTTGAAAATTGCGCCTTCTTCAATGAAGCTGGCAAATAGTTCTCGGCATAAACTAAGAAACGCGCCTTCATCAGCTTTTTTTTCAAGTTTAAGGGGCTAGAAAATTGAGAAGAGTCTCAACATTGACAATTCTTGCACAATATTAGCATTGCGGGGTAAAATACATTCCAGGCACTGAGGCACTAATCAGGTTCAAACGAAGTTTTCGCAACCACCCGTAGCAACAATCTATCTATACAGCCAAAAAGGATTGAAAAGAATCAGCAAGTGATCACAACTCAAATGAAATGGTGCTCGCTACGAAAAAGCCGATATTTTCAAAACGGCCGTGCATGCATCCATTACAAAAGAGTGAGTATCACTCGCTGACCTCTGCTTATTTTGAAACCACAGAGACATCTTTGTCCACCACCAACCCTCACTTGATTACCTGGGATTCAAATCTTGAAACATCCGCTGAAAATTCATCATTTTTTTCACCAAAAAACTTCTTGCCGCGATCTCATATTCTCCTGTAATGAAGAAAAAGACCACGATGGACACACGAAAATTGGATGGTGGAACTTTTGAAAGACAGCAATAATCATTCACACTATTCTCAATGTACACCGCATAATGAAGATGAACGTTCATACAATGGAACACTCGACGTCGAGAAGATCAGTGTCGTGGCTTCTTCGAATCCCTGTAGAGAAAAAAAATATATACATATTTATTTATGCTCTTCAAAAAAATTGGAACATTTCTGCAATTCTGTCGAAGACATTACCCTGAAGAACTACCGCCCCCAGCTTTTCGCTTTTCGAGCATTCCTTGAATTTTCTTCCACTCCCGATCGAGTTCCGCACGTTCGTTCTTATCATTTTTCGGCAATTTCTTGCTCTTGCGACCATCGGCCATCTTGACACCATATTGGAAGGCAGCTTTCGGCAACGCTTCCTTTTGACTCATGTAATCACTGTATTCTTCTTGCGTATCGAAATCCCATCGCCCAACTGGACCTTTTTTGTTGCCCTAAAATAAAATACATTTTTCAAATTTTGCGATCACTTTAAAACTTTCCGGCCCTTATGGATCTTCTTTTTTCTATACAGTACATGCGTCAAAAAGTACCCTTCTGGGTATTTTATTATTTTTAGGCAGTAGAATTGCTTCAAAGACTGTAGAGAATTACCGCAACTGGACATTTAGTTCGCGTTGTCTCAAAAACAGCAGCTGATATATGCAAGGATTCAAGCACGCAACAGTAAATTTGAAATCTTTCTGTCTAACGAACTACTGTTCGGTTAGGTTGGTCGTCATGGTAGCTTTCCCAAACAATGCACCATCATGAATAAAATGATAAGCGAAATACACACTTAGTGTAATTTTTCACTCATAGTTAAAACCTTTCTGGCACATGTTATTTTTCATTTGCACTGCAGTATAAATATATAACATGCTGCTATACGAGTCCTGGGATTCTTTAAAAATAATGGTAAAAAAAGATAAATTTCGCACAATACCAGTCTTTCAAGGTCGGTCATGAGGATGGAAAACTTACCATGTCCATCTTTGTGTAGTCGGCTTCGTCGTCCGAATCTTCAATCGCATCGTTCATTTCTTCCAGCCCAGGATAACACTCAGCGTAACCAACTGTATCCAAGCGAGACATGATCTGCTTTTGACGCTTCTTCTCTGCTTCAATTCTGGAACATACCGGCGATAAATACAATTTGGAAACGTTTCCTTTCCTGAATATACACACTGTTTCTTTTCATTAACAACAGCATCCGAAACTTCCTTTTGTTTTCGGATATTCTTCCAATCGTATTTGTCCTGCATTTCTTTTTCTTTACGTCGCTCTTCGGCTTCCATTTCAGCGACAGGCTTGTCGAAGTAAGAATCTTTGTCTCGGATAGGTTTCTTCCTGTGAATGAAAATTTTGTTAAGTGACAATTCATGAGCCAGAATCATCATTCAATTTTGAAAGCATGCACTCACTTGTCGGAACCGTAATGCGGGTCATAATCGCCAGCGTCATTGAAAATAGGTTCGTCAAACGCCTTCACCTGAGAAATAAAATTCAAATTTCTAACATTTCGCGTTGCAATTGAATATTACACATATTTTTCTTTATATTCGAGGTGCATACCTTGAGTTCTTCGAGTTTCTGTCGGTCTTTCTTCTTTAATTTCTTTCCACCACGACCACCGCCTTGCCGTAAATAGGACAAAATTTCAGTGAGTTTGTTAATCACAATATCGTTCGTGCTCAACGTCGCTTGAGCCTGGAAACACATTTTTAAAAATTCAGCGTCAGATCAACAGAGAATTTCAGCAAGTTAACATACTTCAAGATGAGGGCAGTCGGCTTTGCTCCGCACCGTTGTCGTTGGGATGTCACTATCCGCGAACTCATCTTCCAAGTCGATTACATACGCCATTCTGCCAGGCAAGAACAACTCGTTCCGTTCAGGAATAACCGTGTCGAACAACAACCTGGTAATTTCGCAAATGAACGAGATTTGAAGTACAGTACAGTAAAATCCCTCTGAAAATCGAAGTGAGATTAGACAATTCACCTATGAATATTCCTCCCGATCTTAGTACGGAATTGTGGCTCATCGGCTTTATCATGAGCGGGAACAGTCGTTCTTGGGATGGGTTTCTGATTAGGAACTGGTTTAACATCTGCCAGCGCTTCCAATTCCTCCTCTTCTACTTTCTCCTTGATTTCTATTTCACTTCGAACTTTTTGCAACAACGCATAATCAAGACCTTTTACCAAGTGAGTGTGCTCCATATCACCACCCAAGAACTTGGATTCTTGGATCATCTGCCGACGACGCTCAGCCTTATCCAAGCCACTAAATAAATTGACCACTCAATTCATTGACAATTGGTTGTTACGATCGTTCATAGCTTGGGATATAATTTCCGAAAGGCCGCCAATTTATTCACTAAACAAGGTTGAAAGAAAAAAAAACTAACGATTTGGCATCGGGAGCGACGGCACGATATCCACCAGCCATTTGTGCCTGGGTATCACTTTCCTCGGTGCCCTTGATGTCTTCACGCCGTTCAGCAGCTCGATCTCGGTATTTCTTGGCAAGGTCTGCCAAGACATCATCTTCTTGCTTTTTCAACTTCGCATAGTACCTGTAATTCACAGTATTGTACTCAGTAATTCGATACTTGTAAGGCTCTAAAGTCCGGATAAGCAGGTCAAGAAACGTTCTGTGAAAAATTCAAGCGTATGAACTCACAAGCCGGAACATACGAGTAGGTTCTTTACGGACTGTGATTTCATTCGCCAATACTCAAGTGTTACTATGATTTAATTTTATCTTATTTGATCAAATTAGGCTGGATATAAGGTTACGTTACATCAGCAATAACTGGGCAGAAAAAAGGTGTACCGTACTTACGGTTTCGTCAGAGTTTTATACTTTTACAGATGGGTTGCGTGTTTGGGTCAGATAACATAGATTGGGTTGGATTACATCGAATAATTTCAGATCAGGTTCAAGAATCATACAATTCCTGCTCAACATAGAAAAGTAATTAGCAATATTGAGCTGGACGATAATGAGGAATGAGTCTCACGAAGACATACCAGTTTTGGGAATAACATCTTCGAAATTTTTTTTTACAGGTATCACAATAAACTGGGTCTCTTTAACCTCTGGATAAACTCACTGCTTCTTCTTCCTCCTATTTTCTGCTTTAGCATCGCTGCCACCTCTAATATCTATCTTCTGATGAACGTGAGAGCCTTGTCCGTGATGAGATTGCGTCGCACCAAGTCCTGGAGTAGCAGTAGCCGAAGGCGCAGTGCTCCTTGGGGTCATCAACAGTTTACGAAAATCCGCATTGCTAAGCTTGTTCCGCACACTCCTGCAAAAAAATAAGCGGCAGAGATGAGAAAATCAAGCAATAAAAATGAGTGTTAGAATATGAAAATTAATTTGAAGAATTATGACTTACTGAGAAAGATTGTGGTCTTCGTACCCTGGCGGAGCCACGGGATTCATAAAAGCCTCGTCTGCGAAGATGAATTACATTAATAAGTATATACAACACAAAAGGCATGCAACACTCGAAACTTACTGTCAGGCATGGTTTTCCACTGCTTCGCGTCACAAAATAAAACTCAGGACGAATGAATTACACGATCAGATTCCCTAGAATGCATATAAAAATAAACGTTCACCACTGTTTTCCTCCCTTACAAAATCGCAGAGATCCTAAATCATTTCGGCTGATGCATATCTTTCTATTAACTCCATTGCATTACGAAAATCGAAAAACCCGACGGTACTAAATACGTGACAAGGATCGGGGCGGTACACAATAGCGTGCAAAGCATCCAAAACAAAGCGGGCATCACAGGACAACGTCGCGCGCGAGTGGACATTAACTCACTCATTTTAAATAAAAGAAGAACTAAATACAGATTTTTGTTGTTTCCTCTCCGCAGATCATGCTCAAATACTAATATCCATCGACAAACGTCGATTTCATCGTTCAGTGACTTCTTTCGACCTTCAAAGAAAGAGTTCAGGATCCTGTCCTCGAAGTCATTTCCAGTTGAATTATATAATCTACAGGAACTGTTTTCACAGCACTGGACTTTTCTCCAATCCGAACCCATTGGAACAATTTCTGTCCAAGACGTGTACACGCTGACATAACTTCCGGCGACAGTTCACATTGAGCAAAAGAAAGACGAAGAATAAAGAACTGATCATCAAAATGCGGTACAAGCTTTCACAACACGTTATTGGAATTTCAGAGCAACCCATATGTAGAGTATCAACAGCGATCCGTTCAAACTTATGAAGTAAGTAAGGTGAGGTAAGGCGTCCAATTTCGTCTTCTACAACCGAATACTGTCGACAAACATTATTTTTCGCAAGCACTAGGAATGAACGGTCAACGCAGATGAGAATATCACTGAATTGAACACTAAAGCATAACCATTTTAATCGAAGAACTAAATCCCATCCGCAGATAAATGACTATCCGCGTTCACCAACGACTTCCTCGCGCTTCGAACTTCCGCCCTCTTCTAGATGTACAAAATGTGAATCTTTCACAACTTCCAAGAGAATTTCGCCAATCAAATCTCAGATTTCTGTTTCGGACACTATAATGTTCAACAGGAGCATTCATTCTTCGCATTAAGCTGTTGCTGTTGTCGTATCTTCTTCAACGTTGCATCGCCAAGCTGGATACCGGAGCCTATCCTTTCAGGATCTAGTTCACCAGCATCAATCCGGGCTAGAATGGTTCGTGAGCATTTCAAGAAGGCTTCTTCCACATGATCACCAGTTAAAGCGCTGGTTTCCAGGAACATTATTTCTGAATGGAAATATAAAGTATGCATACCCTATTACACGTACAGCAATGAACGTACGGAAATTTGCTCTTCAAACAAGCATAAATGAATGCAATTCTAGAAATCATCGCAAGATATGCGATGAACTTTCTCGCATATGTAACAAAAATTATATGCTTAAAAAAGTCAAAGCATCGTAACCGGACTAGGTGAACTCAGTTGGTCAGCATTCCCGAATATGAATTTCACACATTAACTCACCGTTTTCCTGTGCAAACCGGCTGGCTTCCAAGAAAGGTATCTCCCTTTCCTCTTCCAAGTCTTTCTTGTTTCCCACCAGGAGTATAACTATATTAGGACTTGCCAACTTCCTCGCATCCGACAGCCACTCAGACAGATTGTTGAAACTTTCGCGACTAGCAACGTCGTAGACAAGCAACGCTCCCGCTGCAGCTCTGTAATAACTTCTCGTAACGGACCTTGAACAAAAATTTCGAAACGAAATAAGGTACGATTCAGTTAACGGATCCACAGCTGAGCGATACCTAAAGCGTTCTTGTCCTGCTGTATCCCAAACCTGCAGTTTCACCGATTTGCCACCAACATTCACCACTTTCGATCCAAATTCAACTCCAATGGTATGACTGCTATCCGGTTTAACTGAAAAAAACCAATGGTGCAGAACAACTTCCGTCGCCCATCGTCAGAATATTAGCACTTACATTTACTCTCTATGAACTGATGCAGCAAGCAGGACTTGCCTACGCCTGCACTTCCAATTACCAAAAATTTGAACAGATAATCTGCGAAAAAGAAGACTAGTTATTAGATTGTTATTCGCCAGGAACAAACCGTATCTCAGCTAGAAAGCTCACCGAAGGATTCCGTCATTTTCAACGAAAAAGGAATTCCTGCATCAACACTCCAGCATACATTCAATAGTCGCAGTGAAACATTTCTTGTATTTTACAAACAGCGCCAATTGAATCAAAAAATTCTTGCTTCTGCCCATACACAACGAGCTTGTTGCCTCTGATCTCCACCAGAGCAGATCAGCAATCCTCTTAGTCACACCGTAATAGATCCAGCCTGACAAAATATACCTACGAACAAGTAATACTGTACTTACCCACACTAATTATGCATAGAATAACATCTGGTTGCCCAAGTGATGACAAGCTATAAGAAATTCTTCAGTTCATCGCGGTACAGTATTATGCTATTAAGGAAAATAATTAGCTGGACTTTAAGCAACAATTGCCGTAGGCGTCCAAACTCACCTAACCTGTCCTACGTTCCTCTAAAGCTATAGATACGATATTCAATTCTTTCATGATTTGCAAAAATTTGAGGTAAACTGAACACCAAGAAATGAAAAATGCATCATGTTCAGCATACAATTTTAGTAACGTAATGGTTTAGATCAGAACTTATTCACTCAAGGCTGTGCAAATGCTGAGTTATTTGATGCACATCCGTTCATTAGAATTTTTAGAAAACGGAAGCCTCAATCACGTATTTTGACAAGGAGGAGAGTAATATTCCTACAAAATCTATAATCACTTAAGTTTGCACAGACTGGTGGACCCTTTCTGGCCAGAGCAAAACTTGCACACGGGAAACTCTTTACTCTAGGTAGATGAGATACATCAGATTTATTCTCAAATCAGAATAGGCTAATAATATTTCTGGCACATCATGATTTAACCGTAGAAAGGCAGCAATAGCAGTAAAATAGGCAAGAAGTCCATCCACCCTCATAAAAAGGCTGTAAAGGATTTATTTTTATGTGCTCCAAAATTGGAGCAAAATTATCATTCCATTGTTACTTATAACAGTATATACAACTGCTCCGCATTGATCTCAATGAATGATTATTTTTTTCAATATTTCCAATGAAACATCAGTAAAAAATCTGCTACTGATGAACGAGAGTTCAAGTCGGTATAAGATTTCCAGTGCAGGACAGTACACATTGTTGAACATAACTGGGGAAAATATAGTGAGAAGGGGGAGAATACCTGAAGAATTTTTTATTACACTTGTCAACAAGCGGTTCATATGTCATACATGAGCCATTACTACTGTAAGCTATTTGGCACATGAAAATTTCTGGGAGGCATCGTATTTTTTTAAGCTGATCAGTTAACCTCTAAGAATGTAGATATATTAGCCCTGACAGACGTTCCCAAGAAATGCTCAGATAACATTCAGAGCTATCCAATTATGAACAAGATAATTTCGATATACGGTAATACAATATTCAAGAACAGGTTATTGAATACAGCACATCCGAATTCACGAACTGATCAGCACAAATACAGAGAATAAAAGACGGATAGAGGAGACATCCCATTTATTGAAGAAAGTGGTAACAGGAATATACAACGCACTTCATACAGAACGAGAAAACAAGATTAGATTGCTGTTCATTGACCAGAAATTGCTGAAAATCAATGATTCCAATTGCCAGAACAGGTATGAGGTAATCAAAACGTAGCATATGCAACCCACAATTTTCGCTACAGCGGGACGTAATTAACGGGAAATCCTGCGGGTTATTACTCCACAGGTGCCTTGCAATGCGTACTGTAATGGTCACCATTGCCACAATGGGTTAGACTAGAGGAATTTGTGGCCATTTTAGCATAATTCCTCTCCAACCGCGCCTCTGAGTCATTCTCATCATCGCTCCAGCACGAGATGGATCGATCCGCAGAATCCTCGCAGTGCCCGTTATGCGAGAATGTCTTCCGCATCCTACGAGCATTACGCACAGAACGCTGCAACGAGCGATACGAAGGAAATTGCTCCAAAAATTCTTCACACAGGGCATCGTCATCAGAATCATCCGAGTCTCGCAATGGAACGGCAATAAGCGGGACGAAGTGAACGTACTTCCGTTTTTTGCTTTGTCTGACACGCAAAGAAGAATTTGATGGATCTACAGCTGGTTTTGCAGAAGCTTCCGCAAGTGGAGTCTCAAGGTTCGGTTTGGATCGTGAGAAACATCGCGGAATTAAGTTTAGGAACGAACCGAACAGGCTGCGCCGCGAACGGTCTGTTCTGGGAATCTTGGTCGACGTTCCAGGATCATCTTCTGCTTTGCGCTTAACACCGCGCTGCACGACTTCGCTCGGGACTTCCGGTTTACGGAATTTTTGAATTATGTTGTATAGATAGCTGCTGCTTTTCTTCGCGAGTGATGGGCGTTGGGTGGGCTTTTCAGCCTCGCCCGAGTTCGTGGCACTGCTGGCTTCTGATTCGTCGGTTTCGAGGTGATGTTTACAGCACGAAATATCAACAGATGGACCCATATTTGAATGCTCCACAGAAAGACCCTCTCCGGAGTTCCAAATGAAACTCGCGGGAATTTCAGCGGAGGCATCCGAATTACCAATTTCGTTTTGATTGCAGAGATGCGCAATATCTTTTTCACTCGTCCCAACTTCAGATGAGTTCCCAATATCATTGAAACTTATAACTTCTGCATTCGTAATCTCATCGTGAACTGATGCGTTATCTAAGGTGCATTGTAAGCCTGAAATAACTCTGATCATGTCGTTTTCCACAACTGGTGAGTTCTTCACAATTCCTTGAATGCCTGGGGCATCTCTGATTGTGTCATTCTCAGCTAATACTGGACTGCTGTTTACGGTCTTCTCAAAACCGAGCATATCTGCGGCTGTGTTATTCTCTTTGAGAACAGGGGAATTGTCCCCGATGTTGTGAAACTTAGGGACTTCAAACCCTTCCTTTTGAACATGTACGTCGTTCCCAGTGTCTTTGAAGCCCGATGCATCTTCGACTGTCTTCACGCATAAATTTGAGGATTCATGATCAGCTTCCTCCGGCACTACAGTCTGACCATGGTTCGCCGTCACTAACTCCGTAATTAATGTTAAATTGGTCAACATGGAGCACAATGAATCAAGTCGACCTTCCTGCACTATAGGGGGTTGAAGCGTATCAATTTCATGATCATGATTCACGTCAACATTGACGGAGTCGGCTTTTTCCCCTTCATCGGCAGTATTTCCGTCTACATTTTGAATTACGTCGATAGTAGTTACGCCTGTAAAGCTAGGATATTTTTCCGGAGAAACAGCGTCTATTTCGGTACCAGGATCAGCATCAAGTTCTTGCGATGTTGGAACATCAAGAGTGTCCGGAATGCCGAACACACGTTTGTAGAAGTGATCATTGCGGGGTCTCAATTTAATCAGACGTCGAGGTTCTCGTTTCTTCCGACGCGGCTTCTCCTAATTCAACGAAATCTACATTATAATACCACGCCCGAGAGGGAGAAGTTGTCAGCAGCAGTGTCGAATTAATAATCATGAAGATATTGTAGAACGAAAGCATATTCATTGATACCCTGAATTTCAATTTCAAAGGTATATTCAACACTCTCGAAACGTCTTCGATTTCATTTTTCGAGCAAAGAATGGTTCGAATCATCCCAGAAATGTACCTACTATGCATGTCATTTATTTAAATATTTCAAAAAGTGGGATATCAACCCCAAGAAACACGAAATTCAACCTAGCAATTTAAATGATAAAAAAATAAAGGAGTACTGTAATAGCTGAGAGTATGTGTTCGTTGGTTGAAATTACGTGATTAGGGGTTGACCATTTTTCATGACATGGCATGTCATACCCTTGGGATGGATACATGGTTTTTCATGAACAGCTTCGAAACTCCTTGGGGATTTAAAAAGAAAAGATCATGGCGTATATGTATAACTACTGTATCGTATAACATGTACAGTATAAGTGTCCTCCTGGGTTCTGCTGGAGTTCTTTCTAATGAAGACAAGAAATTCTTAAATAGTCACGTTCCGAAATTTCAAGTCGGTGTACGATTTCCAGTGCAGGACAGTACTCATTGTTGAACATAACTGGGGAAAGTATAATGAAAAGGGGGGAGAATACATGAAAAAAATTTACTATACTTGTCAACAGGCGGGGACACAAATAAAATACTACAGCATCAATATGGCTGCATTCAATTTCTAAGGTAGATAATTTCTTTTCGGGAGAAGATTTTAGAGGATGAATCTATGGGCCGGATGGAGTTCCTTTACTGGCCAGATCTGGCCCAAAGGCCTTACGTTGGGCAGCCCTGGTAAATATGCTTACTGAGCCCGTTCGCACAATCGGAATGTTCCCTGATTCAAAAATATTTTTACATATACTGTAATTGAAATTAATTCAGTTCCCTCGAGATAAATTGAATAAAATACTAACTTTTTCAGAGTTGTTACCACTCGTCGAATCACTGGCACTGGCTAACTCTTCCTCATCCTCGGAAGCGATTTCGGGATTATATCGCCATTGAGTGAATTGCGGTCCAACATATTCTGTCACTGGGATCTCAAAATCGGGTTTCGGGAAGTCGAGTAATTCTACACCTAGCCGCACTCCGAAGATACCTTGATCTTCACTACTGATGCCCGCATTTGCAGCAACAAGTGACACTATTTCGGCCATTCGCGGCTCGCTCAAATCCGCTCCGACTTCTGCTGATGTAGTAACGTGTTCGGCAACAAAAAAAATCATATTTGCACGTTCCTTCAAGTTCAATTTTATCTTTTGTACTGTACCAATTTCTTGCGGATGAACTTCATTGCTTTCATCCATTGATGATTCGATCGGAAGAGTTCTCGCCGTAAGGTTCAAAGTACGTTCAATTAGCGTGTGTCCCGCGTCGCCCGAACCATCATGAACTTGACTTTCCGTAGTGGGACTGAATTCCAACAGAAACATGGTCATGTCTTGATTTCTTCGATTGTTCAAAACTTCGGAAGAAGGTATCCGTCGCATACAGCAGTAATAGCAAGATGTATCCGCATTATCCGCAGAATCCTTGAATGAAGACTTCCAGTGCTTCAGATTAATCAAGTCGAAGCTCAAAATAGTTCAGTATTACTTACGGTACCCTCAGTCTTACGAATAATCTAATTCGGTTTTTTTTCCAGATTTCAAAGAAGAAACTGGAATAGAAGCCTCGTCAGTCTCCTAAGAAGTACTAGTGTCTGAACTGATCGGGCCGAAAAATCTTCGGACAGGACATCATGACCAAAAGATGTCAAACTTTTAAAAATTATTTTCCCCATCGAATTTAACAAAATCAGTAGATACGAAATTAATAAATAAAACCCTGGCGATAAAGAACCTAAAAAATAAGCCCTGGCCAATACGAACATCTTGAGCATTCAGAATTATAACTTTCATTCGGGAAATGAGAGATTCAGGTAAAAACCGTAATTAAGCAGAATTTGAGATAAGACACATCACATGTTTATGGCATTAATATAGTTTCGTCGCATTCACGGTTTGTCAGTCTATTTTTGCATTAATACTCGACCAAAAATACACTGCAGATTCGAAAAACATTTCGAAAGTTGGCAAAATGGCGCATTTTGAAAATAAAAATGATTTCAGGAAATACAGGTGATGGTCAACGCCAGATTACTAGGAAGGATTATACTCACGAAAATAGCTTTCGAAGGCTGAGATCCCATTTAGTACCTAAAAATTTTGCCGATCGTTGATCATGAACAGAATGAAGAGATCCTCGGCCGCTCGTTAACGAATAAGCACAGATGGAGTGGACAGTCGAGGTGAAGAAATCAGGGAGAACATATCAGGTTTAAAAGTGTATGAGGCACACAGATTACATGGAACCTTGCGGATAGTTCACTGCAGAAACTATGCGAATCCCATTGCAATCCTTCAGAGGGTTTTCTAAAAGACCTCAGATGGTTTCTCTTCAGTCAGATCAGAATAGCCATTTTCACAACTTGTTCCCGTCGTTGTCATCTTAAATCTTAGAACGAATGGTGATGCAAATTAACCACGTCCTCTCACATATGCTAGTGACACAAACATTAATCTAAGACCACACAGTCCAACTTTTTCAAGAGTACGACCAGCTAATTGTAGTCCCGTAAAACGCTATTGGCTATTTAAAATATCGTTATACCTTTTGCATGAGTTCTTCGCCAAGCATTAATTTCTTTCTATCGAATGAAGTAAAAGCCCCACATCACAAACGAGCATTTATTATGAATGAATAGGTAAGCTGCGAGTATTAAAATTCCCGGACGGATCGTTTCACTCAATTTCATTGGAATACATCACGAATAAACGTTGAGACCAATAAGGCGCTTTTTTTGGACGAATGACTAGAAAAACGGTCACGACTAGTGCATGAACACAATCATTTTTCTCCTTTTTGGAGTCGCACATATTGTTGGAACGCCAGCCTCTTAGAATCTTCTGATTCTCCGAAGATAAATATCGCAAGCACTCCTTTTACCGCCTGCATTCAAGTTCAGCAACCTGCAACGAAATTAAGTCAAACAAAAAAACAACTTCAAAAAGTGGCGCGCAAAGTTTGACAAGTTTTTTCATCAGATGAAGGGTGTGCAATTTCGGCGCGCAAAACTTTTTCATCCAGTGTTGCAAGAAAACGGAGGAGAGTCGGGAATTCCGAATTCTAAGGGTTCAAATATGTTTTCCAATGATGCCCCTGATCAGTTCTGAACTTTTATTCGAATGTCGAAAAGGGAAATACTGTGTAGTGAAACTTGGAACACAGGAACACTCACAATTTTGAAAACTTCGCGGCAATTTTTCCAAACTGAGCTCAAAAATCAGACACACTTGGTACCCTCAAGGCCAGATGGGACATTATAAGTACATAACAAGAACACGGTCGATGAAATTTCATAACGACAGAGGATCAAAAAATGAAAATAGAAGACACTGAGCCAAATTCATTGTTAGAATTGTTCTGGGGTTAACAATTCGATCATTTTCATACGTGTCTGCTATTTTCGTAAAATTTACACCATGAAAGAATAAAAATCGTTACCCTCAATCTGAGAGCATCTTGATGTGCGATCATCTCTTTTTCCCTGCTTGCAGCGTCTTTCAATAAAATCTTCACACGCATCAAGATTGACTTCTTGTCAGCTAATTCGTCCTCCAATGCTCGTACTTTCGTTTCCAAGAAAGCCACTCGTGGACCACCTAATCCTTCTATAAAATGAAATGAATCAGCGAAGATACGAAGAATGCTTTTGATAGTCGGAGTTACCTGCAAGAATCCTTTCCATTTTCCGTTTGACATGTTCAGCCTCCTCGCACGCCAGTTTCCGTTTCAACCTCGCATCGGAAAGTTCCTTAGACAAGGATTCTACAATAGCATTCTTCGCCTTCAATTCTTGTACCACGCAATCTCTTTCGGCCAAAAGCTTTTTCAGCGCTTTCCGAACGGTCTGAAGCAACGGATGAGAATTGCATCAATATATGGACTGTAGAAGCTCGAAAACAACATCCGGGCATTTTACAGGGATGTTCTCCGAAATAAGGTTAACCAGTTTGGAATCAAATCAGTCTACAAGCACCCAAAAATACCGAAGAGTGAAGAAAATATTGTACGGAGCAGGAAACCACGAAACGGAACACACGAAAAAGAACTCGCATTTGGCGATCGTTCAATTATTTATGACTAAAAGGAAGGGTTTCGATGGCGCATGGTCTCTTTCACTGCAAGCAACAGATGGACCTCATTTACATGCCCGTCATTTTGAGCAGGGCATTCAAAACTGCTTGTGAATTTGTAGGAAACGAAACGCGATCAATTTCTCATTCATTTCGTAAAAAAAAAGGAAAAAAATCTGAAGAGGCGGGCTAATTTTTCGGGTAGCATTTTATGCATAATAGCAAATGTAAAATTGATCAGATCAATTTTCTTCCCCAAATAAAGTCGAACTTCAAAGAGTGAAACTGAAGTTGGACTTCATCAACGGAGTGAAGACTTGTATTACTGCTCGTTTCAACTTCTGCAACTTCTAGGAAAGTGAATAAACAAGTGGCCCCAGGCAAGGGAACCAACAGCTTTAATAACACGAATGTGGGTCAATATATATGAGCCACATTCATTGCTGGGATTGGTCAAGGTTTAGTAAACAATTCCATCATTTTCATACCTCCTAACACGAAGGGCAGACTATTTTTAATTGCTAAGTTTGTACATCCTCGCAAAAGGTTCTGCACCGTGAATGAAACAAATACTTGTATCTCAATTGTACCGTGATGCGTTGATGTTTTTACACTTTTTTAGAATAAGAATTAATTTCGATTTAATAATTGGAGGAAAAGCCAAATCACTTACTTCACGACCCGCTTTCGTCTCCACTGACGGCATTGAGGACGGGAACTCTTCAAAAGATACTCTTCGCTGCTTTTCTCTTTCCAGAGTCTCTATGATTCTCCTTAAGGCACTGACAGTTCGTTCCAGATCTCCAATCCGCTTTCGGCTAGATTCCAACTCTGAATTATCTTTTGCTGGCACTGTTTCTTTTATCGAACTCTCTCCCGGTTCAACGGGTTGCTTTCGGACGGGAAGCGAAGCTCGTCTATCCGAAAACAAATGCCTCCCTGAGGCTTTAGTTTTCAGTTCGGCTCCCAAGGCAAGTACCTTCTTCTCTTCGCCCAGTCTTACAATTTCCAATCGCGCTTCCTGCAGAGCAAGCTTCGTATGAAGATGCTCTTCTCTGGATTTCGCAAGATCAGTTTTCAGCCGAGAGATTTTTTCTTCTAGTTGATGCTGTTCTTTCATAGCGGTGGATGACTGCACCTGTTCACTTGGCGGCGTGCTGGGGACTGGAGTAACAGCGGATTGTCGAAGATCAAAGGCTTCTTGAGAGTCATCGTTGGCTTGTTCAAGCTCAGGAACTGAACTACTCATGAAAGATTGGGTACCACTGCGTTTCTGAATACGTTTTTCCATCCGTTTGAGCAAATCACGCAGCGATTTATCAGCTTTTTCGAGGACTTCGATGCGGGATTCACGTTCTTTCAGTTTGGATTTCATTTGATCGAGCTTTTGTTCCAGTTTTTTCTTTTCGTCCCATTTGAAGAAGTCTTCTCGTTGCTAAAAACGTAAAGTAACTTTTTGATGGGGTAAAAACAACAAAAACGAAAAATCAAGAACTCATCAACCTTTTCTCTCTCTGATTTTGAGGTTTTCAAGAGATCTTCAGATTCTCTCAAAGATTTCTGCAACTTTTTGATCTCGTCTTCCAATTCAAGTTCCTTCGCAGATTTTTTTGTATCACGTTTTTTCTCACCGCTTTGATTCACACGTACGGAGCCGACTTTCGACTGCAGCGAAATGATCTTATTACGGAAGACATAACGTTAAAAACATGACGCAACGAACAATTGAAGAACATACTTTTCGCTGAAGAGCATTTCTCGCTTCCGACACTTGCACAAGTGCCGAGGATTTAGCAGCCAAGTTTTCTTTCAATTCCTCCATATCTCGCTTCGCTGCGGCCTCCGAATCCTTGCTGTTTTTCAGAACTTCTTTCATGTCTTTCAGTTTCTTCCGCAACTCTTCGACTTCTTTCTGTGATGCCGAAAAAAAAAATTAAAATTTAAGGTAACAGTTTTCAAAATTGTCATTTACGTTCAGGGGAGTAGAGTATTAGAAAGGTAATTCACAGAAAACTACGGTATACCTGCCACATTTCGTCAGCTTCCACAAATTTTATTGCATCAGAAGGCACTTTTCCGTTTCCATTCCGCTTTGTTACTTCGGCCTAGAATTAAAAAAAACACGAATAAATCGAATATAATTTTTTATTTACTTGAATAAAAATAATACTGCGGATCTCTTCATGACTAATCAGAAGAAGAAAATAACAAGAAAAACGTGGGACATACTTTCAATTCAGCTAGTGCAGCAGCCAGAGCTCCTTGTTGCTTTTCTTTTTCAGCAAGTTGATTTCTCAGCTTCGAAACAAGTGATTTTAAGGTAACACCGCGGGAATTTTCTAAGTCCCGGCTGCCAAGCGTTGGCGACGTTAGGAACGGATTTTGGCGAGAACGGACATTAACTGCGGATTCCATCGTCTCGAGGGCAGCTTCGAGAGCGAACCTTTCCTCTGCCGCCATTTGTAAATCGCGCTGCAGTCTGTTGATTTCTTCTTTTAGAGTTTTCAGTTCCACTTCATGCGTTTTTGTCAACCTAGTTTCCGAATAAAACCTCTTCACAAAAACATTGACAACGGGTCAGGTGCTCGAAAATGTTTTACATTTCAAAGCATGAAGTTCGAAAAAAACTGCAAGAAATTCAGCAGAAGAACAGAAATCAGCTGGGGTGTTCATTCAAAAATAACTTCGTGTACTGTATGCAAGATTGGAGAACAGCGCAGATTTATATAGTAATTAGGTCAGTTGATATATTTCGACCATGAGCACAGATAAAAATTATTAAACGGGTATCACGTAAAACAATTGCCCATCAACACAATTAGCAATTCCTTTTTTCATATTTTACGTCATCTTCACTGTAGCACGCGACAAAATAAAAATTACTGCAAAAGTGATTAAATGGGAATACTGTACAGTATTTCTGGACAGACCATCGTATCACAAAATATCCTTGAACCATGTCACAGTACCTCATTTGCACAACATCCGCTTCTTTGCCGCGACTTTCCGCCATTTTTCGCCAGTACTCCAATTCGCGTTTGCTCGCTTCCAATTTCTCCTTTAAGGAGTCTATGCAAAACAATAAACATTCATTAATAAAATTTAACTTCTGCAACAGCAATACGCTTCATTTGAAATGTCGCTCCGTTTACTCACCGACAGTCCTATTCCGTTCATACATTTTTGACTCAAGTTCACGGAATTCTTTCTCGTCGAGTGTGATCGTAGTCTCTTTCTCGAGATCTTTCTCAGTTGACAGAGCGATTTTGAGCCTAGAATTCATTCATGGAATAAAATTAAACCGGGAGAAGCAGCTCTTTGAAAACCGGAATAGAATGCAAAGCATAGCATTTTCAATGCATTATACGTACTAAATATGACACAAATTCCTGGAAATCAACAATTCCTGTAAGAATATTTTAACCATAAAAAGTGGGGTAGTTATTGGGAGAAGCGTTCTACAGGTTAAAAGCAATAGAATTATGGGTCTGTGAGCAAACCTCTCCACGGCGCGTTCCTGCAGCTTGTGCACGGTCCTGTGAACTTTCTCCAACTCCACAGTGTGAATTCTCGATATTTCCCGGCTCTCTTCCCTGGCGTCCTTCAAAACGGCACTCAATCGTTCAATCATTTCATCTTTCTGAACAACACGCTTTTGCAAGCAGGCTATTGTGTTCTGGGCAACTTTGACCAAAGTTTGAGAAATATTTGATGAATCCAAAGAGTTCGACGCTGCCATGGCCGCATTCAGCAATTCCTTTTCAAGATGCGACGGTTGTGAGGACGGGAAAGTCAAGACCTTCAACCGGAGTTCCGTAATAATTTTTTCGCGTTCTGTAGCTTCACTTCGCATTTTTTCCATGAGCTTCTTCAATCTTTCATTTTCTTGCACAAGCTGATCGCACTTGATTTCAATATCCAAGCGTCGTGAATGCTGTTCACTTCGCTGATCAAAATTTTGATCCAGATCGAGAACCTACAACACCAAAAATGCAAATTCGAATTCACTGTGAAATGGAATTCAAAGATTAAAATACACACACGAGGGTTGGGTCATCATTTCTTTTTTACTTTATGGTTCTTTTTGAGTCTAGTTCAATGGATGGAGATGGAAGTAACTTTCACAGTAATTCTTGATTTTGCTGGTCAAGATAGGGAAAAAGATCAAGCGTGCACCGCATCTTCGTGAGAGAATAAGGTTTACTTCCGAAAAATATCTTTTATGAATCTGACGGTAGTTTAACTGCTAACAAATATTTAGAAGATTAGAACAAAGCACAACATTACTGCATTTTGAACATTTCTTGATGAAAAATGCAGAGCTGTCAGGACATTTTAAAATTGAAAAAGTGATTTCGGCAATTTCGTGTTCGTAATGTGCATGCGCAATTTAGCCTAAAACGCAAATTTAAAAGAAAGGAATTCCCCGACTCCAGGAAAAAAAATCCTCTCAAAAATCAACACAGGGTTACTTAAGGTCTTGTTATCGATCTCAAAGTTTTTCGAAGACCCAAAAACGTGGGTGGCCGAAGAACGTCATTAATAAGTAGTTCATGAAACTTCTGAAATCCCTAATTTTTTTTCCGAATTAAGATCAGTCGTCCTCACCACTTGTACACTCGTTGAAACCACGCTTTTCGCCTCGCGCCCGATTTCCTTTAAACACGATATGTCCTAAACGAAAAAAACGATGCGTTCACATACTTCACAAGGGATCGATGGAAGAATTGTAATACTGTACCTTCTTATCAACGACATCGAAAGGAAGCTTGTCTTCATCTGAATCCGCCACACTTAGCCTATGAACTTCTATCAACTCTCTTTGCAAAGAATCGACAGAGCGTTCAGCGTTTTCTTTCATCAAGTTCGCTTGTTGCAATTCAGCTTGGAGCCTCTCAACTTTCCAATTCAACATTTTTGCAGAAACTTGGGCCTCAAGCATACATTTTTGAGGGAACGGTAAAGCAGCGACGACATCGTTCGAAATTTTCAGCTTCTGCAGCAGTTCCTCGTAGTTCCGCTCTTTCTCTTGGGCTTCTCTGATGCTTATAGCTAGAACGACCTTCTGTTCCTGCACTTTCAGAAGAATATCCGAAATGTGAAGCTGGGCTCTTAAAGGCAAAGACCCCAAGTACTTTTCCTGGGTTCTGCGCAGCACAGCTTGAAAGCGGCTAAAAAATACAGTAATAGGAAAGATTGTTTCAACAAGGATGTACAGAAACGGACTCAATGATTTAATGCCAGTTTCAATACAGTGCGAGGATTGCCTAGTTTCTACGTGAAGTATTCAACAGTATAACATTTAGGAGGAAATTATGATCGAACCACGCAGATGGATAATTTTTGAGAAACCGTCGTGTCAGAAAAAATATATAACCGATTGAGCGAACAAAACAAGACATAACAAAAAACCAGAAAAGTCCCCCACCCTTTCCTTCATGCCTATTTTCTTCCTGATCCATTTGCGACTGAAACTAATACAGTAATTGCCTTGGAGTTGGGTGTCAACAAAAAGTCATCTCACATAGATGAACTTTTTTAAAAGCGGACACGAAAAAAGCTGAACAAATTCGTGGGCATATTTCTTCTCAGTTTTAAGCAGAAACCCGACAACTCTCCTATACCAACGGCGACTGACTCATTCCGTATCCTTTTTACACAACTGTACCTCAGTTTGGCTTGATAGTATTCTCTGATTTTTAGCTCTTTGTCGTTGGTCTCGTCCAATTCTGCTTTCAGTACTTGTATTTCGCCCCTTGTAGTGGCCAATTCCTTCCTATGCGCTTTGCTCATTTCGACCTCTTGCTCAAGTCGTGCATTCTTTTTGCCAATTTCTTGCATCAGCTCCGCTGTAAAAAAATATGAAAATTTGATGGATTGGATCATCCAGCATTTCCGATAAACGTAGAGAACTGCCATTGCAGAAAATATAAATAGAAAAAAAGCTAACAAATGTGGAGATGCAGGTCGGAAGAGGACTCGAGGATTTCAACGGATTTTCGCAGATTTGCCAATTCAGCGGTAGAGTCGCTATTCAAGCGATCCCTGGAATCGAGTTCTATTTTCGCGATGTGCGCAATTTGCTTCAGCTTTTCGCATTCGTCCTTTATCTCTATCTGAAAATTTTGATTAAAAGGAAGCATTTTTCAACATTCAGTTATTGTGGCTAGAAAATTACGAATACTCACAAGTTCCATTTCAGCTTTTCGAAGACGATCGAGAACGCCAACATGCTCCGATTTTGATACTGCAGAACTTAGCTCAAGCATAAGATCGGCTTCCACGTTTCCTTGGTCAGTTATCCTGATATTTAGGGATTCCAACCTGAAGATTAAAAAAAAATCGCATTTAGTTCTAAATTCAGAGCAAAATTTAAAACCACCAATCGCGCATGCTTGTTGAAAACCCCCCTTGATAAAGTATGAACAATCATGCCTCCAGAAAGAAGTTGTTCACAGTATTGCATTCCTTTTGCGTGTCAAGCAATGACATCGTTATAAAGGGAATTTTTCGGATTACAGTATTATTAACAAAGCAACATCTTGAACTTCTTGACCTTCGTGCTCATCGAGAGATTTATCGCTTCAAAGAAATAAAGACGGAAAACTGATACGGGTGATCTCGACGCACATTTAACATTTCGTGGGAACCTGAAAATATTCCAAGATATTCACTGTCAGCGATAAATCTGACGTATAGCATGGGAAGCTAAATAGTCACTATTATTTCAAAAAACCGAGAAACGTGAAAAATATTTTCCGTTTATTGGTTGATTCAAAATTCGCTCAAGTTTGAATCTCATCATGAACAGGAAAATATTTTCAAGAGAATGTTTGGCTTGACGTGAATTCTCACTGCCGAACACCTATCAGATCCAAAGCAACTTGGCGTCTTCATTGCTTTTTTGATGACATGTTTCTAATTTCTTTTCCACGAAAAACTTCGATCTTTTGCTTCGTTCGAAGTTCTGCAAGAAGGCAGATGAAAGGAATTTACTCACGATTTCTCCAGGTCTTCGTTTCTTGCTTCGAGATCCTCACAATGAGTTTGAAGGGCTTTGTATAATTTCATGTAATGATAACATTTTTCCTTTTCGTTTTTCTCTCGGAGCTCAGAAACCAACAATTGACGAGATACGATTTCCATTTGCAGTGCGTTATTGTCTATGTTCAAGTCGGTGATTTTCTCTGAAGCATTCTTGTCATACTGTACGGCAACAATGCCCGACTGAATCTTCGCTTCTTCCAATTCTTTAAAAAGCTTCTCGTTTCTGACTTGCAGGTGCTTGACCTCCACTTCCAACAAAGCAGCACTCTTCAAATCAGAAAGCTGAAAAGAAGCAAACGTAAAAAGTCAACCACCCACATTCGATCAGCATTAGAAGTTCTGAAGCAATATATAGAACGTAAAGAATTCATTAAAAAAAGGTTCCGAATTTCTCGTCACCATATGTTTGCAATCAAGTCACCAGGAGTCCTTACCCGCGCAGGCCTTACTCCGAACTACGCTTCGTTCACGATAATTCCTGCGGATACCTGATATTGATCCGAGATTTTTAAAATCGTTACTCATTGACGATACTCGAAGTGCCACATTCACTTAAGACCCATTTTCTGCGATAGTCTCCACGTTCAGTATTGCTTTCTTTCGTTTCTACTGCTCAAGGTGGAAGGTGGTCAGGAATTCCGATAATACCGTACTCAAAATAACCAATATCATATGCTATGACTTCATTATATGCTTTCCAACAAAATGAATCACGCAAAAAAATTAATATGATCGACATGTATAAATAGATAGATTAGCAACATACGAGCTTTGTTCTTCGTCTCAACACGTTTTGGAGCTCGGCAGCGAGGTTTCTCGCTGTTTTCTGGATCGCCCTCACTTCTTCTTCCGGAACACAACGGTCCAATGTTTTCTGCATTGCTTTCAATTTGAAAGACGATTTGACCTTGACAAAAAATAAATGAATAAATGAGCGTTGAAGCATCAGAATGCATTAAAGAAAAAATATGCCTACTTTAAATCGTTCCAAATAATCAATCCGTATGGCGTTGTGTTTCTCGATTTCAAGTGCGTCTCGTACAATTGCATCCCGTTCTTCGATCAAATTTGACAACCGGACCTGCTGCGCTTTCAATTTTCTTAAATTAACACTGCTGTTTGCTTGCACAGCTGCGCATTTTCTGGCAGACTCCGCCAAAAACACTTTCATCTCCTCCCCTGAGCGATCAAGCGCTGCAAAGTGACCTTCGTAGGATTGAAGCTGCGCTCCGAGCGACTCAACTTGATTCTAAAATAAAAGTTCAGATAATTTATACGACGCACATGACCAATTCGCCAATCACTTTCATTTTCGAAATCATCTATGAAAATCGTCCAACGAAAAACCATTCTATAAAATATTGATACAGTAACCGCCACCGTCGGCCATACTGTCCCGCGCGACAGGAAGCCATCGCCTATTAGATTGTTTCGTACCTTTTTTTGTACCGCCCAATCAGGGCTCACTTGACGCGCGGCTTGCGCAACCGTTGACTAAGAGGTCCCACGTAGCCTCATTCAATCATCAACCTCCGTTCGGATAAGACCATTGTGCATGTGTATATAAAGTGAATCTGCTACCGACTGAAAGTACAACTACGTTCCTACGTCTAAGTAGTGTGTGGTTCCTTCCCTGCAGGGCTATCAGAACTCTGTAGTGTTTAGACAGTGAGTGGACGAAAGTCTTACTGGGGGCTCAGCCAAAAGTGACCGTACTATGGCAAACGAGCGGAACAAAACCAACACCGAGAGGGAATCCCCCGCCGGTACCCCAGCATCTCCTCAAGCGCCCGCACCATCACTGAATCCAGCCGCAGACCCATGGAACAACGTAATGTTAACCGCAATTTGCGCATACTGTGCAACGCATTGCATCCCCGGATCCGGGCAAGATAGCCAAGAGGACCTCGTGACAGCCCTACAGACAAGGGGCGTCACACCGTACCATGTCATCATGAACACCTTGCCGGATCTTCAGGCCGGCCTGTCCCTGCAGCATATCGCAGACCAGCTGCTACGCCGACGTGTACCCGATTACCCAAAACAATTGGTCAACAAAGGCATCAAAGTGTACCTGCGGCGGCTTGCGATCGCGTTCTGCCACGACAACACCTCCAACTTCACCAAAATCGATTGCCTGATCGGGCACTCACAACTGAAAGTCGCGGAAGCAGCGCAAGTACTCTATGAACAAGGGTACGTAGAATACGACGCGATCGCGGAACGCCTCAAAACCAGGTTTGGCCTCAGCCCCTATGAGCACTTCCAACGCTTCCTGGCTATTTGACCAACAGCAGATGAAACCTGGACACAATTTGGCGATCGCCTCCGAGCCGAGTACATCAGATACCTGCCATTCTCGGCAGACGAACTCCCAAATCAAGAGAGAGCCATCACAGCTGGCCTGATCGGGCAGCTCCTCGCAATCACGACAGGGGGACTGCATTCCCAATTACACGCAAGGGCAACCGCGGATCGCAACCTAACTTGGGACGAATGCCTAGCACTCGCAGACAAATACCTATGGACCCACCCAGCGTCCCCAAAACCGGCCACACCAACCCCAAATAATACATCCAGACCACCGAAAACAACGGCAAATGGCATCGTCAAACATTATTGCGATCACCACCAGCGCTACGTCTTCCATACGACGGCCGAGTGCTCCCGCACAGGGACAGGAACCAGGAGTGCAACACCCGGAAACGCCTCGCCAAACCGAACCTTGCAACAGTGCAGCTTCCACCCAGGCCGGATGGTGGCCCATTCAACGGCGGAATGTCAAAACAATCCCGCTAACCAGGTGACCTCAGCGCAAGGGGCACAAACGATCCAACCCAATAAATGTGTGCAATGTGGTTCCACAGGACACATGGCGGCGAACTGTCCGAAGCAGGGAAACGAGAAGATCGGGCAGTGATGGCTGTCCTCTGCTTGATCCCGACACCCAAAGACGACAGCCTCACGATGATCATCAACATCAAAGGACATCGCGTCACCGCCCTCATCAATACGGGGGCCACCAAATCCTTCATGGCAACGGACGTCGCCGAAGAAGTGGGACTCACTCCCCATCCTACGAAAGCCAAGATCTCCGCCGCAATCCTTCACATTTCTACAAACGTCAGCCATTCCGTGAGTACCGCTTTCATACTTGGCACGGCGACCTACCACGCCTCTTTCTTCCTTCTTTCAAACGCGCGTTACCCGGTAATTCTTGGGCTCAACACGCTCAAAGATCTCCCCTTTTGCGTCACCCTTGATGGGCAGCGCATCTTCTCCGGATTCCAACAAATAAAACCAACCAACGAAACGCCCCGCGCCCCGGTTGGCGAGGGCATCACCTTTGTGCACGGTTTGGAAAACGAGCGAGCCATTGTAAGCAAATTGCTCGGCAAATACGCAGCCAGCATATTCCAATGGAGCGGGAAGCATGGATTATTTCCACAGCATGTAGCCACGCTGCCAACAAATGGGCAGGACCCGGAACCCCCCCGCAGGATCCACCTATTGCCGGATAAATTGCAGGCTTGAACAAAATCGTTCAAAACTACATCCGCGCAGGGATAGTTGAAACGGCTCAATCAACAATTAACTCACCGGCATTCTTAACATTGAAAAGCGACGATCCAAATGCTCCAGCAATCAAACGCTGGCGCATTGTTGAAGATTACCGCAAGATCAACAAGGTGCTGCTTCCAGACAATTACCCAATGCCTGTAATACAGGATATTTTGGATGCTCTCGGCAGACAGAACGCATATTTCTGCTGCCTTGATCTACATGCGGGCTATCATCATATCCCGCTTGCTCACGGCGACCGCCATAAAACGGTCTTCTCAACGCCCACAGGACAAATGCAGTACACCGTCCTGCCCTATGGGCTCAAAACTGGACCGGCAATCTTTCAGAGGACCATGGAGACAATACTCCGGCCACACCTCTACACAAAGTGCCTTGTCTATATTGACGACGTCATCGTCTTTGGAACAACCTTCGACAACGTGGTGGAAAACCTTGCGAGTGTCATGAACACCCTCACGCAAGCAGGCGCATCCATAGACATCGAAAAATCCTGATTCCTGGCCGAATCCATAAAATTCCTGGGACATATTGTAGATAAGACGGGTACACGCCCAGCAGAAGAACACCTGCAGGCAGTCGAAGCCTTCCCAAAACCCGCTACAACCCGCCAAATGCAAAGATTTCTGGGACTCGCGACGTATCTTTGAGCACACGTCCCCACCAACTTTGCCAACCTCAAAGAGGTCCTACGGAACACGATCCCCGTGAAACCCGCAACTGCGCTACAATGGAATCCGGAAGCGGACACAGCTTTTGAAAGCCTCAAACAAGCGATAGCCCAAGCGGCCTGACTGGAAAGATTCAAACCCTCATGGGACAAGGAAATACATTGCGATGCGTCCACAACCGCCATCATGGCCATCCTAGTGCAGGTGGACAACCAAGCCCAACCGCACATCATGGAGTACGCCAGCCAGGTCCTGACGCCCGCCGAAACGTGATACTCAAATACCCAGCGCGAACTGCTCGCAGCAGTATGGGCCACAACCAAAAATTTTTGACACTACGTCGAGCACCGCCCGTTTAAAATCATTACGGATCACAAGGCGCTCTTGGGCGACCTGGCGGATAAAAGGCTCATAAGCCTCAAATTAAAACTGGAATACTTCCAGTACACACTCGTCCACTGCCCAGGGAAAACGCTGACAGGCCCAGATGCCCTCAGCCAAATTCAACTCAATTCAATACAATTGAAAGAAGTGCCAGACCCACAACTGCGAGCGCAGCTAGTACAAGAATACCATGAGGAAATGGGGCACCCCAGCTGGAAAAAAACGTTTGATCAACTGAGGCACCGCTACACATGGCCCACCCTCAGGGCTGATGTATTTAAGCATGTAACGAGCTGCGAGAAATGTTTCACATTTAATCCGGCTACATCGCGAATTGGCGCACAAACCGAGCCAGTTCCCCCAGCCAAAAAACACAACAGATTGGGAGTAGATTTCTGGGGACCGTTCCCACCGTCCACCCAGGGCCAGCGATACGCATTAGTGGCCGTTGACTACTACTCCCGCAGGGTGGTGGCCCAACCGATCAAACGAGCAACGGCGAACGCCCTCTGCTCCTTCCTAGCGGACATGTTTGCCCAGCTAGGCTCGTTTGAGATCATCCACTCGGACGGGGCAGCCGTGTTCAATTCCTCGGCTTTCCAGCGATTCATCAAAGCCAACCAAATCACGTCGCACAGCCATACCACCCAGAAGGAAACGGGGCATGCAAACGCGCAATTAAGTCCCTCACAACCATCCTGGCAAAAACAGCGCCAGACCCGACCTCCTGGGACACCGTCCTCTATGAAGCAACAATGGCATACAACTGCACGCCACATGCGGCAACAGGGCTACCCCCCATTGAGTTATGGCATCGCAAGCCAATCCCCACACCGTGCAACATTAAATTTGACGCACCGGCACGGGACATCAGCAGCCAACTCCGCAAAGTGGGCACCACCCGAGCAAAACATCAGGCCCGCTACACGCAACAGGCCAACAAAAGGCGCAATCCACCCTTTCATACAGGGCAGATGGTAGTGCTGCGACCACGCCTCAAAACCACCGAATGACATGCCGCTACCCGACGATTCCTGCCAAAGCGATTCGGCCCGTTTAAAGTGCTGACCCGACTCGGGAAAGCCAAATATAGCATAGATACCTCACAGGGGCCACGATGCGCAAACGCCTGGGAGATGCAGCCCTACTCTCCCCCCTCCTTTCCGGCTCCAAAATGCCCAAACAACTTACGACACGTACCTAATGCTCGACCTTCTCCTTCATTCCAGGATACCGACAACGAGACGCCCTGCCCAGGATTCCGGTTAGGCATCGAATCGGACAAAGAGACTGGGGCGACCGCCACTTGCCGGCACAACCGGCCCCAACCAGCCCACCGTTCTGCGGGGACGACATCGAGTCCGAGCCAGACTTCGCTGAATATATCCAGCAACAGTCTGACTCCCCATTTCCCAGACGACAGTCTGCAACACCACAGCCAGAGCCCATCAAGCCTCCTCCAGAGCAGGGGCCCATCCCCAATATCGAGCGAGGACCTGAACCTGCCGGAGACGACACTGCGGACTCCGACACCGGGACCAGCTATTTTAAGCAATGGAAGCAACGCCGATTCCCATCCACCACGTCATTGTCGTCCAGCTCATCCGAGTCCTCCGACAGCTTCACGACCAAAGCGGAGACGGACGTCAATCCCCAGCAGGCCAACCTGGCCACCGGACTCTACGGACAGGGCCCGATCACCAACGAGGAGTAACAACAACGCGGAGCCACTGGATCAAGACCCCGACCCCCCCTGGACGCCAAAGACAACCAAACCAACGCCAACGACGACCCGCGCTATCAAAACCAGTGGCCTCCGCCCCCCGATTTTTTTCGCCGCCATTGGCACCTTTCTTTTCAAAGGGGGGGAGAGTAACCGCCACCGTCGGCCATACTGTCCCGAGCGACAGGAAGCCATCGCGTATTAGATTGTTTCGTACCTTTTTTTGTACCGCCCAATCAGGGCTCACTTGACGCGCGGCTCGCGCAACCGTTGACTAAGAGGTCCCGCGTAGCCTCATTTGATCATCGACCTCTGTTCGGATAAGACCATTGTGCATGTGTATATAAAGTGAATCCGCTACCGACTGAAAGTACAACTACGTTCCTACGTCTAAGTAGTGTATGGTTCCTTCCCTGCAGGGCTATCAGAACTCTGTAGTGTTTAGACAGTGAGTGGACGAAAGTCTTACTATACGAAAGGTCCTACTCCCATGGAGTCCTTTATATCAAATTTAACCGCCTGACTACACTGCATAGGACAGATGTCGTCTAAGTAATCCGATAATTTAACCAGAAATGTCGGGCAACTGATACAAGTCATACAACACAGCTTAAGGCTTCCAGTTTGACAGAATATTGAGGCGAAACTATGACACAATAGTAAAGAAAATCAAAAAGGAATCATCGACATGGGACGTTACGGGGAAACGAAACTATGGGGATATCGTCTCAGAAATCAAGAGTAACTTGAACTAAAGCGAATTTCCCACATACCTCCGCATCTTGAATTTTCTGCAACAACTTCTTTTTCTCGTCCTTCCACGACTCTGAATCCGACTTCCAGTCGCTATACGCGATCCCCAATTGATGTTTAACGAGGAGCACGACGGTGCGCAGTGATTCTGAAGCTTTCTCACCATCGTCCAAGTCTACAGCAATGCTTTCCATTCGCTGTAAATCAAAACATAATGAATCGCTTCTTAGAAATTTTTACAGCTGTTATGATTTACCGAAGACAGTCGATGAATGATGCCGATAAGCCGACCAACCGTTTCCTTGTAGACAGGCACTTGAACATCTTCTGCGTGGAAATCACCGAGAAGGTTTGTTACTAAGACCAAGTCTGTATCACTCAAAAAGGATTTTTGAGTGTCATCGCCTTGCATCCTTCCTTTGTCAGAAGCATTCCTTAACGGGCTCTTGCTGATGGCTTTCCTAATAAATTACTCAACATATGAGCGATCATCCACACTTATGTACTGTACTCATTAATACTAAAAAAATAGAAAACAATGATAAACCACATGTAAAACCAAAAAAGGATCGAGCTTCATATTATGGACAAGTATCGTATTTTTCTCTTCAGCCATTCTAAGGCATACTACAGGGCGGCTAAATTTGTTAACAATTCATAAAAAAAAGGTTACGAACTTTCAGACAATTTGAGGACGAATAAAATACAGTACAGTACTGTAGAACTCAAATTTTCAATACAGTACTTGCTTCCGAGTACGGTACTGCATACAGAGGAGTTCCTCGACATGATTTGAAGAGAAACCTCTTTTTATATTAAATCATTCAATCTGTGTAATAATCAATTTTTTCTTCTTAACAAAATGCACTTTCTACTTCACTGCCATATTTAGCTTTGAGGTGCATTGTAGGAAGAAAAAAAAAGGCCGAAGTTAACAACGCAGCTACCTTGCAGCTCGAAGTTCGTCTCTCAGTTGTGCGTTACGGCCTTCAACATGTTCAATTCGGATCTTCAACCCAAGGGGAGGGCACGGATGACCCAATTGAGCTCGGACTTCCAACTGACTTAGAACATTTTCCAGAGATGGACATTCCAGACGAACATCGCTTAAGCCTAGAAACGCAGAACAGAGCAATATTCAGCAAAACACTGAGTCCGTTTTTATTTTCTCTCGAAAAGTAAACGTTATACCGTCATGTTCTCGCAACGCATCAAGAATTTCTGATAGACCCTGACGTAAGAAAAGGTTCTCGGATTGGATTTCTTTGATCGCCGATTCGAATTCCTGTCGTGATTTCGGGTCCAAAATGTCTTCTGATTTCAACACGTGCGACGGCGAAGGCGGTTTAAGATCATCTTCCGTTGATTTCAGAGATGATTTTGCTTCCACTAATTCACTTTTCACAGATGCCAACTGCAACAACATAACCACTTATCTTGATTTTTTTTTTAGATAATACGGCACACTTAATTTAGATAACTTTGAAGAAAGCAACACAAGCTAAGCTGTTTCAGGAAGAAAACATCAACATTATTTGTACTAACCGAAGATTGAAGCGAAGCGTTCTTTGCTTTCAATTCCTCAACCTTTTTCTCCAATTTCTTCAAAACCACTTTGTGGTCTTGATATTTGCTGAACTTATCCGAAGGTTTCATGCCAAGTTTTCGTCTACAGAATAAAGACGTTAGTTGATATGTTCTTCGAGTCAGCGCAATCATATAGAACCTTAAATCCTCGTTTTCATCAGCTGACTCGGACATTTTCATGTCCAAAGTATTCAATTCCTGGATTAAAGATTCAATCTGCTTATCACGCACATCCAAATCTTTCCGAAGATCCTTGATTTCGGCAATTGCATCAGATAAGCCATACTCTCCCATGAGATACTCCCTCGTTCTGGAGACTACTTCTGCAAGCTGAAAAAAATCATCAAGTTCGATATAACGCGATGATCGGAAAAAATTAGTAACTAACTTGACGATCCTTAGACCTTGCGTGTTCCTCAGCATCTTGAAGAGCTCGTTCCAAGCGAGAAACTTGCGTTTGAGATCCACTCAGCTTTTCTTTGAGGTCGACAATGATCTCTGCGCTACGTGTCTCTCCGGAACTGTCAAAACAGACAAAAATTACAAGACGAACGTAATTTATTTTCAGAATTGGATAGGATTACACACCGGTGATACGGGAAATAATCGCACATTTACTCAAATAATATGTGAAAATAGAACACTTACCGATCACCAAGCGATAACTCTAGAAGCTTGTTAGTCGCATCCATTTCCTCGACGGCAATTGCAAGTTTCTTTTTCATCTCCAGAAGCTGAACATCTTTTTCCTGATAATCAAATGATACGAGCGTTCTCAAACAACCATCTTCGAAAAAAATTCGAATCTTACCTTTAACGTATCCACTAAAGAAGCGAATGCAGACTTGTCCAAGGTTTCAAGCGGGGTCTTGGTATCAATTTGTTCCTTTAAACTCAGAATGTCAGCGTCTTTCCTTTTTAGAGAAGCCTTAAATAAGGGGAACCAAAGTTTGAATTGATTCTGAAAAAAAGACTATCAAATGTTACAGACCTTAAGATCATCAATCTGAGCATTCAGAACTTCTTCCAAATCTGTCGAGATTCCAGAAGGCTTGCTTTGTAAATTCGCTTTCGAAAGCAGATCGCCCAACTCTTCTTTCTCCTCTTGAACGGACGTCAACAGTCCTACAAAAAGAAAAATGCGGAACGCAGCGACATTTTCAAGAACCAAGAAACACATCTCTTCAAGAAGCAGAGTTTGAAAGAAATGAAAGCAACATATTTAGCTTAAAACGGGGTTTCGCCATGTACGTGCACAACGCAACAAGGCAGATCTATCACTGGAGATTCATAAATAACCTAGGTTTTAATCTCACCTTGTGACTCGTCAAGAGCAGTCTTCAGTTTCAACAATTCATCCGTCATTTCTTCTAAGCCAGCGGTCGCGTCTTTCAAATTATTCCTGAGTTCCACTGTTCTTTCTTCCATGGCGAAGTTCTCTTCTCGCAATTCCTGTAGAAAGCAATCATGCCGTAATCGGTGCGGAACATGCCCAGATAACCCATCGAAACTCCGTTGCGTTCCGAAAAAAAAAAGGCAACCAACCTCAATATCCATATGAAGTTGTTCGATCTGCTCATTTTTTTCTCGGAGCAGCGAGGTGAAGTGCATCGAGCCACTTATTCCACCAGAGGCCAACTCTTCCATGCTGGACATCTCTCCCTCATCAGCGGCCCAACTCAGTCTAGAGTTACTATCTTTCTTCGAACCAAAATCTTGCTTCCTATCCAAAGCCGTGTGGCATTCAGATAAGTCATTTTTCAGAACAGCAATTTGACGCTTCAGGTCGACAGCTTCCGCTTCCAATAATTCCACTTTCCGTTGCAGCTGGAAGTTCAACAAAAACAAAATCCAGGGATTGCTAGCGGACAGGAGATGCCGCGACTTTTGATACTGTACCTTCATCTTCCAAGTTAAAAAAAAAAAAAGATATATACAGTATTCGAAGTTATAAAAAGTATAGATGATACCAGATGCCTCGCGAAGTCGGGTCTTTTCTTGAACAGATTCATAAACGGAGATAAACTTAATATATACTTATTTTTTAATAGATACAATTAAAATGTCGATGTAGAGTTCCGTCTTAGGCAATTTCGATCGCTGATCATGCAGACAGGGTTTTCTAGAATTTAATATACATACCTTATCATTTCGCTTCTTGTACAGGGCCGCTTGGTTTTGCGACTCGCGAAGCTTTTCTTCTGCCTCTTCGAGCTGCATTTCAAAAGAAACGACTTCTTGACGCCAAAATTGATCTCGACCTAAAAATAAAAGACATGCATCTTCAACGAATGTTTCGGAAATGGGAATTTTCAAGCATACCTTCGGGAGTTGTATCCTCAATCTGACGTTTAAGCTTCTCCACCTTTTGTACCCAACCTTTTTCCCTTTCGGTGACCTCGGAAAGTCTCGAAGAAATTTTTTCAACATCTTTGCGATCAATCTCCGCCTGAAAATAATGTATTACATTGATACAACTTCGGAAAAAGCGTCGCTGTTTGACGAACCTCGTTAACCTTGGCCTCTAAAACTGCCTTCGTAAGCCTGAAGAGTGCAATAAGCTGTTCACGCGACACATCGTCTTCCGGATCCAAAGAGAGGATTTGGGGGATCCAATAGTTGACATCATCTTCTTCGAGACCTTCTTGTTCAAAGGACAAGACCTCTGCCCAGCTGAACTCCATGACAATACACACACATGCGGGTAGTTAATAAAACAAGCCAGCCATTCTATACCTGAAAGAACAAAATTGCCTTCGTTGATGGATTCCAGTCACACAAAAGGAGGAAGAAGTGCTAACGGCAGCCTCAAAGTGAATCCGTATATTCACACCAAAATATGCACGATGTCAAGGCTCGTTAGATCTCGCCAACTTGCACCTACAAATTAACGCTAAGCGAAATATTTCAGCGCAACCGTCATGAATACAATATACAAGTGATTTTCAAAAATCGTCAAACGATGATACAGTACAACATTTTAGGATCGCAGCAGATCCTCAATGATGTTGTTAAAACATATGAATTACATCAACATTTTAAAATGAAACGCATTCCGTATGCAAACAACAAAGATGAAAGAATGGAGTTCTTTGGCCTTCAAAAATAGCGATCTTGAATCCCAAGTTAAGGAATGCTAGCGCATTATGCGAAAAAATGTCTTCGTAAACATAAAACGTCGTATCGAGCGAATTAAATAAGGAAGAGCTTGTTTCTGAAGTTCTCATGCAAAGTAAATATAAGCTTCTGGGAAAATTTCCCACACGTATCTACTTTTTCTTGCTTTTGCCTAACGTCAGAGTATGGAGCCCTGAAGAAGATGAATGGTGCGACATCTGCTTATCATTCAAAATTTGCGTGTACAAAGTTTTCAGGCGTAGAAATTCTGATCGGTCCTCTTCCAACTTCTTTTTCCCATCCTCAACACGTCGTCGCTCCTCCGCATGCAATTTTTTTAGGCTTTCGAACTTCATGTGAAGCTGTGGGAGAGAGAAAAAACAGGTTCTTTCTTTCAACTTTCTTCATTTGATTAGGAAAAAGGGAAAGGGAAAATTTGTAAACCAATAACGCAAATTCTTAGAGAATTGATTTTAAGCACATGCTTTTCAGCTTTGTTTACATGAAAATATGTATACAGTATTTCAATTACCCAATATCGTTCTCAGGAGTTCAACGTTCACTTATGGAATGACCAAACAACGAAAACCACTTACTTCCATTTCGACTTCTTTCAACTCCTGCTCCTTCACTTTCACGCGAGCAACAAACGCTTCCCGAACTTCAACCTCTCGCCGAGTCAATTCCGCTTGATGCAGCGAACGCTTCTGTTCAAACGTTTCCTGGTAGCTTATAGGCTTATTGTTCGCATCGACATCCAAGAAACCCATCTGTTCGAGTCGCAGCTTCCGATAAACTTCGAAGTGAACTGTATGAGTTTTCTCACGAAGATCTTCCATATTAGTTTGAATTAGCATTTCTTTCAACTTCATGAAGTCGCAATGAGACTCGTTTTCCACTTGCACAACACCCCAAGGGTACTGACGGCCGCGGACGTTTTTGTTACCAACTTTAACGAATTCATTACTGCCCACAACGGCGAACGGCAGGATTGAGTTCATCGTTGAGTTTGTTTCTGCGCAAGTTTCATCGGTAGTCGGGAACTGATAAATACGGACACCATTTGCTTTCAACTCCGACATTATTCGCTGCTTGAACTTCGACAATTCTGCCTTAGAGATGTTGTCAGCTTTCGCAATAATCGGTATGATGTTAACTTTGGATTCCAGTTGCTTCATGCACACAAGATCGATCGCTTTCAACCTGTAAAGGATATCGTCATTCACGGTGAAATTTGTGCCGAATTGTCGAACAAATGTTTACCCATGACCAGTCGGGCAGATGAAGTACAAACAACAATGAACTCTGGTGTCGTGGTATACGTTCAAGCTGCGTTTGATCTTGAGCTCTTCCTGCAAATACGCTTCGAACTGCTGCTCAATATACTGCACGATGGATTGGAAGCTGTCTTCCTTGTTCACTTGATCACCATATCCAACAGTATCAACAATAGTCAGCTAAGTGGAATTACGAAGAAAAAATTAAACAATGCTCAATGTAGATTTTCCGACCACCACAACACCTTCAATCGAACGTTGCTCTCCTGAAGTTCATAAGTCTGCGCCTCCAATCGAACCTTGGGAAGATTGTGGGAAGACGGCTTGGAATCGAAGGTTGTATTGAAAAGAGTGTCCATCAAAGTTGATTTGCCGATTCCGGTTTCACCTGAAAAATTAAAAGTTCAGGAACATTGAAATAACATAAGAATATCTCCGAACTTACCCACGCACAAGATGTTAAAGGCGAATCCATTCTGAACAGATTTATTCACAAGCTGATCAGGAAGCGAGTCAAATCCCACGTGACCCGTCATGGTAAGAGTCCGACACTCGCTACCCGCACCCATCGTAACAACTATTCAGAGGGACTAATAAAAAAAAGAGGGCAACATTAATACGAAGCGTCAGAGCTGATTGATAAAAGATAACCAGACTTCAACAGAAAACTGTTTCAAATTCAGAAAATAAGGCAAATGCTGGGAAGCAGGGCCGAGTTAACACGTTGAACAACACTGCTGGACTCGATACATCCAATAGCGATCACTACATCGGGCAGACCCAACTGATGCCAACGAATGTACAGCAATTACATGTTTCCAGTCTCGCTTTACCAAGATGCCCCGAGTACATGCACGAGTCCCAGAAATGCGTGCGATAATGTGGCGTTAGTCGCAACCACTTGACGAACACTGCTCTCCGAGGAATGCACGTTCGCCCGCATGGGCGGTGACCGGACGTTACGGTACACTTTCAAACTCGACGCAACTCACTTCCACGCTGCCCCTCCAGAGGGCTGTTCCCTACCACTCCATGCCTCAATGCCAAAAATGAGTGACTTCATAAACTGCGCATGCTTGCAGATACGAATTACATGTTGAAGAATTGTGTTGGAGTAGGAAGATAACATAATATTCAATACCGTACTTTCCTGTTATCTCTGTACCTCATTCCTAGACTGCACTACCATCCAGACAAATCTGGTGGTGTAGTTTCTCGCTGGAGAAGGAAGCCACGCCAGGGAAATTCCGCGCCACTGCACCCCCCATCCCCTCACTCCCTATCCTCATCACTCTCTCTTTCACGCACACTAGTGACAGACTTGAGGGTTTGCGTTTACAGTGCAGTAATTTTATTTATTTGAAAAAGGTGTTTTTATATGTGCACTATGTTATTTGTCCCTCGGAGTCTCTGTTTACATTTTACACCACCAAAGCATTGCAGTCAAAGTCACTCAATGAGAGGCTGGCGCTCCTAGGGGTGGCGTGGAAGAGGTAGCGTTGAATGAAGCTGCGCTGAGTGGAAGTTGTACCATAACGTCGAGTCACGCATGGGGGTGATCGCATTATTGTGGCGGCGAAGCTTATCGCCATAACGAATCATCACTGATCCCGACAAACTTCTTGTCCGCAGGGAACGTTTACAGAGTACGGTACCGCACTGTTTACGAAGCATAACATTTCAGTGAGATGCCCATCGATCGCACTGTGGCCGCGGCGAAGCTTACCGCCATAACGAATCATTATTGATCCGGACAAACTTCTTGTCCGCAGGGAACATTGCTATACTGTAGTTAATTGGTGAACTTTTGCTTATTATCGGAAGCACATGTATAAGGTGTTGTCCCAATAAGGCCAATTTCCTTACATCACTCATTAAAAATACCTAATTCTAAAAATAAAGGTGTGATATATTGAGCTGAATTTGAAATGTCCTTCTTACGCAAGGGGATTTACATTTCTTTCTGCCGATTTTTTTGCCTCACTCAAGAGAGAAATTCATCACCTCTCTTTCGCATTCAAAAGACTGCATAAAAGAGCTTCGCCTTCTTTTGTTCCAGATGTGCTCCTTTCGAATCTTTATTTAGCTTCACATTTCAAATGGGCCACTTATGTACATAAGTTATTGAGGCTGAAATGCCATGCGAAGTTGAGTAATTATAGCTCCAAGTAGATCTTAATCGGATCTCTCTTCAGTCCAACTCTGACGTATGAGGATCGAACCCAAATAGTCACACGCAAAGAAAGCTATCAATACCTATGCAGTTTGACCCTTGTATAAATACCTGCCAGTGGAACTGCAATGCTGAAGATATATCATAATATGAAAAATCAAAACTATTCAACTCAGCTGATTCGTTAAAAGTACATTTTACTTTATGCCTTGATTTAGGATTAATGAATATCAATGAGAACTAAAACCCCGATATGAACTTGGGAGGATTGTGCAGTAGTCAGAATGAATACCGAACTGCAAATCATGAACAAGAATTTTCACATAAATTCCACTTAGCATCTGCACACACATTTTCCACAGAATGCTTCCCATTTCAAGGTATTTTCTCTTGCTATTCCATAAGAAATTAGTGCCTGTCAGGATTCTCTAACAGTATATGAGTCTAACCTTCTCTCAATGTGCTCTGACGTTCATCTAAAAAAAAATGAAGAACACTTCCTTATATAGTAGCAAGAAGATTGATCAAGCATGAAGTCACTTCAAAAAGTACATGTATTGTATATATTTTTCCCTCATGAAACAATCCAATAGAAAGATGAACCACTCGCAGCGGGTAACTCAAATTCATGCAAAAATATTCTCTTTTCACAGAACTTGAAATAAGACTTATTCTTCATGGGAACCTCGTTATTAATTCAAAAACGAAGAACACCTCAAGGGTAACGAGAGGAAACCAATTGCACTCGAATGATGCACACAGTGACGGTGCAGAGGTCACGCATCAAATATGAAAATGAGATATCACGCCTTCATTGTGCGCCAGTACAGTCGCTGTTTCAAAAATGGGTCCACATTCATCGAGTCCAAGTCAGAATAAACCAGCAAGCACAAAGTTGAATCCAAAGAAGAAGAAAAAAATGTAAACTGATGTCAGGAGATTCATTGATTTGGTACTTGATTGGTTCCGCATAAGAAAACTCAAGATGACTGGGTTCTCCACATGAATCGAAAAATGCTCGTTTGGGAATTACACAAGCAGTCTTGAAAAAAAACGTAAATTTAGAGAAATTGGATGATTACGAGAAACATTTTAGTCGACGAAAACAGTAAAAACTATAGGCATGAACACGGAATGCAGAAATGCGTCAATCGGAAATCAACTTCACTCCACTGTGACAGACTTTGCAAGATTCCGGGGACAGTCGACGTTGCAGCCCCGCAACACAGCGATGTGGTAACTGAGAAGCTGGAGAGGGATGATGGACAAGATGCCTTGTAAACAGTCCACGGTCGGTGGGATTTCAAAGACAGACTTGGCAAAATTCTTTGTCTCCTCGTCTCCTTTCTCGCAAATGATAATCGGTCGCCCTTCTCGTGCCGTCACCTGCTGCAGGGCATTTACGCATTTGGCATACACTGGATCTCGCATGACCACCATCACGATCGGCATATTATGGTCCACTAATGCTAATGGTCCATGTTTGAGCTCCCCAGCCAACACTCCTTCGCTGTGCATGTATGTGATCTCCTTGACCTGTATGAGATTGAGAAGTCAAGTATTTATCGCCAAATAAAATCTTCGTGCATTTAAAAATTACAGTAGAAGTGAAATGTATAATTACTCATGGAACATTTTATACAATCGACAGGTTTGAAGCATAATCTCAACGCTTTCATTTACAATACTTTAATAACTGACAAAATGCAGGCGTGAGAGAACATCTGGAAATTCTTTCCGAGTTCTTTCCAGAGTTACATAACACATTACAGGATTGATTTTGAAACACTAATCGCGTTTCACTTGAAAATAAAATTGAAGTTAGCCTTTATTTTGGCAGCTTATCATGGTAAACTACTTTTAAACATCGCCGTTTGAAATTGGTACCATTTTCCTGAACAAAAAACTTCCTGAAATTTTGGGAAGTGAGTGACATTGTGACTCGGATCCACCAACTGAAGTGTGTTGAAATCGATCACAACTTAGATTCGCGTATATAATTCATTTGGATTGAAAATCAGTCACATAAGAAATTATCAGACGAAATGTTTACCTTGAGTGCTCCCTCCAGACACGTAGCAAAATTGTATCCGCGACCCATAATCAGCATGCTCTTCTGTAAATACAACTCCTCGGCCAATTCCTTCACTTGGTCATCCAGGTCCAAAACTTCCTGCACCTGATTGGGCAGATTTTGTAGGGCTTTGATGATCTCCATACGTCTAGGCATCGCCGAAATACGGTCCTCGGAAATTACTAGCGCGAACATAACTAGAGACACGAATTGCGACGTGTAAGCTTTAGTGGACGCAACGCCGATTTCTGGTCCCGCATTGATGTGCACGCCACAAATAGATTCCCTGCAGATGCTAGAGCCCACAGTGTTCGTGATGCCCACAACCAGAGCACCACGGGCCTTGCAGTATCGTAGGGCTATGAGCGTATCGGCGGTTTCGCCCGACTGAGAGATGAAGAAGCACACGTCATCCCGGAAAATGGGGGTGTTGCGGTCCATAAAATCGGATGCTAGATCAACCATGACTGGCAGTTCCGTGAGTTCTTCCAGCAGTTGTCTGGAAATATTTGCGAAAAGATAGTGACATGATGAAATTCGTCAATTTTACAGCTCTTTACATAGGAAGAACAGTTCACGACACAATACATTAGCAAGCGTCTAGAAAATCATACAGAAGAATGCGAATACTGTATATACTGCGATAAATACTGTCGTCAAAAAAGCTGTTGTGTAGCCAAAGAAGTTCAAATAAAAATTTGACGAAAATGTATACGATACTGTGTCTTCGTTGTGCGAAAAGAAAATAACGACAATGATCGTTCACTGATGAAAAAATTTCTACTAATACCCTTCAGAGGCATATTCTCGCATGTCGCTTCTCGAGATTTCTTGAAGGTTTTGTCCCATTATCTTATAATGAGCCAAAATTATTTTTATTTAAATTTGAAAGCTCCAAAATATTTCACAGAGGATAGAACAACCAACCTAGTAGCAATGGCAGAATGATATGAAGTCCCACAAGCAATAAGCAGCAGTCTTCTACAACGCTTTATCTCCGGGATGTATTCCTTGATCCCACCCAATGTCACCGTACCCTTCTCAAAGTTGACTCTCCCGCGCATGGTGTTGAAGATAGACTCTGGTTGTTCAAAAATTTCCTTTTGCATGAACGATGAGAATTTCCCTTTCATAATTTCTTGTATCTCTAGCTTCAACGTTGTGATCTCTCTCGATGTTGGGCTTGCGTCGGCTGGTCCACCATCAGTGTTTCTGCTCAGCCTGAAAAAAAAGTTGCATCGTTAATTCATCGGACATCAAACAAATTCTGAAAAGCCCTGTACGACATTTTGAAAAATTTGAGTACAATATAAGGTTGGTCCTCTTCAGAATTGAGAAAACGCTTCAATCATCAGAGCAAAGAATGAGAACATGACTTACTGCTACATCTGTACTTCTGCATGAAAAGTTCTTGAAACTTTTGTGAAATTACTTACACCATCGTTTGAAATTTCCTTGCTTTTTCTCTTGAAGATTGTACTGTAAATCATATCAGCACCAAAAACAATGACCCCAAGTTCTATTCAACCACCGATCGCTATTTGAAAAATGTAGAATCTGCTCTGTCTTAGCAAGGCCTCCCAGTAACCTTCAAATAAAACGAACCTGTGAATGCTCAGACAGCCATCTCGAACGAATGCCACATCGTCATCTTCCAGATAGATAACCCGCTTGGTGTGATCTACGATAGCACTCGCGTCCGACGCAAAGAAATACTCAATTTCAGATGCCTCAGTAGTTGGCAGCAACAGCTCTGAAGTGGACTCGTTCCGTTTTAGCAGGACGGACCCAGAAGAAGACCGTGGTCTGTTGTCCTTGGAGTACACAATCGGGATAAAATCGGCTGTCTCATAGCGTGAGTCCTTGGACTTGATGCCGACAAGAAGCGGGCTTCCGCGTCTCATTGCAACACACTCGCCCGGGAAGTACTTGCTCTTGACACAAATGGCGAAAGCACCCTCGAGTTGCACAATGGCCTGCTCCACCACCTCCCTGTTGGCGACAAACGAAACAGTAAGTCAGTTTGATACACCCGGTATGAAGCACTTGAGTTCTGGAGTGGTAACGTGCACTCGTGCGTCACCAACTTCGGATCATTGCAACCTTTTTTTTTGAATGCATCATTTATCAATACATGACAGTGTTACCAATACCATCAGTGGTATGTGGACTCTAAGTTGAAATAGTTAAAATACTGAATTCAATAACAAATTTTCTTTGACTAAAATGAAAGACTTTGTAACGGCGGTCAAAAGCCTGCTTATCAACTCCATTAATATGCAGAAAGGCAGGAGAAAATCTTAAACGCCCAACCAGAACCCGACCAAATCTTCGTTCTAAATGTTGAGTCAGAACAGAACCATACGACATGGTTCTGAACAGCACCATACGAAATATTCTACGCGGAAAACAACCCCAATGAATGAGTAAATAAACATGTAGCCCTAAGTTTTCAAAACTATATACAGTATAGCACAGGTATTTCAATATACTGTACAGTCTACTCCTGAATTATTTCCACCCTCCCATAGAGCCATTAATTTCGCAGGAAACAAAATCTTCAATTGTGTCCTCAAGGGAAACACTGATTTATTGCAAAGTAAATTAAATTAGTGCCACAAAAATGTCCTTGTACTGGATTAAAAATAGACAAAAGCCACAATTGAGGAAGTTTTTTAGATATATTATTGAGTTGTCATTGAGAATCAAATGCACATACTCAAACAAAATCTCAGGGTAACTTTGAACATTCTATTGCTGAACTTACAACGTAAAAATATTTGTGTTATTGCATGACAAATTACCTTGGAGTATTTACGATTTCATAAATCCTGGAACCATCGGTGAGTCTTACATTGTGAGACCCGATACTGAATTCTCAACTCGAATTCAAACAAAACCTGAAGAAACAGCCCTGCTTTCTTATAAGACACAGCGCGAGTAAAAATGTATTCTGTTTTTACTAGGGATATTGAAACAAGACATAAAAACGATAATTTTGAGCTTATAATTATTTCTTCTGCTTATAAAAAATAACAAAATAAATAAAAAATAAATTCTCTCATAAAGACAAAGTTGCCGAAAACTTTGGTAAACAAGCTCATTTTCCCGACAGTAGGAACTCTGAATTAAACCTTCCTTTCACAAATTAGCTTCAATTTTTAAAATGACGGCACGACGTCAATGTTTGACCTTGGGTAGTCAAGTGTGGATGAAGCCTTGTGACGTAGAACTGTGCGAACACACAATATTATCATTTGCATAGGTATTGTACAGTACATTAATATTTTAGGGTAACTAACTAGTCCAGCAGCAATAACTGAATTGAAAAACCTCACCTGAACGAGTAGTCGGGATGCTTGCGCCGCAAATGGTCACAAAGTTTACCAATCACCTCAGTGTCAGTTTCCGACTCAAAAACATAGCCCTTAGTGACGAGGTACTTTTTGACGTCTTTGTAGTTGGTTAGGATGCCGTTGTGAACGACGAGAAATCCATTGCCGAGATCTGACCGCTGCGGATGAGCGTTCGTGGGTGACGGGGCACCATGGGTGGCCCAACGAGTGTGAGCTATTCCAACATGCACATCGTGAGTCGTGTCCATGCCTAACGACGCAGCTTGGGCCAAAATGAGTTCTTCCAGCGCCTTCACTTTTCCAGTTTCCTTCACCACACTGCAAGAGATAGGAGTACAATGATTGATCGTCCAAGACAATATCAAGGTAGACTACTAGACAAAAAATATGCGACATCGCCAAACCCAGTGGTTTCAATTTTTATTTTATTCCTCCAAGGTAAAATAATGAAAATTAAATTATGGAATAAGCTATCGGCTCGAAGATGAGGGCTTCAAAAAATAGGCAGTGACGACGCTCTTCACGCAAGATGAGGACCATTGAAAATATACCAGACTCGTAAAACACTGGGAAAGAGGACCCTCTATAGACATGTGCATTATAAATACTGTACTGTATAAAAACTCACCGACATAAATACTGTACTGCATACAAAAACTTTGGAACCTATTTCATGAGCATGCACAGCCCAGTATTCTTATTGCATCGTAAAACAAAACTAGAAAATCTTGATACAGTATTTTGTCAGTCTCAAACTTGACTATATTGAAATGCGCTATGCATCCCACACCCATGCAACTAGAAAAATTGTAAACCGTTCTGATGATTAAGAAAACTTGTTCGATTGGTTTTTTCCTTAGGAGCTGAAACCGCAAAGGAAATAATAAATCAGGGCTTAACAATTATTGACTTGTTTCGACTTTTCGACAACCCGGTATAAAAGAATTTTGAATCAATGATACTGTAATACAGTACAGTACGGTACCTTCAACGCCCATTCACCCGCTTCAGGATCCAGCAATAAAATTGATAACATTTTCAGGAAATTCAAGACCTCACATTTAACCCCAAAAAGTACCTCAAGACAGCTCCCATTCTGCAAGAACAGGGATCAGCTCAGAAGAGGGAAATGTTTTCGAATACTTCCAATTCCATATGTGAAACGAACTCGCGTTGAAAAAATTCTTTGGAGGAGCATTCAACGAAGTCCGGCACAATCGCACACATGAACACTTTAGGATGACGCTCCGAAAATACAAATGGGCAAACTAAAAAAAATTTAAAAATGAGTTTGTGATCATAAAAAAAGAAGAGAGAGACACTTCGTGCCGCCTTCACAAATGACATTCAGAAGAAGGATTTGACTGAAAATTCACCATACATCAGTGGATAAAGGTTCGATGTTGGCACACAAATCTGAGCACGAGGACGTTATTTTAAAATTCTGCGCCGAGATACTAGTTTCTGTCGTATAATCCTATTTTACAAAGGGATGTTTCAAAACCCGAAAATTACCTTGGAATGTCATCGCCATCAATCGCGACTCCGGCAGAGTCATACCCTCGATACTCAAGCCGTTGCAATCCTTTTATGAGAAAATCCAGAACTTCCCGGCGAGTCCTCGGCGTCAAATAATTGATGTACGCGAAAATACCACACATTTTCACAATACGTATTGGTCCTAAATAAAACACATACAAAGTTAGAAGAGTCTGCTGTTTCAAGCGTTCCGTCACCGCAACGAAGAACTCATTCATGAACATCTCACGGTTCATGGAGGAATGATTTCCACACGCGTCGAAGTCACCAAATTCCAGCAAGGTTTTCAGCATCCGGAACAGCGCGGACTCTGGGGAATCCCGCATATCGTATCTTGATTTGATGGCCCGAACCACGGGTCGAAGATTTTTATCACGAGATTCCAAGAAGCGAAGAACTAAGGGAAACATGTTTACGCTCCAAGTTCATTTCGGCGAAATACCACATCGACCGGAATTCGGGAAGATGGGTGCTCTCTAATGATGTCATCCACCAACTTTTCGTACACAGACAAGTGCAGTTACCTAGCACTTGGACATTAAATCTTCGCATTGTATTCGAAGAAAAACACACCCAACGAAAACAGTACTGTACATTAAAGACTAATCGTTTCACTGAAGGCAATACAATACTCCGGATTGTATCGATTGGATTATCTGGTGATAGTATTCACCATACACAGTACATACGAAGAATTTTGAAAGAGAAAAAGGTTTGATTTCCTTTCCTTCCAAAATCAAACGGAACCAGAAGTTGTTTTACTGGAGACGAACCATTGAATCAAACCCAATTGATGCTGACTGGTTCATTTTCGCTATTTCTCTCTGTAGACTTTTCTATCGTATTAACAGTGCTGAACAGTAAATGTACATTGATAAACTTGATTAACCTGACCATAATACAGGATGAATGAATTCTTGGAATGCAGTAATAGAGCTGCACTGAAATATAACACTCTCCTAAAAAAAAAACATATCTTAGCATTTGATGAAAAAAACATCAAGCGAATATCACACGAAAAAAAAAATTATAGCTTGTTTTGGATAAATATTTTATTTTCTAACGCCTCTCGTCTTACTTGTACAAAAACTCTTTAAATTTAGGATACTGTGAATCTAAATAGCCCAATGCTAAACTATTTCCTCATCCTTTCGGTCTGTGCTCAGGCAAATACCCACACCGAAAACTTTCACGGCAAAAAATGTCTGTCCAAGTAAGGAAAAAGGGACGTATAACTGAATACAGTACAGTAGTTTTGCACTTTCTTTTACATAACATTTTTATGGCCAAAATACTTCAATTTCTGTAATTTTTCATGAAAACTTGTCGACATGTTCGCAAATCAAGGAAAACTCTGCGAAAGAGAAAAAAGGTTAGGTTTTGCCTCTTCCAAGTCAAATAATGGAATAATTTTAGGAAGTTGTGAACTCACGAAAGTCATAACCTAATAAAATACACATTTTTTCAATTTTTATTGAAGATGTTTTGCGAGGGTCTAGAACTGATCGAATATTATTTTTTCAATTATACCTCAAGAAAAACCATATTTCAAACAACAAAATGCATCCAGTAATACATCAGTTTCATTATGCTGGATCCAGTAATTCCTGGAATTTCAAAGGATGCTTCCAATTTTAAGGACAGACGAGAAAACCTGAAATAAATCGATCTTCTCATTAAAATTTCTGACGAATACTCACTAAAACTTGTACAAAAGCGAGCAAATGTTTCTAGGATTTATTGAACTACATGATAAAAATCGGCATTCGCAGACAAGATAAAGTACCGTCTCAGAGGAGTGCGAAGAAAATGAGAGGGCCTACGTTCCGCACTGTATAGAATGGACAGGAGATACACTGATTAGTTTAGCTACAATGGGTAGTCAACAGAACGATATGTGCACCAACACATGTGAAGATTCCGGTTCCATCGTACAACAAAATCGATGATAAAATGGAAATGCACACGAGCACCGCGGATGATGCACTGAAGAGCAGTTACTGCTGCTCAACATCATCGTGCCCGGCCACATCAAAGTCGGGCGTGCCTCTTCCGGATTATGAAATCACGGCAAGCTTTTACTGGCTCCGCATTACGAAACATGTTGCTCAAGGAAATCCACTAACATGCCATCAGATTAAGCCACAAGTTACCACATTGTATGGAGGCCAAGAAAGTTCGTAGAACATGTAAACGCCTCAAAGCGTTCACCGAACACCGGAAGCCATGGTTTCTATATACAGCATAGACATCGAACAATGAACCGCCGTCCCACGAAAACGCACTTCCAAGAATTGGAACACTTTGCCGAGGCCTTTCACAATCGCGAAACGTCAGACGTTTCTGATGTATGCTTCGACGATTTCAAAACGTCGATCCAGGTCTATTTCCCTAGTAAGGTATTGCACGAGATTTCTTCAAGTACAGTACTGCACTAACTTCAACAATACTGTATTGTAATGTGCAGTACTACAATTGGAAGGCTGTTTTTTTCATTGTACAGTACGCCGAAATGGAGCAAAAAGGGTCCTTTTCAAGCGGACATTATGAACGACTGCTGCGTGCTCATGAAAATGCCGTCTGACGCTCTGAACAAAAATGTGGCACTAGACTAGAAAAGTTAACAAAAATTAAACTAAATAGTTATTCGCGTACCGTGATTCTCAATACAGATGCATCAATGCATCACACGTCCAATTCAAACAATTCGAAGAGAAAACTATCATTTTCTACAATAAATCTACGATCAAAAAATAAATAAAACGTTGCACACTAGTTCTGTATACTGAATCTATGGTCCTGAGACCAGCGCACAGTCTGCAGAGCATATGCTTGTCCACACGGAAATTGCTCTATTCAAATGTATGTTATAAGTTACGTGATGCACCAGCAGAAACTTTATGAGCTCAAGTGTTCAATTGCAGAATCCAAAGTCAGGGTTTATATTCCCACCATATTAGCCTAATGTTTATCGGCTCGGAAAAAAAAATTGTTCTTATGATAAAATTGCTGCACGGCAAATGAATTGCATTTTTCTTTTACTCGTGATTAATTTCGGGGGAAATCTCATTTTTACTACTGTATATGTAAAATCGTATCTCCACCCACGTTCTTCTATAAAAGCTGCGCACAACAAAAAGAATCAATTACTGTACTACTTTTATTTACAAATTTCCTTCAAGAGTTCACTGAGAAAAACAATTACAGTAATTAGCTCAGTAAGCATGTTACCATTGCAAAAAATGTATCCAGTTGACCAACATTAAATAAGAGTTTCGATAAAATTCAGAATTCAATTGTTCTGTAATTTTTCGATAGGATTCACGCGGAAACATTTGAATAGATTTGAAAGCTACAGTTCCTACAGTCTTGGCGAGTGACCTTTAGAATGCAGGAAAGCAATTTATGCTATTAATTTTCGAAAACTATTCCTTGGAATATCATTTGTTTTCAACGCCCACCTTTCTAGTGAGCACAAATTTATGGGATCATTTCAATTATGATACAAGTCATCATTCGAAAGATTAACATAATTGCCCCTCAAAATGTGTACGCCACAACAGCAGTGGCAGGTTGAAAATTTAAGGCCCTGAATACTTGGGGTTAGTATGAGAGGCACAACTTTGGGCATACAAGTGCCCAATTTTGAAAGTCTTTCAAAATTTGTGCAGATGCCCCTTCCTTCAAAATTCGTTCCCGGAGAACAAATTAAATTTTTCAGATGCTTTTCTTTTGAGTGAGAAAAATAGGATCTCATTTCCTTACTTCGGTTGATCTTTTTCCGTTCAAATTTTATACAGCTAAAAAAAAATTACGTAATTCTTGGGCTTTTTGTACAGCCCCAGGTGTGCGGATATCTCGGATATTTTCTGAGTCACAGAAATGTTCATCAAACAGGACGGTCCTAAGTGGTTGGAATGAACTCCATAATATTTTCCCAGAAAAAAATTTGAAAATACGATCTGAATAAAAAGCCGGGCATTTTTATAACAGAATATTGAACGATTGCTTGACACATGCAGAACCCAGATAAATACCAGTACAATACCACTCGTTACGCGAAGTTCGCAAACCCGAGCCGCATTCCTCCTCGAAATTGAATGAAGGAATTACGAGAATATTAGTAACTTCCACTCCGCAGTCACACCACGTCGTCCGTTTCATTGCAGAGTAAAACAGTATGAAAGGCACGTTAAGTGCGTCTTTCAAGAGTAAAGAACGAAGTGAATCGACAGCTCCCGTCTCCGTCCGTCCTGTCCAATCGCGACACTCTCGTCATTCCTCAGCTAAACCTGATGGGGATGTTAGAACAAACAGTATGCATTCCATGCAATTCCGTAGGTGTCGCTACTTCCTAATGGGCAAAGCCCGTGAAATTAGTGACACCTACATTCTTATTTTTCAGCGTTTGTCAAACGCTAGTTCAACATGAGCGATCCGATTGACGAGCGTTTACCGTAAGGCATCACTTCCAGACCTTACAAACCACGGCGACCTGTAATGATTCATGAGAAGTTTGTCTAACGTCATCTGTCGCTGTCGTGCATCGATATTTCGCGAAAGCTGCTGCGGTAAGGTTGATTAAGTTGATACCTTTGACGAAGTTGAGAGTGACAAGACTGCAATTCTTCTTATGATTACCGTTTCTCCATTTTTGTTTTCCGTGAATTTATGTATTCAGTACTGTACTTAATTTACAGTTGAATCGCATGGAATGTGATTCTGATCGTACGGAGTGGAAACCGGACTACGATAAATTGTGCCCGCATCCCTCTTGGAAAGCTAAGCGTATTCAGAACGATCTTGTTCGTCGCTCTGCGTCGCGCTATTTTTATAAGGGTGTTCAACTGAAATTCGACGACAACGGAAGAGCTGATTTCCGGGTGAATCGTAAAGGGGAGTGGATTCCCATACCAACTGTCGCTGAAACTCGACGCGAAGAGCTGAAGAAAGCAGTTCACCCGTCTTGGGAAGCCAAGAAGAAGTTACGAGAAAAGCTAAAAAAGCAGCAGAAGGAGAAAAATCCGCCTAACAAGATACTCCCGTTTGAAGGCAAGCGTGTTGTTTTCGATTAATTCGCAATGAATACCGGAGGTAGAAGAAGACGTCAAGATGATGATGGAGAATTTCGCGGGCGGAAGCGGCGTCGCAATGAATCTATTGAAATCGAGGAGCGTTTTGAGAGCTTGATAGTACGCCTCGGGGAAAGAAGCAATGCAACGCTTGAAAACAACATCGAAGGCCTTGCTGAAGTTCTTGACACGGACCTTGCGGCGTGCAAGGGAAAAATTCTTAAAATCCTTTGCGATTGCTTCATTCGATCTCCAGAGAAGTGTACGATTTACACCACGCTCATCGGTATGATGAACATCAAAGACTACAGTTTCGGCGCAGAAGTGGTCGAAGCCCTGGCAAAACTGCTTAAGGAATTCCTGAAGAACTGTGACTGGTACAAGGCATCTCTGATCGTCCGAACCTTAGCTGATATGGGTAATGCACGGGTTGTTTCTTTGACATCTATCGTCCAACTTTTTGACGTGTGGATGTGCTCGGCGGAGGAACCTGACGTGCCACAAGTCAGACGTGACTTATTTGCGTACGCCGTCATGTACGCTCTTCCGTGGATCGGGAAAGAACTTCGTGAGAAACAGTCAACGGATTTCGACAAAATTCTCGCTCGGATTCATAACTACATGGGAAATCGGAGTCGTGTTCACGTGGATGGCCTTCGTGTATGGTCATCGGACGATCCACATCCCCAAGAAGAATATATGGAGTGTCTATGGGAGCAGATTCAGAAGATGCGAGGGGAGCAGTGGACTGAGAAGCATCTTCTTCGACCATATAATCATTTTGCAACTGCTTTGAATGGAGGAAGCGTACACAGTTTGCCGAGCATTATTCCACCCCCACATCACAACGATTATCGCTATCCAAAACCGAGAGTAGTTTTCCGGATGTTCGATTATACTGATTGCCCTGAAGGCATCATTCTTCCCGGTTCACATTCGATTGAGAGGTTCTTTATCGAAGACCAAGTCGCCCATGTTGTATACTACTACCATGATGATCGGAAGCTATGGTGAGTTCAAAGCTTTTACGGCGACAAAAATCATTTCGCACTTACGCATTGAAAAAGTCTAAATTCAGTTGCCTTAAACTCCGATGCAACTCTTCGACATTCTTTGGTCTGAAAAAAAAAAAAAAAAAAAAAAAAAAAAAAATTTTTTTACAGTGCAAACATGCTGGTATCGAATCCATACTTCGGCAAGATCCCTATGGAGTATGTCATTGTGGAGGTTGTTATGGGCGGCTTGTTCACTTTGCCCCGTCCTCCGTACCTGGAAGTTTTCTACGGATCTCTCCTGATAGAGCTATGTAAATTGATTCCTGCAACCTTGCCGCAAGTGTTGGCTCAGGCGACTGAAATGCTATTTGATCGCATCAGCACCATGGATCCTGATTGTTGCGAGAGGTATATTTTGTCTTGTTGCATGGGATAGAATACCGTTCCTTGATAATACATTACAAAGAAACGCGAAATATGCGTGAATTGCTTGTGATTTCTGAATGTTACCCGGATTATTGATGGAGACGTTGAATTTATTAATACCTATAATTGTTGATTGATCTGTGTGCATTCTAGAAATCCGTCTGTAAGAAAATCGGTTTCTAAAATCTTTACGTAAACGAATAAATTTTGTAGTGAACGAATGTTCGATGCTTCTCGTGCAATCCAGTACAGTACTGCATCAGCTTGAATTGAGTTCATTTTAAGTGAACTGAATTTCTGCTTTTCGCAATTTTTTCCCGAAGTGCAATTTCTTGATTTTCTTTTTCCACGTCAGGTTTGTGTCGTGGTTTGCCTACCATCTTTCCAACTACCAGTTTCGCTGGTCTTGGGATGATTGGGTCCACGTCCAGGATTTGGATCCCCTTCACCCGAAAGCCGTATTTGTCCGGGAGAGTTTACTGAAGGCCCTGAGGTTGACGTATCACAAGCGCATTGTGGATCTGGTACCGAAAGCATTGTCTGCCTTTGTTCCTGCTGAATTCTTGCCCCATTTTAAGTACATGGAGCCTAATGCCGGTAAGGTTCGTTTAATATTACCGTCCTTTAACGTGGGATGTATCCACTAAGAAATGAACTGAAATTCGATTCGTTGATTTAAATGCTGTACTCGTTTTCTGTGCCTCCAACTGGAATTTCTTGAAATTCATGCTGCTTCCGAGTCTCGCGAAACCGACTGAACGAATACTTTCATCCTGACTCAAATTTAATCTTGTGGAACATTCGAGCTTTTTGAGATTTTATGTTGGGAAAATTTGAATCAAATTCGGAACATCTGTAGGTAAAATCTAAAATATCTTCAAAGCTGAGCTTTGCGTTTAGATGTTCCGGTCACATAAAATTGAGTGGATCGTTTGGCATATTTAGAGGCGTTGCCGTTGTATGGAGCATTCGAACATCTGTTCGCCGCGATTCGCCAGAAATGTTCGCCGGAAGAAGCATTGGAGGTTCTCGGAAAAGCGCGTCTTCACGATGATGCGGTTTCTGGCGTGAAATACACCCCGTCACAAATCGAGTTATTTGTTCAAACTTTGCTGTACATGGGTGCTAAGAGTTTCTCGCATTCGTTCGCTGGATTGGCGAAATTCAAGGATGTTCTCAAGCAACTGGCTTATTCGGAGGATGCTCAGCTATGCATCCTACGTTCGTTACATACCTTGTGGAAGGACCATCAACAGATGCAGGGCGTTATCATCAACAAGATGTTGAGGATGTCTATCATTGAGTGCTCCGCTGTTGCGAACTGGATCTTCTCAAAGGAAATGACTGGAGAATTCACGAAGTAAGCACTGAGATTATCCCTGGAGCTTAGCGCAAGCGCAGGAATTCCTAGATTTTATCCCTTTTATGTCAAATTTTTGCAGTACTGTATTTTAGCAACATGATGTTGGTCTTGGCCTGACGGGGCTCTAATAAAAACGTTTGACCAATTTATTATGATGTTTTTGTAAACCAGGCTACCGTATTGATGCCTATTCATCAATCGAGCTCGTCTTTTGTGAATCTTCCGTTTGATATGCTTTGATTTAATGGACGAAAATGATATGATTTTTGATTCCGGCTGATGTTTTCGCTTCTACCTTTTCTGAAGGATGTACGTATGGGAGATTCTTCATCAAACGATATCTAAGATGAGCAAACACGTGACGAAGGTACAGAACGAGTTGAGGGAAGTTCATAAAGCCCGGCAAACATCGAGGCAACCTGCTGGACAAAACCAGGATGAAGACTCTGATTCAGACGGGGAGCAGGAGCAGAATGATCGAGCTGAATCGGTCAATGAAGAAATGTTGGAGAAACTCGAAGAGCAGTTCGAATCCGCTCAAGCCGATCAGAAAAACATGTTCCTCATAATTTTCCAGGTATTGATTCCTCCTTGTTTAGACCATATCTTGTGACTTGTCTTCCCTCATTCGGATTAGCGGGAAAATGATTGCAATTAGAGGAAATCAGAAAGCTTTTCAGATTTTCAACTCTTGAACAACCTGAAAGGATAGATGAACTGCACGTTATCAATAAGATCTAGCATATTTTTGTGTGACCTAAGTTTATTTATGATAAAATGCAAAAGGAGCCATTTCTTGCTCAACTTCATCAAGAGTAAGTTTCTGAGCGGAGAGACGACCCACTCGAATAATTCTCAAAACTCGTTACTTTTTATTCACATATCTCATTTTTCTTCGAAAAATGAAGAGAGAACTGATGCTACCGCATTCCTGGAACTGAACTGAACTGACCTCAGGATTTCCTGAAGTCGTTAAGATTGTATTTAACTGAGGATAAGCTGCATGTAGGGTTGGACATCCGCGGATTATCAGATTAGACGTGTGGGCAACAAGAGTTATTCGGCTGGCGTTCTTCGCAAATTCATTATTTGTAATGTTTCCCGAGAATTTGTGGGTTTAGGACTTGACAATTTTTCATCTATTTTCGTCTACGGTATTAGTGTTCGTTAAAGGCATCGTGAGGCTCATTTGGGAGCTTCCCGAATACTTGAGTTGGAATCTAGTGGCTGAAGTGTTTTCAACTGCGCTCTACGAAAATTGTCAGCTCATGTGCTTCAAAAGTTTTTTCTGCCTTGTGAATAACAGAAAAAGATGAATGCCTGGAACTCCTCTCACAGAATTGTACGTTAAAATGAAACTGACTCGAACTCCTGAGCCTCCTTAACAAAGGGCGGAATGTTCTTTTATGAAATCCGCGGAATTTTTCCTTCTTTCTTATTGCCGAAGGATTATTACCGCAATGTTGATCAGAAAATAATTCTGTTCGGTTCTCTGAAAGATGGAGATCTATATCCTTCATGCATGAATTCCTGCATGAGTCAAACGAAAGTCAGTTATAATTGGAAGGATGAAGCGCGGGTATAGAGTTCGTCAATCATTGTACAGTATTCAATTACTTGGAAGGGTAGCATTGTTTGTTAATAACGTTTTTATGAAATCAGAGATTCATCATGTTGCTGTCCGAACACATCGTCCGTTGTGACACAGATGGGCGTGATTTCAGGAACTGGTGGTATTATTGGACCCTTGGACGCTTGAAACAAGTCTTCATGATGGTTTGTTACAGAAATAAATTCAGGATTTTTCCCGTTCTCCGTATACAGTTTTTCTACTTTTTTCCAGCATGAAGAGCAAGTGTATCAATACAAGGATACACTGGAGACGCTTCTTTTTACTCAAGAGCTGGATCACAACATCCTGCAAGTTTTCCAGCAGATGGTCGCTCTTAAGCAATAGAAGTGTTGATTGAGTTCTCCGGCTCTCTCTTCGTTGTCCTGATACAGTTTAAATTGGTTCCTCCATGAAGTTTATACTTGGAATTCTAATAAACAAAAATTTCTTTATGGATGACTGTATCTAAGAAAAATCTTGAAGTGATCTGCGGTTCATTTCTGGTGTTCGTTAACGATGCCTTTTCCATTTGTCGCGACGTTTTTCTGCAGGCTGATGGTGGTATCATAATGGTATAGAAATTTAGTTTAACGTAATGTATATATATCGTCGTTGATATTTAGAGATCCTTCATTTTAGTTTGCATTTTTTATTCGACAGAACCTTCCAAAAGAGCTTTGCTTTTCCCGTTCTCGGCGTTTTCGTGATTTGGCCAGATATTTTGGAGCACCTGTGAATACCAGCCAAATTAAATATGGGTTTAACTATCTCTAGTCTCCTGACGAAATTGTTCGGGAAAAAGCAAATGCGAATTCTTATGGGTACGTGAAATAACATTGGGATCCAGTTGTATTTTTTGTGAAAGTTAAATATTTTTCTTTTCAGTTGGATTAGATGCTGCTGGCAAAACCACGATCCTGTACAAGCTGAAGCTCGGAGAGATAGTGACAACCATTCCAACAATCGGTGAGGATTAGTTGGTTCACCTGTTGTAGCATTGTATTTTGAAACAAATTCTTTCGTGATTTACGCCGTTTTCAGGCTTTTCTGTCTAGCAGCTTCTTTGTTTGTCGTACAGTTTGTTCATATTTTACTTGATCTGTCCTCTATTCATGTTCGTTTATTTTATATTTCCTTTTTCGACTGTTGTGCTTCACTGGCCTTCGCATCAATGTTGAAAATCACCTCAGTAGGCTCAAAATATTTTAATTAATCAGACAATTACTCGTAAGGATGTCAAACAACGTGGCTTCCGAAACGTCGATTTTAGTGCTGTGTAGCTGTGAACACTGCTCCGCAGTTCAGTTTTTTAACCCACGAACTACTACCTCCTTTCAGGAGAAAAATTAATGTATGCCGTTTTGCGCCATCTTTTCAATTTAATCTAATTGACCATAGGCCGATCTGAAATATTTTCCTTGAACATCTAACCGGTGCGTGAAATATTTTTCTTTTTCACATTTCCACTGTTGTGAGAAAATTGATAAGGAACGCGATTTTCGGCGACGGGTGCTTTTAAATGCCGTATTCCATACTCTTGGTCTTACTTGTTTTTTTATGCAGGTTTCAACGTCGAGACTGTCGAGTATAAAAATATTTGCTTCACCGTTTGGGATGTCGGTGGCCAGGACAAAATTCGACCTTTGTGGAGGCATTACTTTCAGAACACACAAGGTTTAATTTTTGTCGTCGACTCGAACGATCGCGAGCGCATTGGGGAAGCTCAGGAAGAGTTGCAGAAAATGGTACATTTTTCTTATCCCTCGCTGACAATTTCAAAATTTTGAATCTACAGGGTATTTCGTGAGAAATGGAAACATTTTCAGACTCATAATCTTTGAGGCTGTCGTATGAAAATTAAAATTATGTGTCAATTAATTTAACATGACGGACCATAGCCATTTTTTAAAACCTCATTCAAAGTTTGTTTTGATTTCCTTTTTTATACACGTGGTATGTAGATGTTTCTTCTGGAACCGCAATTTCGGCTTTCCTGCGCATTTGGAAAATCCTTTGTGCCGGGGTATTGTGTTTTTTCACTTCAACCGACTAGAATAACTCCCGGAGCTTGGATTATGTTTCAGATGACAGTGTGTATTAATAAGTACGGTATCCAGCGTGATCAAACATTCATTTCAAAAAACAGCTTACAGCTGTTTCTTCCGCATATTTCGTTCCTGGGAATAATAAATCTCATTCCTCATATATCTGGAACATCCTGACGTAGAGAAGATGAGTGAAAACTTTTATGAAAATTATGAAGAACCCTTACATATAAAGGAATCGTAATTGAAGGAGTTTACTGACGATTATCTTGATTTTGCGCAATTCGGAGAATGCAGCGGAATATTTGAAGCGTCGTCTTGTGATACATTCCTTAATACATCACGGAGTTCTTTAAATTGTTTATTCCAACAGTTGCAAGAGGACGAGTTACGGGATGCAGTGCTTCTAGTCTTTGCAAACAAGCAGGATCTCCCGAATGCAATGAGCGCCGCGGAATTGACTGAAAAGCTTGGTCTCAGATCCCTCGTCGGGCGCAAAGTTAGTACTTCACTAATCGCGTGTTATCTCTGCATTAAAATTAATTATTCAGTCCCTCATAAGTTATATTTACTTGGCTGAAAATGTAACCCTTTAGGCGTTATTACAACTTTCCTTACGATTGGGAAGCTCAAAATTAATTAAACCTTTTTTATTTCTTTTCGTTTCGAATGTTTAATGCTGATAAATATGTGGGCTTTTGGTATTGTACATCGATTAACAAGCGTGAAGTGAGCAGAACGACGATAATGTCAAATAACTTCTGTAATGATCAACGAACAGAAGTACAGTAGTTGAAATTCTAAGGGAAATTTTCGAATTTTTCGTCTGCATTTTATTTAAATTGGTCTGGTGTTCTACCTCTGCGCTTGTATTGCATTATGTACTGTAATTCAATTCGCAAACATCAATTCAACAATCTAACTACCTTATTTTAATAGGAGAGAAAAATTGAATTGTATTCCTGTTCGTTTTCAATTTCTGGAGAAATTCACAAAAAGAAAGAGCACCTTAACTCGACTTTCATCTTGAAAAATGTATTTGTGCGATAAACGTGTTGAAGAAGGTTCTTGAATGTTTTACGTAATCTCTAGTGCGACGTGAAAACATTGAGCCTTTTGAAGGGGAAAACATGCTGGAGAAAAGGATTCGTGATACTGTAATGTACAAAACCGTCAGCTACGAATCTGATGGGATGTGCATTTCCGAATGCACATTTTTTGTCCTTACAAGACTTGCCTTGTTATATTTCCATAACGGTTTTTTTTCTTTCAACAGTGGTACATACAAGCAACCTGTGCTTCTCAAGGCCAAGGATTATACGAAGGACTAGACTGGCTCTCTACAGAATTATCAAAGAAGTAAGGCACCGCGTTTTGATGTGTTTCGCCGTCATTGCCTTGACGGATGTTCATGAAGGAAAGTCTTTGGGGTGAATTCTGACAGTTAAGCCGGTGTGCGGGAAAGGTGAAGAAAAGCTGCTTTACTCTGATTCGGGAAGAACTTCATTCCCTTCACATCAACACGCACTTGGTTCCTGCTGCGATTTTTATTCATTTTGTTTTATTTGGCGTGTATCACGGTTTACGGTTTTGAGTTCTTCCATTGTTATGCTGAAACGTCGCTGGGGTGTCACAGATTTACCGAAGTCTCCGAGTTTCTGTTGTTTCTTGGACTTTTTAGTGCAACGTGTATTTTCGAAGTTCGAAGTAAGGCTGGCACTGAAGAAGTGATTCACGTGGTTGAATATCCTAAACGCAGGATGAGAGTTGAGATTCTGGTTGGAATTCGAAGGCGATAGTTAATGGGAGCTAGATATGTTAAATTGTTTTAAAATGATCTTATTTTTGTGCTTTTGATGAAATGAACTTCTTTTCGTTTGCTTGAATTTTGGTTTGTATCATCTCCGCCGATGATCGGCTGGAACGGGAAGGAATGAAGTAATGGAAGCAAATGATATGAACTTGAGTGGCATCCATTATTTTTCCTTGTGCTGCGATGAGATTCTACTAATAGTTGCCTAATGATATATAAAATCGGAATTTTAGCGAGCGACTTCTGGGCCGATTTCTATTGACTTCCAATTGAGGTGGTTATCTTGTTGCGGTACATCATTGTAATTCGTGGCACAATGGTTTCTGGACGTATTTTTCTGTCCCTGAAAATAAAGCATTCCTATTTGAAACATTTGATCAGGTTATTAAATATACAAGCATGGTTTTTATTTGGTGATCTTTGAGCTGATGCAATTCAAAGATTCCTGAAGCTGTTGGTAGAGGAATCCACCAAATGGCAATTGCACCAACGAGATGAGCTAAGGTTGGTTGGTTGGGTGTTCATCTGGCAGAAGCTCAACATGGATGTGGCATGTTTCAGGGTGTAAGCAGTCCAAGCTCTCGCAAACTGCCTAGTACTGTATTTGAGGAATTTCCCAGGCTTTGGGTTCTTGTCCAAAATTGCTGGGCTGAAGAAAGAGCTGAATGCACAAAATTCGTGGAACACTGCTATGTTTCGAATCTATAGGTGGTCACACCACTTGGTCGCATGCAGTAATTAAGATTTTAGATGTCGCATATGCGACCTGTTATGCTGATCATTCGTCCTTCTTTGAGGGATTGAACCATCTATTCTGGGATGTGCGAATCACTCCTTCCCCTGAGGTCGAAGTGTAGCATGGGAAGCGCAGTACTGTACTGTGCTCACACCTCTATCGTCTGGAAAGACAAATATAGATGTCACTACGAGCGTAGTTCGTTCGGGTATCATGACAACGCGTTGTATGCATTCATAAGGCGTCGACTTGGGCGCGCGTTACGATTAGTTCAACGGAAATGCTACTGGGCTTTTAGTCGTTAGGATTGTGGCAGGTGGTTGAGACTTTGAAATGTCGTCAGAAAAAGGTAGGAATCTTGTGTTTCTTGTGATGCGTTTGGTTTATAAAATGTTGTTGTCTCAGGTATGACACCCAACGTGGACCTACGGATTATGAAGTTTGCTGATGTATTGAAAGACTGCATCAGAGTGATGTAAGTCTTCTATATTTGTATTTTCGAGCTTGAGAGTAAAATCTTGCCGCACATGCTGCAGATTCACTAGAGGCCCGGACGACGAGAAGCTTCAAAAGTTCCAAAACTGGATCGATCGAATGCTGGCTGAAGAGACGGAAGAGCTGCGTAACAAGTTCGGCGGTGTGCTCGAAAATTATAGACTTGAAGGGAGGAAGCGTCAGACGGAGCAAGAAGTGTGAGTGAAAAACGATTTAACTAATCTTTTGGCGACCATTCCTTGCCAAAAGATTACTTTTGGCGAGGAATGTTTGCCTTGCTATGGCGTGTTCGTGCACGCTGATAGAATAGCTGATACTCGATTCTGCCGAAGATGTAATCAGAGGTGGAAAAAAAATCAATGCACTATTTGCAGATACGACTACAAACCTCTGGGTATTGTAGCCGTTGAGGCGTTGAATACCATGGACGTCTTGAACTCTCGGAAGGGGAAAGCATCATCCGAACTCAGGTCGCTGAAAGCGCAGAACACGCAGTTACGGCGAGAACGAACGAATCTTTTGAGTAGATTGAAGCCTAATCCTAAGTCAGGCGTTCATCTGGATACTAGCATGTCGAAGTATTTAGAAGAGCTGCTTGTGCTCTGATCACGCTGCCTCGAAGAACTATTCAAGCTTTCGGGTTTTTGTATTCCGGTGGATGAATTATGGACGTATTACGGTATGTCTGACGTGTTTTTTCCTTTGTCAACGTTTTCATTGTTATACCTTTCTATTTTCGCTTGTGAGATTTCAGAATGTTTACATATGCCGGAAATCTATGCCTTTATTTTTATACGCACTGCTTCGTCCTTCATTCGTAAAAATTAATTCCACGTGATTCATTTTGTTGTAAGCCCCCCATCATAATTAGTCCTGTTGCTAAATGTTTAGGTTCTAGATGCAAAACGTGTGTATCAAGCAATATTAGACGGAACATCCCGCATTCATCTGAAGGACTACGGAACAGATTTGACTTCCGTTTTTTATCTGCAGCATTTTTGATGAGTCCAATAAGTACAACTTTTTTCCGAATTTCGTTGATTGACACGAAACCCGTGTTCGACGCGGTATTGAGTTCAGCAGTCGAAAGAATTGGTCAATCGGTGCTTTGCGTGAACACCCTGATATCCCCCCTGTTTCCTTCTTCAAATCGCGGCTGTGGGCGTGTGGCAAGAATTCGTGAGCCTGCAAATCTTATTGGATTTGTAGATAACAGTGCAGTAGTGTCAGTCGATTGAATACGAGACCGGCTCTCGTTGCTATTGAAGCTGATTATTTTGAATTCTTTTTTAAAAGAATCTACATGACTCGTGTGGAAAAAAATTATGATCGTAATTTTCTTCTACTTGTAATGAGCATTTGATAAAATTTTGAACGTTCCAGTGAAAATTATTGACCTTTTTCATCTATTGGAAGAACCTGATGGGTTTCTATGAAATAACCGCAGGTCTATCGGTGATTTCGAAGTACGATCGCCAACGATGTTGCCATTCTTCTTGAGCTACTCTCTCAACAATGGATGTGTCAATTTTGAATGTAATAAATTGATAATCGGATGCATTTTGTTAAGTTTGAATAATACAGAATACAGCGTTTTATACTTGGCCTTTACACTTCGAGTATGATTATTAAAATTTGACTCGGTTGTGAGGTTCCGAATTTGAAATTGTTCACCTTTCCCGGTCAAGTCGTTCTCTTCAGATTTTTTTATTTATTCTGTGATGAACTTCGCTATTCATATTTTTACTTTTGTTTTAATTATTTGGGGATTTTTCAGGCATGCTATTGCGATTTGTGACGGGGCAGCGCTCAGGGTTGAAAGATCCAGTATTCGAGCATGACAAGGTGATGATTACGCTAGTGATCCTATGATGAATGGTTCTGTCGCGTTGTGGATGGAGTACCCTCGGGAATAATGCTCATTTGTCATTCAAGGTTTGGTTTCAGCCTATACATGGTTTGAATTACATACTTCCAGGAGGAGAAGGGGATGAGAGCCTTGAACCTGCTGCTGTCGGCAGTGAGCAGGCAAATTAGTTCCAAATGTCGAATTGCCTGTTTTGCCATATCATCGTGTCGCCAGAGTCCACACTTCGACCATTCTGTGCTGTGCTGTGTCAAACTACATTGTGGGTCCCCGACCCTGCTTTCCACTGCATCTAGTGCCGAAAAAAAGCCGAGGACTCGTATGGAGGTTGAAACAAAAGAATCCGTAAATGCGTCTGAGCTGCGATCGTCTTTAATATCTCAAAACGTTGGCTTCAGTGAAGGATATGCGTGTTACCAATTGCCATGTCCTGTGTGCAGCCCACCGAAGCCACAGAGAGATGCGCTCATGAACAAAACTACTGGGAAGTGGTTGTGCTTGACTTGCAGATCAACCGGGAACTGGCGGGACTTCCAGCACCTTAGCCGCCTTCCGAAACAAGAAATTCGTCAAAGGAAGATAAAGGCTCTTGCGACATGCACTATGACTGATCAACAACTAGTGAAAGAGCTTGCTGGAAAGCCATCACTATCTGAGATTGACTCAACAAAATTGAAACTGATTAAAAAAACTTTCAAGTTGAATCAATTGTCTGTGGAAACTTTGAATCGGTTAGGCTGCGTGTCCGAGGGCTCTTCGAAGCTTCTGTTTCCCGTCCGGGATATGAGAGGTGCTTTAGTTGCCATTCAGACATTTGTACCTGATGCAACCTGTGGACTTAAGATGGAGAAGGTGGTTCCGTCTGGTTCAATGATTCCTGTGGGTGCTTGTGAATCTGCTCATTTTGGAGGTTTGCTTCCTCTAAAACCATGCTTGCAAAAGTTTGTAAAAAAAATGCTAAAACTCCAAAAGTAAGTTTAATCACTTGAGAGAATATCAGAAGAATCATCCTGTAGTTGAGACGGAGTTCTAATTGTTAAAGCGATTTTGGACGGTATGTTTCATATTTTGATTACTCTTCGGGCCAGCATCAATATTTTAAGTATTGTTGAGAAGACAGTTCTTCCAATTAAGGAATTAAAGTAGAAAAACAAAATTGAAAGACAGGTCAATTATTTTCATGGAGTTTACGAAGAACTTAAGGACAATTTTGCTGCTAGATACTCGATTTAATTCGAAAACGCACTTAAGGAACACCGTAGTCGTGACTTGTGAAGCAATTTATTCGTGTTTATGCAGCCTTGTAGTTCGTGAAATGATTGATTCCGGAACCGGGGTTGTCCAATGACGCCGAGTTTCACTTTTGGATCAATTTGGAACCATCGAAAATTGGCTGACCTTATTCCGGCTGTTCCAGGCTGATCGGTTCCTCAATGCTATGAAATTTGCGATAAACTCAGTTTTAAATGAAGACGTACCATTTTGCAAATAATAGCATTTGAATTTTATAGTGGCCATAGTACCAAGTCTGCAGATAATATTAAACAATTAGTACACCTATCAAAAGTCTTGGCTCCACATTTCTCAAAATATTGCAGCTTGAAGTACAGTGATTTGTCTCCATATTTTAACAAATTTTTTCGAAGCTTATTTTCTTCTCAAATAAGTTAAATAACGATTCCGATATTCATGAGATGCATAAGCATACGAAACGAAACAACTCAAATGAAATTTAAACTTCAATTGGTGCATTCATAACGCGCATATCAGTTTGATATTTCAGTGAAGAAATTTGTAATGCCAGAAGCATGGTTGTGTGAATGTTGTGGTCCAGGCGGTATTTTTTTTTAATTTTTGTCGACTCCACTTTTAATCTGAAGGTACAGCTGTCATCACGAGCAACATGCTGGATGCGTTGGTCATCAGTGATCAGACTGATGTCCCAGCCATTGCGTTGCCTTGTGGAATGCACCGCCTTCCACAAGAGACCCTGTTCTGGCTTGAAAATTGGGAAAAACTGGTGATGTGGTTTGGCACTGACCAGCAGTCATGGTTGGCAGTACGTGCATTGGCCAAGAAGCTCGGCGAGTCTCGATGTTTTTACGTGAACCCTGCCCAGTGGAGCTGGGGTCCGCATAAAGCACTTAGCAACAAGGGTAATATCGCCAGAATCGTCGATGAAGCCCGTCCTGTGTCACACAAGGACATAGCCACTTTTCCCTACTTGAGGGAACATGTCAAGTCGGAGTTGGCTCTTGTGGACCAGGTGATTGACGGATCATTTAGTCCTGTGATTTTTGAAGAGAGAGAAATCCTCGGTATTGTTTCATCAAATGTGAATTCAGTACTTTTTTGTGTGGGTGTAACCTAAACAATTTTATCTGGTTCTGTATTGTGGCGGAACCGAAGTACAGTACTGTACCTCCTTTATTCAAGGGCCCCACGCACCTTTTTCTCGAAATATAGAGGGAAAAGGGGGTGCTCGTCATAGACGGGTATACATTTTTCAAAAAGTTTTAGAAGATTAGATGTGCATTATGCTTGACTCTGATTTACTAGAATGGAAACAATTTAAGTCTAATTTGGGTGTCCTTATTTTCGAAATATTTCAGTTTTGGATTCACCGAAAATGGGTTGCGCATCTTACTCGCGGAAGATACGATTTAATAACAAATTTTGACTGAAAAACCTGGGTGCGCGTGGTACAGTATTGTACCTGCAGCGTGCTTATTCAAAGAATAAATGAGAATCTCTTGCATATTTCTGAGCTCGGAAATGTTCGCAGTCGTGAATGACCCGCAATTTAGGACTGGATGGGATATTTTACGTGTGTTAATTAAAGGTGCGAGGAGTGAAATGGAAGCGTTTTAAGGGCTTGAACAGTATCCTGCGTGGACATCGCCGAGGGGAATTGACTATCATAACGGGTCAGACTGGGACTGGGAAGACAACCTTCATGTCCGAGTACTCCCTGGACTTGTGCATGTCTGGTGTGTCGACTCTTTGGGGTAGCTTTGAGATTCAGCCCGTGCGTCTTGCCAAAGTCATGCTCATGCAGTATGCTGGACTGGATCTAGAAGCACACCTCGCAGAGTTTGACAAGTGGGCAGACAAATTTGAGAAGTTGCCCCTGTATTTCACCATCCTGCACGGAGAAACTGGACTGAGCAAAGTTTTGGATGCTATGACACATGCAGTGTATATAAATGATATTCACCATGTCGTTCTAGATAACTTGCAGTTCATGATTGGCTTGGGTGGAGGAAGTGGCTTTGATCGGTGAGTTACTCGTTTCTATGAGCTTTCTTTTCATCCCTTTTTGTTTGGCTAAACGCAATCTATTCTTTCACATCCCATCTTCATAATGTTTCTGTAGAATATAGTCATTTTTATTTTTACAGTACTTCTTGGCTTGCTGACAGTGGCAGTGTGCAACTTCGCAGTCGACTAAAATATGAAATAATTTGGTTTAAAGTATACCTGATTTTTAGTGGACTGAAAAATCTGCCAACTTGAACAGTAAAATATTATTACTGTACCACAAACTTGGGGGATTTGAGGAAGAAAAAAATTCTGAGTGAAATGTTTTAAAAAGATGTTCAAAATTAATGGTAGTGAACATTGTTTAGATTCTCATTCTGAATCTTAATTTTTGGACATTCTCAGATCTTGCACTACTGTCTAAAATCGGGTACCGGGTCATCTGCCAGTCGGTCAATTCACGGTCGCGCACCCGCTGGTCAGTCTAACAGCCAGCCAGGGCAGTCCTTGGCCTCGCCAAAGACTGCCAGAATGGTATCCTACCGCAGATTATTTTTTTTTACAAAATTTCATCTTATAAAATTTTCACAAAAAGAAAAAACTCATCAAACCCAACCTAACTTAACCTAACCTAAACTAACATAACATAAACTAACCTAACCTAACATTGCTGAAATTTTGAAGAAAAAAAAAATATGTGGTAGGATACCATTCTGCTCACTGAATTCTGAAAAAAAAATCAGCATGATTCTTGTCACCCAATTGTTTGGGTGCCCCAACAATCGGGTGACCAAACCGCAGTTTGGTTGCTGGGGATTGGCAAGGCCAAGAACTGCCCTGTCTGGCGGTTAGACTGACCAGCGCTTGACGACCGGCGGGTGCGCGACTGTGAATTGACCGACTGGCGGCTGACCGGACACGCTAAAATCGTCAGTGATCTTTTGTACAACATCTGTCTGTGTCTGCTGATTTCAACCTTGAATCGGTTACTTTCTTCAGCAGATCATATGTTTCATAATTTGAATTGCCTGATTACAGTATACTGTAATTGAAAATCGTCGCGCATTCAAACAAGCACAATTCAAAGTTACTTATAAAAATTGGTCATTTTCTTTGCGGCAATTTTTCTTCACTCAATCTGTGGGTGTCTAAAACTGGAAGACAACTCAAATTTAATCAAAACACAATATGGAAAAGTCATCTCCATGAAGTATACTGGTGTTGGAAAAATAGTTTACTGCATTTTTTGTTCACATTGGTTTCATTTTTAAATTTTATTTTAAATGCATGAATCAGAAGAAAATAATGCGGAGAAACCTATTTATCATTCCGGATATGTTGTATCATGTCCTCTGAGGGGTTATTAGAATAATTCTAGTTTTTTTTGTGTATTTTCTGAATCAAAACCAGTTTAATCTTTTTACTGATGAGTCTCTTCGGTGACACACTTCTGCTCCTCGGTTCATAATTGATCTCATGCTTGAAAATATCAGGTTTGCTAAACAAGACCAGGCCATTGCCTCTTTCCGAAAATTCGCCACTGTGAACAATTGCCACGTGTCGCTGGTGATCCACCCACGAAAGGAAGGCTTTGCTGATGACGACCAGCTGACGGTGGCGTCTATTTTCGGTGGAGCCAAAGCTAGTCAGGAAGCCGACAATGTCTTGATCCTTCAAGACAGAAGCCTGAAAGCTGGAATGGTTCGAAAGAAATATCTGCAAGTGGCGAAGAACAGGTTTTCCGGCGACACGGGAATTCTGCCGTTGGAGTTTAACAAGGCATCTCGAAGCTTTGCTGGGCAGACACAATCAGCATCTACTAGCGCACCTAACAAGCTCATAGTCCAAAAAAAGAAAGTATCCTCTCCTGTAGAGGAGTGACATAATTGTCTCAAGTTGAGCTCCGAGTTCCGATGAAGATTATTGACGGGTTGTTGAGACAGTTGCAGATGGATTGCGATTTGCCTGATTATAAAAGAGCAAATAGTTAAGGAAAGATGTTATTTTACCAATGTGATCATCAAGCGTATGAATGTGTGAAGAACAAACTCGAGTTCATACATTTCCAATTGTGCTTTATTCTTTCATTCGGTCACCTTATGTACCGACGAATGTTCTCTTTAAAAATTTTGCACCAGATAATCACGAACTGATCGTACTTCACGTTTGTGGAAACAAAAGTTCCGCGCAGGTGCGCATGGTAATGATAGAAACCGTGGATGTTAATGCAATTTACGAAATACTGTACTTTTTTATTTAATTCAAGAGACGATACTTTCTCCGAGTACTTCTGCTTTGTACCGATTGTCATGGTTGCCTTTCGAAGGTTCAAGGTATGCTGTTCAGTCCATGTTTTTGACATATCCTGGCTTTTTTTTTTCTAGGGCTAAAACCAAAATTTTTCTCAAATAATTATCTCTAATAGAATTAATGCTATAAAGCATTGTAACAGGATTGGTGCTGAAGAGAATTTCCTGTTACATCAATTATTTTGACCTAAAAGAGGCTCACTTACGACTCAGACAACTGCCATGGTACTTCACAGAAGTGTGTTCTCGCGTGCAATTTCATCCTGCTTTTCTCTCTCAATTTCCCATAAACAATTGCTCCTGGAACTCAGGTAAATACGGGTACTTCCCGCAGAAGCTAAGACTGAAGAGATCCAGCGAATGGATCCACAGCTGCATAGTTTCCTAGATTACTAGAAAACTTCCCATACCATTTTCACATACTGTACTGTACTTACCCGGCATCAGTCAAGCAAGCTTTCTAGCTCAGAGAGCTAAAAACATACAATATATGTATTACTGTACATGTGTATGTGTCCAGCACTGCTGTATGAATTAAACTGTGGCCCGGCATATTAATTAAGGGCATCTGTTTTTTTTCTCGTTCCATTATGTTGGGCATACTGATCATGCATGTAGTCTATGGACATCCCCTTATTTACAGCAGCAGTTCCTGAGGACGAATTCTGGAGTCACGCATTAGGTAATGCTGTCATTCCACCGTAGCTTATATTTGGACCAACACCTTTGGGGCAACATAATACTGTACTTTCCAATTCGAATGTTGTGTACAATATCTGTTGTGTATATGTGAGCAATAGGGGCCAACGATCGTGTCCCGTTTTTCGTTGGAAATTTTACTCTCATAATTTTGTCCCGCGATAAATTTTCGGACGAAAATTTATCAGGAGTATTCACCCCATATTTTTAACAACTGCTGGATTCATATTAATAATTTTCGGCCAAGAGTTGTTGATATTTATAAAACTAAAATTTTCATTGGGGATTCAATAATTTCTGCGGTATCTTCGTCTGCTCAATATTCCACATTTTTCTACGGGAAGCCGCGTTATTTACCCACCAAACGGCCGACTTCTATACAGTACAGTATTCTGATCATCACGTGCACTAGCTCGAGCCCCGCCGGTTTGGTAGAAGCTAGTGACACCTTTCGGATAAGGCTGCAGTCAATTTATCCATCAATGACGTACAGTATATGTTGCAGTCTCTATGGCCTCCATGGTTCCATCTGACCAATCATTGAACTCCGCCTCTGCTAAGAGTTGGGGATTCGCTCTAAGTTGTTGGATTGGCGTGTGAATGATTGGAATCGAAACTTAATCATGCCGAAAATCGTCTCTCGAAGTATTGTTTGTTCTGACTCCAAGGATAAGGAAGAATATAAAGATGATCAGCCCTTGAAGGTGTACTATTGTCTTTGTGGACAGATGTGCTTGATCATTGGTGAGTTGATAGTGTTTTACTCGGAATTATCGAAGAAGATTTTTCTCTTTCACCGTTTCTTTCCATGGAAATATTTGCATTATTTCTATCTTCTGCAGATTGTCTCTTGGAAAAGCTGCCTCTGAGGAAACGAGATGGGGCGCGAGTTATCGATGGTGCGAAGCGAGCCCATAAAATAACGTGCGAGGATGCGGAACCCGTTTTTATCAAAAGAGCAGATGGAGCTGAAAAGCAGTTCCGGAAAAAGTGCAAGAGATGTGGTCTCCTCCTATTCTACCAACATTCACCCGGAAGTAACGTGCTTTTCATCGTGCGTGGCGCTCTCACTATGACGTGCAGTGGTGGCAGTGAGCAAACAAATTTCTTCGAACATGTAGCTGCACAAGCAGCAGTTCCGACGGACGGAGCAGAGAAGATCGTGTTAACCAAGCGTACCAAGAACATGGGGAAGTTCTCTTCAGTCACGGTTTCTACTGTGGACGAAGAAGATGAGGAAATTGAAGCTGTGAGTATTATCTTCATGATGACCCTGGATTTAAACTGCGTAGGTTGTCGGTTTACAGCCTTTAGGGTAGCGCAATTGAAAGAAACAAGCGCGTTTAAGTAAGAATAGTAAAAAAACCCCGAAGTACAGTTATGTCCTGGAACCTATGTCAAAATGCACCTTTCCAAATGTTAAAAGCAAATCGCAACAAACCATTCAGTGAGTGGTGTGTATTGTAGTGACCCGCAAACTTTTCTTTCTAGGTGGTGGTGCTAAAGAAGTAAGCTTCGCTCTTGATTCAATTGAGTTTTATTTTCGCTTAAATTCTGTATAACAGTATTGTATGTATTAAATACCGCTTGTAGTTACCGAAATTTGTGTAAACCTGGAAGTTTTGTGCTGTAGTTTCATGCCTCCGCAGTTCTGACAATCCGATTATGCGGTAAATCCGATAATCAATATTACTGCTGAACTTGATTCTGTTATGACTCTTTCCACCCGCAGAGAGAAATAGCGGACTCCTATGCAGCCAACGCAAAAATAATTGAGAAGCAACTGCTTCGCAAAGGAATGAACAAGCGTAAACTGATGGGAGAAGCCGAGGTTCAAACTGTCCACGACAGTAAGAAGAATCGCGGAACGTTGATAGATCAAACGTGATGGAAAAAAAATCGGATGAAATTTTGTTTTACTGTTCTATTTGAATTTGATTTTATCATCCGTTTCTTTTCATTTCGTGATAACTTTTTTTCGCATTAAAGGGTTTGAAAAAATATGGAACTAGAGAAGAAATGGGTACTTATTCAATGCATTTATAAATCTTGCGCAATGGTTGAGGCAGTTCTTTTTCAAATTTCAGGTGTTTGAATTTTGCGGATTGATTTGGTTGTGATCTCGAAGTGTTCGCTGTTCAAAGAGCTTTTATCCATGACTCTTCGCGCTTCAAGACCTTCTCTAATGTTTCACGGATCACGTTGAATCGTGGAAGGAACGCAGTTTGCTCTTGATCGCCTTCTGGGAATTTCAAGGAATGGTTGTCGTTGATGACGACATTGAATCCGGACTCCATGGGTGGTCAGTACGCGCCTTCTTTTTTTGGTCTGAGCATACCGACCGAAAAAAATTCAGATGAAGCTTGCATTTAAAATTTTCGTTGCTCGGATATTATTGGCACATTTTTGTTACATTTTTAATGCCAAAAAATTCAGTGTGTCGTAGAGTGAGGGTCGTTTCGAATTATCGTGAATTTTTCGTTGAGGTGGTTGTGCAAGCTGGTTTGATGTTGGAGAGGTTGAAAGATTGAGACTTTTCTTGGAAACTTCGGCGTCTCATATGTGCGTGAATACTGTATTGAAGTTGAGGGATCTATTACATTTTTGAACCGTATTACAGTAGTATGCATTTTTCGTGATTACCTCTTGAACATCGGTTTGATGACATTTTAGTACAGTATTTCATTGTCAAATCTGTTGTACAACTTCATGCGTTACATTATTTTTCAATATTACGTCTCAACTTTCTGTGTAAAAGTCTGGAATTATTTTTTTCGTCTGCTTTAGGAGAAAAATACGACGTTTTCCTCGGAGGTTCTTGCAACCCGACAACTTGGCGACAAGAAATCGCCATTCCATTCATGGAGGAACGAGACATTCATTTCTACAACCCACAGTTACCATTTTGGCGTCCGGAACTCATTCAGATCGAACACGAGGCGAAAATGAGTGCCTCTCTTCTCTTCTTCGTTGTGGACAACGAAACCCGCGCGGTTGCGTCTATGATAGAATCAACGTACCTCGCAGCATGTGGTCGATGTTTGGTACTTGTTGTGAATCTCTTCAAAAGTGAAGGGCACGTAATATACGGTGAGTCCTTGTCGCGGAAGGAACTACACGATCTGAGCTACTCTCAACACGTAATGATGGATCTGGTGGAGCGAGAAGGAATCCCGGTTTTCGGCAACATGGAACGTGCTCTGGAATGCGCCAGCTTTCTAGTAGCAAAGCAGAAAGAGCAGACTTTACCCGATTTCGTCGCTGGGAGTTTTGGGCTGTCGAATCCGATTCGAATGGCTCATGTCACGCTGGGAGACAAAATGAGGTTTCTATTTGCCTTGTTCACATATTGTGTTTCTTTTATGATAGGGTTTCTATTTTACAGGAAAGTCAAAGAAGCTTTCGATGCTTTGGACATTTATAACGTTGGAAAACTGTCGCTTGAAGACGTACGTCGTCATTTAATTTTTGTTCATACGTTGAGTAGCTGGTAGCTGACGCGTTTATAAATTTTGAGCGAGGGTACTTCGTCAAAACTTCTGGAAAGTATGAAAATGCATTATCTCTTCCAATCTCACGGACAAACCATTTTATGACAGATTCAGTAAAGTCGCATTTTTTCATTCCTTCAGCGGTAAGCTGTTTTTCTATTATATTCAACAATTAAAGTGTTTTGGATTAATTTAGAAAGTAAAATTGGTTTTTGTACTTCATCCAGTTTTTAAAATTAGTTGTGTGGTGTCCAAAAATTATGCAGAAAAAGTGTCTGCTTTTCAGTACTGGATGCTTTAATGGCGTAACGCACGCATTTGTACATACAGTGCTGTACATTTAAAATGGTTGTTGAGTATGTTTCTCAAATTGTAACATGCTGTAATCATACTTGCTCCCGAAGCAAAATAAATCCGTTGTTCAAAAAATGTTATTCAAGAACTCAAGTTTGCTCATGTAGCACTGATCATGTTCTACCGTATGGGACCCCGAAAATGAAACTTGGAATAAATATGTCCAAAATGAACTCGCAATTGTAAATTCAACTGAAATCTTTCACCATTTTCACTTTTCGATGTACGTAAGAAAATCGAGATATCAATTACGAAATTTTTTCGACAGTAAGTTTGGACATCCTATGATGATATCAAAAATACTGTACAGGACTTATATTGCCACGACGGCTCCGTGCCTAGGTTGCGGTACTTTCTTCACGATTAAAGTACTGTATGTCATCGTGGAAAGCGAATGGTTTTCAAAAATGATTGCCCTTGAGTAATGTCATCGTCAAGTTTCCTCGTTATTTGTTGACGGCACCCTTACAATCAGAGCTGATATAGTTCTTGTCTAAAATTTTCCAATTATTTCAGTAATAATCGCAAGGTTCTACTTCCCGGAAGTGAGGGTATCGGCTGAATTTTTTCCGTATCACGTGTGTGGGTTTTGAATTTGCATGAAAAGAGTCAAACCTTCGGCGTCAATTTGTAGAATGTAAGCTTCAAACGAATCTTGATTGCCTGAAACCTATGGATTTTCTTTCGCCTATGTCGTTCTGGAGGTGATGGAAAAAGATGGTTCGCAGTGTGCTTGGGTGCATGGTTCAGTCCGAAAAAGAATACGGAATGTGCTTGTGCGGCTTAATTAACTTTTGGAATACAGTAGAAATCTATCCTGATTTATCTAACTTTTCATTCTCAAAGCAATTTGTGGATAACTACGTGTAACACATGGATTCATCTTTGTTCTGCAGATCGGGATGGCGTTCAGAATCCTGACGAAACGCACTCTCACTCCGGAAGAAATCCGGAACATCCAAGCCCGCAATAAAAAGCGTCGTCTTTCCGCATCTTTCTCGTCACACTACAGCGATTCTGTCGGTCGAAGCCGAAGATCCGGATCTAGCGGGTGCCTCGTTCGTCGTGCACCGACGAACTCCGTGACGAAAGTAACTGCTCGTCCAATTCTTGCGCACACACGCGCAGAGACAATCGACTTGTGCCGAGTGTCGAGAACCGACGTCGGTGCTGCACCTTGTCATTCCTCTTCCATGACGTGCGTTCCTTCATGTTCGAAAGTATCCCCGTTAGCCATTGCAGCTGTAAAGAATATTCAGAAGTCCAAGGCCCGAAGGAGGACTGTTTCAGGGCTCACGAAAGAACCTGATGAGGGGGACAGTGTCGTTGGTACGTTTTTTGGTTCTCTTTTCATTACTGAGTACAGTATGTTCAGATATTTTAATTTTCTGATTCGATTTTGTATTTGCGAATGTCGACATGGTGAACCAAACTGAACAAATAATGTTTCACTGTATATCTGAAACACCCTACAAAATTGATTCACCTCATCACTCGACTGCTGAATTTTCCCAACTTACTTGTAATTTCCTGTTTTCTTCAGACGAGGCTTTGCCTGACCATGGACGGATATTAGAAACAACCAGAAACTCCATTGACGAAGGAGCTGGCATTGATTTCGATGAATTCTGTCGGATCGTTGCTGCATTAAAAGTGCGCGAGGATCGTCGGAAACGTTTCCCAGTGTCGTTGGTAACTCTGGATGAAGTCAGTGAACCCAAGACGCTGTCTGGTGAGTCGATTCAAGAAGTTTTTACTTGTAGGTAAACCCTGCTTCGTTCATTCCTGCTGCCGCACAAATCTAGAAAAAATGTTGAGTTGTTCGAAAAGTTTATGGAATTCTGCTTCTGAGTTTCTCTTGAAAGTTGTTGTGTTTTATTTCCCCTTTTGTTTATGAATTTAAACTATCAATAATCTAATCAATATTTGGTATCGTACAACAAATTTAATTGAATCCGTTTTTTGGGAATCTCAGTCGATTCAATGAAGTGAATTTTTACTGGTTACATTTTGAACGATATAGTTTTTATAACCCGCTTTTGCAAGAATCGCCAACAGTGCGAAAAATGACACTCAAACCAAAATGGCTTAGGTCACCAAAAAGCTAAAATGAATGGTTACAATTTTATGATTTAACCACATGTATGATATGTAAAGAGCCATCAAGGGTTTCGAAATACCTCTGAGATAATTTTTCTTCTTGAATTGTTGGTATTCATCAATATCGTTAATTAAATTTATGTCTTATAGAAATTTCCGACGGGAAAGCTGTTCCTTTTAAAAATGTGGCTTGGCAAGAAGAGAATTATTGGAATTGGTGGAAGTGTGGTGGGAGACAAGATGTGTACCTCGGTGGAATGCACGGAGATGCAAACTGGAGGGAAGAAATTGCGATTCCCATGCTAAAACGAAATGCCTTGACCTACTACAGTCCAGCGTATTCTCCGTGGTCTGATAGACTATCTTCGACTGATATGGCAGCAATGGATACCTCGAGGGTGCTTTTGTTCGTGATTACGGATAAAACTAGAAGCCTTGGTTCAATGATCATGGTGAGGCTTTTTACTTCGTAGACAATTCTGACGCCTTCCCAGTGCTTATGCGACAGAGAATTTATGTAATACTGTATATGTAACGTATATTTCACGCATACCCAAACATTTCATTGAAATTTGACACAAGCTTTCATAATTCGTGATTACGCTTTCTATCAATTTAAAACCGAGAAGATGGCATGTGACAGCTAGACCTTTTTTAGAAAAACAAGATACAGTATTTTGCACTTCAATTTGTGAACCTTTGAAATTGTTTTAATCTAATCTGGTATACGCTTTATATAAATTTTCTGGAAGTACAGAGCTGTACTAAGATATTTTGCTCGCACATTTCTTCCTCGCGGGATCTGAAGAATTCCGCGATCACTGTTCAGTATTGTTCCACTCAGTTATTTTGCCCAATTCAATGCATTTACTTTATTGTACTGTCCTAGTTATTTTCAGGCCGTTAAAATTTGTATTCAGTTTTTAATGCACTGTAAAAAGTACAGTACTCGTATACAGTAACACATATCACATCAGCAGTTTTTTTTCGTGTGGATATCCGGTGATAAGTGGAGTGAAGTTTGTTTACTGATTGCTGTTGAATCCATTTTTATTCTCCAGGCTGCGTATTACATTGGACTTGGGCGTGACGTTATCTTGTGCATTCAGCTGTTGCCCAAGGCGGTTTCGGTTCACGGGGAAACCGTGAGTCCTAGATTTAGCGAGTGCCTTGAGTAAGTACTTCTTACGTAAACGTTGAATTCGGTTACAGTTGTCCGAGGCCGCCGTGAAAGATTACAACCGAGGGAGAGTTTATTTGAATGACTTGGCGAGGCGTGAAGGCATCCCGGTTTTTGAAGGCGTCAAGGAAGCAGTGGAGTGTGTGATCCAGAAGTGCCTCTTGGGCAACGCCATGAGCGAACCAAATGTTTAATTATCGTAGCTGTGGAGATTCGGTCTCGAACAAGTGCCATTTTGATTTTTTTTTCAACTTTTCAGCTGGGTTCTATGGGTGCAAAAAAGGTTACGTCGGGATTTTAAAGAAAAAAAGTACCAACTTTTAGCGTTTAAAATGCTAAGAGAACCGCTATTTTTGTTGTCGAGTGCACTTCATATTTGTATGCTTTCCATATTACCGTGAATGATTTTCGTCAGCTGTTGATCGGCAGCTCTGGGAAATCAAGCAAGAGGATACTCGCCTACAATTGGGTAAATAGGCGATTATTTCTTTCTTTTTGGGGGAATCTAACGGCAATTTTTTAGTGCATTTATGTACTCGTTACTGTACTTATTTTTAAATTACTAAAGGATAGCGACATCGAGCAAACTAGGAAATAGATTTCTTTCGGTTACTAAAACCGTAGTCGCTGGGCTTTGACGGACGATAAAAGCGTAGGTAATTTAATTTGATTCACAAACTTAGACCTGCGTTCCTGCAATCCCGCGCTATGCGATAATTTTTAATGAACAAATTTTTGGAATAATCGTGAAGAATTGAATCTCCTCAAAATACGAAAGATTTGAGTCTGTCGAAACACTTCAGCGTTTCGAGTGCTGTTCCTGTGTCTTGACGAGAGATTTTTTTTTACATTCACGTTGAACGTAGTTGTTCCTGTTGTGAGTGGAAAGTTCTTTTAGCTGTTCGAGTTGATGTATTTTTATAATTCCTGTGATCTTCACTGGAGATGTTTTGTTTACTAATTGTAGCGGATTTTTTTCGATGAGGCAAGACAATTCAGCGCGCTCAACGGGGAGATTTTTTTTTACCGCGTTCTAATCTTTCATTGCGTTTTAAGTGTTTCCGCTGGCCGGGTATTGAGTTGGGAACATTGGAAAACTTCTGCACTTTTTCAAACAATACGCTTCTCTTGTTGATTGTTTTTATCAACCGGCGGTCAATGCCGCAAGAAAAATCTATCCGTTTTTTTTTCAGTAACCATCACAAGATCTGTTGGCTGTTGTATTTTGCCTCATTTTGTCATAGTCTTCCGAGCAGTTTGTGTACTTATTCTCGTCCTAGGTTAATCAGAAGTTCTTGAACCAGTGAAAAAATCTTTGAAATCAGCTACGAGGTGACTCGAATCCCCGGCAAGAAAAAAAATCTTCATTCCAACGCTGTTCCAAACTACGAGCGTGCGTGGGCATTGCTGGTCGTTCTTAATTGAGCAGAGATTTTTAATTTGAATTGGACACCTCTTACGGACTTGAAGAAGTTGTGTAAAGGTGTCAAATGAGAAGTGCTGGTGAAAATTTAACGGGATTCAAGGTTTACTTCTATGTGTTTGAAATAAATAGCTTCCCCATCAAATTATTAAATCAAGCGGCTTCAAAAGCCTCCTTGCTTTCCAGGCATTGTTTCTTGTTACTTTTCTGTTCGGTGAAGTGAAAAAAAAAATCATTAAATCCTTGGAAGATTGGTGGTTCGGAATGTGAAATCAACTCAGTCCTAAAACAAAGAGGAAGAATCCTACAGTTCTTCTGGAAAAAATTCATTCCTTTGAAAGTTGAAGTATTTATATAAGACGTAAACTTACGTATACTGTAAAGAGAACATTAGTTCCTGATTGTTTTACCGGGTAAATTTTTTCTTGATTCTTTGAAAATTGGCCGAACAGAACCTATAAACTTAGGTAATCCTTAAAAGTTCATATTTCTGGATCAAAATAATTTTCATCAGATTGCAGATATAACTATATCAAAACAGTTTGTATGCGATTGCAGGTATAGTTAATCCGAAATGTAGAAAAGGAAATCTAGTGATTTTTTTTTTCGAGTGAAAATTTCACCCAAGAACTAATCGGCCCTCTCGCAGTATATTTCAAAGTGTTTTAAACATCTGAAACTGTATAATTACTGCCATGGATCGGAAACTGATTAAAAGATGGTTGAATTTTGCTTTTTGTAGGGTTTTAGATCCAACCTTGAAGTAGTACAAGAATGAGGGCTATATGCCCTATCTGTTTTCTGGATCCCATCACACGGACCCGGTCAAGTCAAGAAGGTTAACTTCGACTCGTATCCTATAGAAACTTCAATGGGTTTGATTCTGAATTCATCAAGTTTGTCCCGAGAAACTAAGGAAGCTCATCTCATCTCAATTATTCACCGTTATCTGTTAACGGACGCTTATTTTGCCTGGACGTCTCAGCAATCGGATCTTGCGAAATAAATACGGAAGAAGTGATAGTGGGTTTAGAGCTCTTGATTGGGGCGTTAACTTTATCTATGTAGTTCAGATTGATGAAATATCGTACTGTATATGGATGTACTGTACTGTATTTTTAGTTTCAGTTCTTTCGAGTCTTCAGTTTCCTCATATTTCCATTCAGTTCAATTTATGCATTGGATCTTTTTTCAACCCACTCGAAGTGACAGAAGAAGAAATTGATATCAGAATAGTAGTGTTTCCGCCCTGGCTCTTCGTACAATAAATTAATATAATCCTGGTTGGATCCCCTGAACCAGCCGGAAGGAGATCAGCACCAGCGAGTCATTGTTGTGCGAAAACTTCAATTCGTGTTCAGTTATTCAGAACCAGTGGGGAGACATTAAGTTGGTTAAGAATAAAATTATGCGTAACCTTCAGAATCAAATATTGCACGCTCATTTCTAGCCTTAATCTTATTCAGCTGCCCGTGATATGCGATTTTGATTTAATTGACGTCGTGGTTGTGCTTATTGCACTCCGTTCGCTCGCAGCGTATGTCCATCCAGAATTTGAGCACTTTCGACCCATTTTCCGATGCACATGGAGGTGCCTCGGAGAGGGTGCAAGACACACTCGTTCATGTCAGGATCCAGCAACGATCGGGAAGAAAAACTTTAACCACCGTGCAAGGCCTTTCAGCTATGTTCGATCTGAAGAAAATAGTGAGGTAAAATTGGGATCGTATCCTATGTTAATACTTAGTTAAAAAGTACTGTACTGTACTTCAATAAAGTTAAACGCCTTTTCAGGGCGTGCAAGAAAGAATTCGCCTGCAATGGTACCGTCGTGGAGCATCCAGAGTATGGTGAAGTTCTACAATTGCAGGGTGATCAGCGGGAGAATATATGCCAGTTCTTGACTCGCTGTGGACTGGTAAAGGCCGATCAATTGAAAGTTCACGGATTCTGAGGAAGTGGTTTCGGACTTCGTATGTTGATGAAAGCTGTAAATTTGTTAATCCGAATGCTCCTCTGGAACGCGTTACACTTGAAATTTAGGGAGTCAACGATTTTTTCTGTGCAATTTTTTTTTTTTTGTCACAGACGGAGCTTTAACCATGTTAGAGAGGTTCTCTGCAAAAGAATTTGTTTCTGGTCCCCAGAATTTTGTTACAGAGTCCACCTGGATGAGTTCCTTTTTAAAAATAATGCAGCAACTGTCGAACATTTGCAGCTTCGAAGCACTATTTTAAGCTTAAATGATGTTATTGGCGCGCATTGCCTGCCAAACCTGCTTGGCAATTAAAACAATATGAACTAGTATTAATGCGAAAAAGCCACACATGCTTTTTCATCAAACTCACATGGTGTAATTGGCATGCAGTGCGTGTAAAACCTGCTTAGATGCTCTGCAGTTAACACAAGAGTAATGTGAACTAGTATAAGTGCGAAAATGTTCCTTAAGCTTTTTCATTTCTCTCTTATTTGGGTTAGACTAGATCCTTTGACAGCTGCATTTGTGATCGGAAAACATCGTCGATTGAACGATATCTTGGTGACCATTTATAGCAGATTTTTAGTTCAAATTTCCCATCATTAAGAAAGAAATGAATCTACCTGACTGAGGTAGAACTTGTACGAGGGGTCACACGTTTCCCCGCGGACTCATTTCTGCATACAAGGGGTAACATGGTTCCGAGCGGAATCGTGTCTATGCGGACTTGAAATGATCTGAACACCAGGGATTGTGTAAAACATTCTTCTCATGTTCACTAGCTTCAAGTGGCTCGGCAGAGACCTTCTCAACGTAATCACCACTAATTTTTACGCACTCCTCAGCCCTTTCGATCCATGTGATGAGACTGGGCTTGAAGTGTTTACTTGTTGAATTTTGAACCTCCCACAAAAACGCAGCAACAAGCTTATCCCTTCTTTCGAAGTGTTTGCCTCTCATAAGGGCTCCATCACCTATGGAAAGAGCCAAAAGTCACACGGGGCCAGGTGAGGGGAGTAGGGTGATAGCGTCAAGACACTCAAGCCCGATTCCTCCGCGCAACGGATGGTGGACTTCGCCTTGTGGGCTGGGGGCATTGTCATGGTGGAACCAGCACTGCTTCTGTTTCAACGCATGAATCGAAGGGGCTGAGAAGTGTGAGCGAATTGGCTGAGATTACATTGAAAAACTGTCTGCCTAGCTTCTGGGATACCGGTGAACATGAGAAGAATGTTGGGGGGGAAAAAATCCCTCGTGTACAGGTTATTTCAAGTCCGCATCGACACGATTCCGCGCGGGACCTTGTTACCCCTTGTATGCTGAAAAGAGTCCGCGGGGAAATGTGTAACCCCTCGTATGTCGCGCAATCATGGTTTTTATATGATTCCACTTTCCAGGTGCCTGAGACAGCGGTGGATGATCACGCGTGACATCGATTGCTTCTGGATATATCAATTACTCATTGAATTTTAAAAATTGCATTGAGGTATCTGCCGGTTATTAATGGTTTATTAAAAATTGTGTATTCAGTATTTCTAGTCTAGATTCAATTTCGAAGTAGCTGAGGCTGAAGAAAATTGCTCAGGGATTATAAGATCAACTGGTGCTAACCTTGAGATCCTCTTATACTGTAGTCAACAGTCCCATCATACACAATGCGGTACACTCAGATTTAAAATGAGGTTCTCCATCTCCACCGTGTGAATATACGTCAATTAACTGTGGAAGGGAATTTTCAGAATTCTGATGACTTAGCAGACCCTGCAAGATTAAATTGATCTGGCTTGATGAGAATCAAATTGTTAGCCCGTATAATCAGCCCAGTCGCCATCGACTACCGCATGGCAAGTTGCTTCCAGGTATGACCTATTTTTCATAGCAGAATCGGTCAGTCGCCAAATGTAAAAGATTCAAGTGTTGTCCACAGAATTTCAAATATAATAGCCCGCGAAGAAATAAGGGAATTGCAAAGTTCTCCTTAACCAAAGATTTTGACCTGAGGCAATTCACAGAACAATGCTTTCTGAACAATTCATCCAAAAGCCAGTCCTAATTCAAGAATTCCCTGTCTGCATACTTCATAAAGAGCGTATGAGTTCCTCCAGGGTATTTCTTAAAAGCTGAAGATCTTCAGGCTCTGCCATTCGGTGGTAACCGTTCCTTCGCAAATAGAAATCAATTTTGGCTTCGGGGAAGACCATTGGAATGTCTTGCATCATTTGTTGGTACGGCATTTCCATATCCTGACAAGGAACGAACGCTAGGTATGAACATCAATTAAATATTAGAGCTGCATTAATCCCCGACCTTCATTCCGTGGATGCATCTAATCGGCCCAGTAAATTTGGGCATCAACTTGCTTCTGGGATGAATTTCCAGCTCTCTGCTAGACTCGGCGAACAACTTTGAAAACGGGATTTTTCCAAATTGTGGATGCGTTATGAACACGATATCTCCCTTTGCTAGTTTTTCGCGATCCTGTGTAATTTCAACCGTTTTAATATCTGGCGTCCCATATATAATCAATCGTAATCCAACCTCCGATGACGCGAATTTCTGGAATTGAACATAGTATTTGTAGAGGAAATTGAAGGCACCTCCGACTAAAATAATTCCCTTCACACGATCGAAGAAATCCTGCGCTCCGAGGGTCGAAAGCTAAATACAGATGAAAACATGGAAAAACTACCAAGTGACATGATTGACGCGGGGCGAAGATGACGAAAAAGCTGGCTACAAATTTCAGCATATCCTTACCCATGTTCCCATGGAGGACGCAACAAATATTACCGGCCCTTCAGTGCAATTCTCCATTATCAACTTGGCATCTTCAACCCAATTATGAAAAGGCGTTTTATCAAGAGACAGACCAGGGCTCTCCCCAACACCTTCATATTCATATCTGCATAAAGCAAAACAGAAAGTTACAATAGAGGATGCAAGAATCAGTGTACGATGAGCATCTTCGTAAACTTACGTCAGAAATGATAACCGTTTTTCTCGACAAAATTCAGCCAACATCGTTGACTTCTGACCCCATTTGCAACTGAGAAATCCAGGATGATACACCACAGTGTACTTGTCTGGTGCGCCTTCAAGCTTAGAATAGGATACACCTCTGTCTACCGAAATTCGTAGTATTTTTGTAACAGGTTGAGCGCGAGTACAGTAAGGTCTCGCGCAGCGGCCTCCAGCTAAAATCGCATAGGTCAGTCGATTCATCCTCAGGACGTACTGAACGCATGGACTTCCGCGCACTCCTAGTCTATATCTTCCGTGTGGTTCTCTCGAAACGTGGAGTAAAGTAAAATCCAGGAATCAGTCAACCACACACATGTACATGATGTCACCGACCATATACATTACACCACTGTACTGTACTTCAATATGGTCTTCACCTATGATTGTAGATACAGTTCTTCAATCACGGGCAGCGTGTCACAAGTACGATCTTGTACTGCAGTGTATGAAGCGATGTGCAACAAAAGAAGGATCAACACAATAATTGACACCCACCGCGTGAGCTAAGGAAAGAAACCGCGTCATTCAAGTTGAAATATTTTTTCACGGAATCTGCATTGGCAATGCTGCTTGTAGAGCGTGCAACTACATGTGGAGCGCACCAATTCCAGAAGGATGAGGGCCACGGCGAAGCTGGCCCAGTGACACATTGCATTTCACAAGCAGCAAACGAACAATATTAAAAATTAACCTTGACATTTGCAAGGGGACCAAAATTGCCCTCATTCACCAATCCTTGGCGTTTGGCGGGTATTCCAGATGGGAAGAAAACGTGGTTGGATAGAATGTAAAGATATGTGCCGTTCTTGCTGAATTTTGAAATAAGCACATACGATTCAACTTTCTTAGGAAATATATTTCAGCGGGATTAAAAAAAAAAAAACGTTATGCTTCCGCACAAGAGAAAAGGCCGCCGCCCTAGATCGATGCAGCAGCCGCGCAATTCTTCATTGCGGATGTGCCTTAAACGGAATAGGCCGCCGCGGAAGTTCACCGCACTCGGTGTAGCGCTGTGCCTGTTGTGTTGGGGGCTAGATGACGCTAGCTAAGGACAAACCTACAATATACCATCGTACAACTTATCCACCGCGAGTCACTGATGATATTAACTCAGTATCTTCGAAATACCGGTGTGAGCCGCAGAATCACGGTTTATTTATTTTTTCGTGGCGCCCAATTTCGGATGGGTCTACTGGCGTTATGGTTATCGTTCATGTTCGATCTGGATATTTGATTTTTCCCTTCGTTTTGCGTGGACTGAGGATCGTCTCGATTCTCCGGCGGTGTTGCTGTCGCATGCGTTGTGACTTAATTTTTGCTGCTGGACAGATGTTCTAATGTCCCAGACGTTCATATCATTGGAAGTACCTGATACATTCTTTAATTTTAGGGCACGCTTGATTGAAGTGATACGAGATGCTTCCGCTGACTCTTCTAAGCACTGCGCAGAATCACCCCATGTTGGTTGAGCTGAAGAACGGTGAAACTTACAACGGCCATCTCGTGACTTGCGACAACTGGATGAACATCATCCTTAAAGATGTGATCTGTACCTCTCGTGAAGGAGACAAGTTTTGGAAGATGCCGGAATGCTACATCAGAGGCTCTTCCATAAAATATCTTCGCATTCCTGACGAAGTTATTGAACTCGTGAAAGAAGAAGTTGTTTCCAGAAACCGTGGTCGAGGTGGTATGGGTCAAGGACGAGGAAGAGGTGGTCCACCTAGAGGAGGCTTCGGAGGCCGAGGTGGCCCACGTGGTCGTGGTGGATCGGGTGATTCTCGTCAGAATAAGGGACCTAGTAGAGGCCGATGATTTAGTTGTTTTTTTCTTATGTTGCTTCGATGATTCGTGAAAATGTCTTTTTTTTCGAGTTAATGAACGTCATCCCGTGCACATAGTGTAAAAAGTTGGAAATGTCTCTCAATGGATTCATCACAGAGTAATTTTTTTTTTGCAGGCATTGTGATCAATATCTCTCGGATTGAAGCGATTGCGTGAAACGAATATCCAAGCTTTATTTTACACCAGCCTCTTGTTCCAGCAGAAACTATCACGATGACGAGCTCATATACTCCTGGCGACCTTGTGTTGTAAGATATAACATTTAACCCAGCTGAACCTTATCTATGAAGACGTTTGCTTTTCCAAAAGAGCAAAAATGAAGGGATTCTCGCCGTGGCCTGGACGAATCGCTCACCCTGAAGAAGAAATGGGACCTGTAACCAAAAAGAAACCGAAGAAAACTTCTCAATGGGTCTATTTTTTCGGAACTGGCGATTAGTATGTAATTCGATTTGTTCGTCCGGTATTCTAATTTACATTGATTTGGACATTGGTTTTCCAGTGCCTGGATCGAAATGGAGAGTATCAAGCCGTACTACGACCACCGCGAGAAATTCGCGAAAACGTGCAAAACGGGCGGATTGAAGCGAGCTTTGGAAGCCATTGAAGATTATATCGAACAACATCCGGACGCTTTGAAACCAATAGTGAGTCTACCCGAGAACACGTTTTTTCGCAAATTCCTCTCGAATTGATTTTTTTTATTTTTACAGAAAGTAAAGAATGAAATATCTGAAGATGGAGCCGGCAGTTCTACGAGCACCCCGACACAACCACGGAAGGTGCGTTTCTCCGAAATGATTCCTTATAATTGAAGCCACCAAAATATATTTTTCAGTCAAGACTTCCTTAAGATGAATTATTTTGTTCCGGAAAGAATCTTTGTCTATATTTTTAGGTTCATTTATGATCATGAGTCCCTTGGTCTCGTTTGCAATTGTCAATCCTTAGTTCCTGTCAATATTTCGAGTGTATGATTGAAAACATATCCTTACAGATCCACTATGTGATCTTTTAAACTCTTTCGCCGATCAGTATTTAATGCTTTGCAGAAATGTCCTGTTTATGTCGAGGTTTCATACCAGTGGAACTCAACTCATCGAAAGCCCGAATTTTTCCATGTTGCTATGTATTCAACTAACATCCGAGCATTGCCTTTCGCACATCTATCATTTCTGTGAATGTTTAGGTACAGTATGTGCGAAAGAGGAGCAAAATCTATACATTATTACAGTATGCATTACAGTATATCCAGTACTGTAAAACGAAGTTTCGTTAAACTTTCCATCATTAGTTACGTTTTCTTTTTTGTTTTATTCACTTCGTTTTTGTTTTTAATTATCCAGTGAGAAAAAAAAAACTGTTCAATTGCTGTACCTAAGTTCAATTCCAGGTAGAGTGGACTATCTACTCCACTCGGATGAAGTTTCCTGCCTTTTTGTTGTTGTGGAGGCATGGTCCTGTTCTTCTTTCCACCTCATGAAAATCCAGTTATTTTTCGGATAGTAGTAAAACGGTTGGCAATAGTGAATAACTAGCAATACAAAACATTTGTATTTCGTTGTAAGGAAATCCAAAATTATTTGACGTGGCTCGTGTATCACCATGTACGCAGCCGGTTGATGCATTCTCCTCAATACGATGATGCACTTTGAAAATTTATCAAGATGTCCATTTGACGGAGACAGAAATTCTTATGCTGATTTATAGTACTCATTTGCTGTTATGCATTTCTCTTCAGAGTGAAAGTTCTGCGACGAAGAGAAAATCTACAAATGAAGTGGCATCCGGAAGTGGGAGCAAAAAACCCCGTATCCCGAAAACACCTAGTGCTCGGTCAGGAGATGGTGCTGGCCCATCATTCGATCGCAATGACCGTCCAACAACAGTTGTTCACTCGACGATTTATGTGAATCATGTGGACAGCCCTCGGATTCGTGGTGTTGGTGATTCATTGCTTCACCGTCCCACGCCATTGGCAAGAAATGTGTGTATATTTTTTTCATTGCGCGATTGTCTTGTTTATTGGCATATAGTGTTTTTGTTAAAATCGACATTTAAAAATTGGACGACCGGTGGAATTAGCGCCCCTGCTACAACTCAGACCAAAATCACCCTAGCTAAATATAAATTAAGCCGCCTCTAATTTAGTTGGATTCAATATTTTTAGGTTATATCCTCGCTATTGGAGGGAAAAAACCATCTTGTTGAACCGTAATTTTCAAATCTAACTTCTCGAATCGTGTCTGAAAATGTCCAATCAAAGTGATTTAGATTTCGCATTGCCTTTTTTATGTCGGGTTTTGGGACTAATAGGGAATGCGAAATATTAAAACGAGGTATAGTTTATGGTTCTGCTGAAAATTGTGTTAATTTGATCGTTTTTTTTTTTTCAACCTTATTCTCAACAGACTCCGTCACCTGTGGATGTTGGAACAATTTCCGAGAGCCTTAGAAACAAGCATATTCGTGCATCTGATCTCAAATTTGGCTTCATTGGAATCGGGATGATGGGCAGCGGGATTCTCAAGAATTTACTCAATTCAGGACACAACGTCACTATTTGGTCTCGTAGGGATGATGCAGTAAGTTCTATTGAAATTTTTGCAAAACTCCGGCTTTTGGTACACAAGCATCAAGTTTTAACAAAATCATTGTTATTATAAATTGTATTCGTGATGCATGTTCTTTTATATTGAGGCGGAAGGTGTGAGTAGTACACCAAAGAATCCAAGAACCCCGATGATCAATTTCTTGGAAACCTTTTCTTAAGTCTTATGCATGCTTCTGTCTACGTGAAAATTTGCAGACCAAACCCTTCTTAGAAGCAGGAGCTCATCCAGCTATGACACCGTCAGATGTAGTTGCTGCTGCAGACATCACGTTTGCGTGTATAACAGATCCTAGTGCCGTTCGTCAGGTAATTGAGGACCCCCCCCCCCCCCCCCCCCCCCCCCCCCCCCAGTCAGCCACCTCTGCATAACTTTCAGCCACAGCATGTGCCATGTCCATCTGGATGCTGCCTCATCCATTCTTTCATTCAACCTCCAATCTCTTTCTCTCTCTCTCTCTCCCCCCCCCCCCCCCCCCCCTCCTATTCGTGGGTATTTCTGAGACGTGTTTTCGATCCACAGATTGTGTTCGGAAATTGTGGCGTTCTGCAAGAAATGAAGTCTTCGAAAGCATATGTTGAGATGTCAACGATTGACCCGAAGACTTCGATCGATATTTCTGAAGTAAGTTCTCGTCGCCGATCGTGAAATGTATTCTTTGATTAATTTTATAACGAAATGCTTTATACAGTATTATAAAGCATATATTTTAATCCAAAAATTCATTATAGGCGGTGACTATGCGTGGTGGGAGGTATTTGGAGGCTCAGATGGCTGGAAGCAGACAACAAGCGCGTGATGGCAATCTTGTCATCATTAGTGCTGGCGACAGGACTCTATTTGAGGACTGCACCACCTGCTTCTCTGCAATCGGACACAAATCGTTCCACATCGGTAATTGTTTCTTTTTTCTCATGAACGGAACCATTTTTGGTTGTAGACTGAAGAGGAAAGGTGCTTGTGCAATACGGGGCTTAAAATGAAGCGAGGCTTCTTCAGCTGTCAAAGACTGTGTCGAGCACGTGTAAATCAATCAGGAATGTTTTTAGACCGTGCTTTATAGCGTTTCAGAATCCTTTCGGAATTGATCGGCAAATGTCTGTTGGAAGTTGAAGTTTCTCTTCGATCGCCCGGAATTATTATTTTTAATTATTTAATGTTTTTCTTCGCGAAATTCGCGTTTACAGGGAGAGGATGATTTCTGGGCGATGTCGAAAACTTTTCATCTTGGTGATCAGTTTACTGCAAATATAAAATCTAATCTTCCCTGATTTTAGACTTCCACAAAAGTCCCAACGAATATACATTTTTAATTGTAATAACCTGGATTCAAATCTATGATATGAGCTCATCGTACGAAGGTCTTTCGTTTTTGTAAACAATATTTTTTAAAAACTGAATATCACATCATTTTACTGTATAAATTTCAGTGTACTGTACTGAACCTTTACCGAAATATGTTTTCAAGTTTTCTTGAAGTACTGCTAATGTTTCTGCCCTCTTGTTTTTAACGTGACCATATTCAGAATTGGGGCTGAATTAGATTTTGGAGTGTTCCGTCTTCAATAATCTGATATCTGCTTCACATTAAAGGCAATTTTGCAGGCATTTCATGGTATTGTATTTGTTCTTCGATCTTACGTCACTTTTACCAACGAATCGCCTGACGCTTAAGAAGGATAACGCAATCACGCTTAGCAAAACTGTTACGTTTCATAAAATGTTTCTGTATAAAAAAAAGATTTCGATAATTTTGAAAAGTGCGTTTTTTTTCGACGATATGATTCATATTCTTGATTGCAATAGTGTAGTTTTAACGTACGTTATCCGATTGAATTCTCATTTGGGTGTACAGTATTTTAGCTATTGAGTGAACGGGGGATGAAGAGTAATTTGATAACTTGTTTGTGTGTTGCAGATGGGGTTGGAAACGCGTGCAAGATTAACCTTTTCATTCAGGCGCTCATGGGAGTTCAGACTGCTGCATTGGCTGAAATTATGACGATGGTGGAGCAAACAGGGCTAATGCAGACCGATTTCTTGGAGATTTTATCTTCTACTGACGTACCGTCAAAAGTGATGCTCCAAAAAGCAAGTGGTTAGTTCATCACTTGTTCATTTATTTTGCGTTCTCAATTTTTAACGAGCTGGGGTAGTTAATGATTTGATTACATAGCGCTTTGTCCATTCTGATCGTGGTTGAAGTTCTTGAAATTGAGATTATTCCTGCAACGAATGTGAGAGAGGACAGAGGAACTCCTGAGGGGTACTTGTTTCATTTCTTTTTATAGATGAAAATGCAGATTTCAGTTGAAATCCAATTGGTAATTGTGGTTCGGTGATACCGTATACAGATGATACTAATCTTCATTCATTTCACCATTTCATTCTATTCGACTGCACCGTAAAAAAAAAAAAAAAGATATTCATTTGTTCAGCCGTCTAATTATTGGGCCGCTTGTTTCCGAGGGAAATGGAAAATAAAAGGGATTGATTCGCTTGAAAAAATGTCGGTAAGTTTTATCGAAGAGATCACTTCTGCTTATTGAACCAAAGCTAAATTCCGCATGTGTGAATTTTCTGTCCCTAACTAGTTTCATGACTTCCTAACATGGATCGGTGTAAAAGGTATGCTGAGTTAATCAAAGACGTTTCGCGATTCGTAGCTATTATCGGCGGCCAAATACCGAATCCGAGCCACAGTACGGCGAACATGAAAAAGGTCCTTAAATTGGTACTGGACGTTGCCGAGGATGTAGACCAGACTCTGCCCGTGACCGCCACTGCGCACGAGCTCTTCAAATACACAATGCGTCAGGGCTACGGACATCAAGACGACTCAGCCGTTTACAACCGGATCAAGTTCTGATCGTGAACGCCGAATTTATCGTTCTATTCTATTCGTGTGTGTGGATATAGTTGTCTCCGACCGCTGGGATGAAAGGCTACGTAGGTTCTTTTTTTTTACTTTTTGCCCAGCTTTGTTACGTCGTGTGTTCCGTGCGAAATCGGGAAACTTCTGAATGCCGGAAGTTGGTTGGGCGGTTATTTGTACGAAGAACATGTTTACGAAATTATAGTTTGTATAGTTTTGTTAATTTTTCTGGTTGCGGATGTTGGTTTTCTGCGTTGCATGTCTTATGATCGCTTGACAGAGAGATGGAATGTTTTTCAAATGCGAAACGAGAATGGTTTCATTAGTTGGCGGAGTGTGTCTGTGAGTCTTTCGAGTGTCCTGTTTCTGATACTTCGTTTGCTGCTCATCGACCCTAGCTCTTCGCGAATTTTTGTCATGGTAGCGTTGTTCATGCACATTCTTCAATTTGTATATGAAGGTTTCCTCAATTTCTTACTACGTTCCTTGTGACTCGTTGAATGAAAGACTGCACTACGGAAGCATTCTGACCAGAATTATTCATGATCTGAATGAATTGAGTTTCTTTTTGAAAGCCAGCAAGGACGCCTTCTAGATAACGCAGTACGTTGATCAGACGCAGGTGCGAATATTAAATAGGAGGTTCTCATTTATAGACATTATCAAGAAAAGAGTACAGTATTGTATACAGTTGAAAAAAGTGGTTGCAACGTGCTACCAGGGATCTGTGCAAACTTTTTACCATTAATTTTTTCTACTGCATCAAGGCTCATATATTCTTTTACTCGTGTGGGAGTAGTGGGACTGAAAACCTTTGGTCAATCTGGAATCCATACTCCTTAATGGAAGGGCTCCCCGAAATAAAATTTCCCTTTTCGAAAACACATATTGTTTTGACAGAAGAAACTTATGGAGACTCATGTAAAGTTTGTTGTTTTGATATTGGACCTGACATGCTTGGCATTTTTAGAGAAACTGTGTCATGAACACAATTTTTGAAATTAAATCTGTTGTCAGCAATTTAATATATTTGTGATAAGGAGCATTCATCCTTATGTAGCCATTGTTCTCTTGATTAAATCATTGGTCTTTCAAATATTTACTTTTTTTTATAAAATTGAAAGAAGCCGTTATATGAAGTAAGCTGCAGAATGACTTTCTGAAAGAATTTTCCGCAGAAAATAAATATCTTTGCATTTCTTTTTAATTGACTTAATTAATGCGGGACAGCAATGAAGATTTGCAAATTTTCATTGAAAATGCCTTCTTGCCTGTATTCAGAATTGAAGAAATGTATACTGTACTGTGTATTGTAATTTCTGGTAAAATAAAACACTAACTTTAGTAGAATACGTTTCTGACTTTCTCTTACACTTTTTCCTGAAAAGACAGTACTAAACTGAGACCTTCAAAAATGGCTTGTTACGGTGCATTGAAAGATTGAAACAAGCTCTGTCTTACTTGTGACTTCAGCTGTATTAAACTTGCCCAGGATTCACTTTATCACAAGAAAAAAAACTTGTGCTTTTTGAGACAATAATAAGGTGAAGGGGCTTTTTTTTTAATTGATATGCTCTAATTGGAGCAACGGGACCGATCACCACTAATGTGCGTACAGTGAGACCCTGAAATGCCGACACCCAGACGCACGCATGATTTGACTTGGGGGACACTTCAAGCTTCAACAAATCTGAGTATCTGACCCAACATCTGGACAATAACTCAACTTATGGACGTTTTTCCAACATATCCAGAAAAATGTAATTTTTGTGCGTTTTCTTATTTGTTGGAGAAATTGAGTTATTTGCTGTTAAAAATACTGATAATACTGTATAAAGGTTAACTTTAAATTACCCAAATTCATATACAGTACAGTATCTTCAGAAGAGGGAAATGAGGCATGTTTTCAAGCTGCTGAAGCAAGTGGAAGATTTCTTAGTGAAGTGTGTGGTGAAGAAAAGTGTACAGAGTAAAATCACTGATTATTTCAAGCAATAAAATGCTTTTAAAGAGGGTGAAGTATTTTTCTGTAACAAAATCAAGTAATCTCATTACAACAAATTTTTTATAACAAATTCTTTCTCTGGTCCCCAGGAGTTTGTTGTAACAAAATTTTACTGTAGTTAAAAACAAGGAAATTTTGTGCTCATTTTTAAAAATTTATTTGATCCAGTGTGCTCAGTATTGCAAAACATATACCTTTTTCTTTACTTCTTGAGCTTATCCTGATGTCAAAATATGATATTCTGTGTGGCTTTCTTCAATACATTTATTTTCTGTACCTCAAAGTTGCTAAAAATTATTTTTTACATTTTTGGGGAGACTTTTTCTTGATTACCGGTATATTATTGATCTATAGCAGAAGTAGCAGAACCAATTAAAATTATTTCAATATAAGTCCACAGGAAAGCAAGGTCCAACTTGCTGACATTTGGACATAGGGACGATATGGTTGATGCACCAATCATATCTGCATCTTGGGGTCCCACTACCAAGATCACAATACTGTATAGTATGCAGTACTGTACTGTACAGTATTAGGAACCACATGGTCAGGTATCCTTGAAAGCAAATTTTAAATACAGTACTGTGTCTTGAATTATCTCGGTGAAGGCATTAGAGAAATATAAACTATCTGAATCTTCAGCCACAATAATCGGGGTGAAATTCGATTTGGGTCAGTATCGTATGTATCGGTTTGGATCATATTTTAATGCTGCGCAGGAAATTCATTTACGAAGGTTGAGGTTAACGTGTTTCACTCGTTGTTCACCGTATGTGCTTCCACTCGTATTGAAGGTTCTCAAGAGCCTAGAAGCGCTCCTTCGTGCTGTAATGGAAGATGTGGGACAGAGAAAGCATTGCCCAATTTCTTGAGTTTCTCTGTTGGAGTATGAATTGAACTAGATCGTAATTTCGTACTATGAAATTTGTTAATTATGAAGTGGTTGACTTTTAAAATGTTAGTGGCCGAGTGACTTAAGGTCGAATGCCGTTTGTGTGGGGCCCCCGTCATCAATTTGCGCAAATAGATTGGTAATCTCTTTAAGACAATATCAGCTGATCGTGATCAACCGTATTGTTTTCAGTTTCCAACTTCGTTGAACATGGTTTACATCATTTTTGGCCAGTTAAGGTGTGTAATCGTTGATGGTCAGAGTTTTTTCAGTGAAACGGAGCTCAAATTTTTTTGCGACTGATTTCGTAATTGTTGATTGCGATGTGGTGGATTGTAAAATTAATACCACGATTATATTGTTGCTATCATTCTTGGTGGAAAACATCGTCAACACCTAGCTTTATCTTGTCTTGGCTCCCTCCATGCAATTTATCCCCAACATTCGAACATATTAGTACGTTCGATTTGAATTGAATGATTGATTATGCGCGATTCTCCACACGAGTTAGAAGGGAACATTTCGAGGTGAACAGTGAGTTGACCAAATTTTATGTTGCAGGTATTTTTTACTGGTGTGCATGATTTTATTTGCTATTGCTTTTCATTCCATCACGCATCAGTGTATTCGTATTTTTGAAAACTGAGTGATCGACAATCGTGTCCTGATGCACGAATGGGCATGACGACATTTTCTCAATGCTATACGCCAGCGTCTTCATGCAGAGGCTGTTCTGCCGTTGCACATATGAATCGATAGTGTTCGATATCATTGTCTCTCAAGATGCATCCCAGCAGGTGATTATATGCTTTCGACTGTATGGTTATTTGGTATTTGGTGTGAGGCAGTGCAAGGCAGAAAAATTATTGTATGAATATTAGGTATTTTGAAGTTCTTCTAGCATTCTTGGCACGTAGACACAATGGTCCCTTTTTTTGTGGAGAGAATTACCTTCGTGAACTTTTGCAGTGGGAGTCGCGATTACAGAGACCTTCACCGACATCCAAGATTACGGATGCCACCAGCTGCAGAAGATGACTTTGAACCTCCATCACCTGCGCCTGGAGGGCATTCTTTATTCGCAGCGCCTGTGAAAGTGAGTTACTGATGTCACGTTTATTGGAAGAAAGTTCTATGCATGGCATAGTTGTTTAATTTTTGTTCACGGTTCATTCGAATTGAGCCTGATGGTGCCGGAGGTCTGAAATTTCGCAAAAGGCAAATGCATCCATTTGAAACATGTTGATATTCAAGCAACACGAATACTTGAATTAGCGTCGAAATACTGTACTAGTAGCCTGTGTTGAATCCGTAGGAAAATTGTCACCATTGACCTTGGAAGAACCTTGCTCATTTCTGCGTGAATGCCGTTCCCTGCCGCAGTACACTACTTGTATTGTAATAGTTTTTCAGAAGAGAAGAAGAGAAGGGAATTAGTACGCTTCGCTTGAATTATTGGTTCTTATGTGACATACGTCTGTCTCCTCGAATACAATTTGATTCACCCCCGAAGTACTGAATCTCTCCGAAGGTTTAGCCCGTATTCGTCATTTTATTTTGTTCGTCAATTTCTGGTTTTTTTTTTCAATGCTTCGTTCCTATACTACTTCTATGTTCGTACATTAAAAGTACGCTATTCGGTCTCTTAGACATTTTCTTCTTATAGGAGAGAAAGCTTCTGAAGTTTTAAATTAGGTCGTCTGATTGACATCCATCTTCGCTGAATTTCTAGGCCGACGTAGAAGATGAGCTCACGCGTCGAATTATTGACTCTCTGGGCGACTTTCGAGTTGTTGAACCGCAAGTCACCAACTCAGCTTCAGCTGCAATCTTGTTTGGCGTTGATCAAATGCCTCCCACGCCGTGTCCCAGAGAACCGATCCATGAACCAGACGATGTCGTTTCTTCTTCATTCGACCCCGTGCCAGAGCCCGTGGAGCAACGCCGGCATTACGACTCTCATCACTTCGCGTTCCCACATCGGCCAAAGCCGCCAATGGCGCCTCCACCTCCGCCTTCGTTGTCGTCGTCATTTTCGTCAAATTCTAGGCAGCATGCTTCTAGTCGGTTTCCTCCTTCAAAAACGACACAGCCGAGAGTCAATGGCTTCGTCCAACCTGAGCCCAGAAGTATCGTTGATGTGAGAAGGAACGACCCTGGACTTTCGCATCAGTCCAATAAGCGGGGCATGAGTCCACCCAAAGTGAGTTGACGCAACCATGTACAATCCTAAACCTAAATTCGCTGTGCGTAATTTTCCTAAATACTGCAAATTCGCTGTGCGGAATTTGCAGTATTTACACTTATCCTCTATTAAATGAAATTGATTCTGAGACTAACCTTGATTATTAGCCCATCGACCCATCGAACTCTACAGGAAATCGATTCTGAAACGCACTTGTGTATGACTAATATGCTATTGTACTGGGGATTATGAAATGTTGATGAATTTTCTAACTACAGGATTTTCGGATAAGCGAGGATTTCTGATCGTGAAGTTCGAGTAGAGGATCTCTTCAATTACTGTATCTCCAATATGGAATAAACAGCTCGGGCAACATTAAAGCTTTCGTTTCTCTTTTTTCTCGTAGTTGAACATATTTCTGAAGTTTTGAGGGGATTGTTTGAATCAATGCACAAATTTTGACCATCCCGTGAAGTTGCGTTTCGCGTAACCATCGTTTCGGTAGTGGAATTGAGAAGTCACCTTTTCTGGGACGCAATTTAATTTTTATGTGAGTCAAAATTGGACTTGAAAGTTTCTTGTACTCACCTAAGTAGTATAATTTAGAGTATTAAATTCTTTTCAACGGAAAACCAATCCTGTATTTTTCTGTATTGCGTTCGTACAGTAACTCCCCATTGGTCTGTTTTATGAGCACGCAATAAACTTGAGCATGAGTCCACAAAATAGATTGTGTTTTTCTCGTAGAAATCGTAAAAAGTTTCTATCCTGATTCGCTAAACTTTCCATTTCCCTTCACGTTTGGAAAAGTTACACCGTAAACTTCAAGGCTTTGTTTACCAGTCATGATTGAAAAAAAAAAACTTCCAAGGAGAGTGAAGGTGAAATGAGAAAGCATCGATTTGCTGGGTTCAATATGTTTCTCGTTCTCCCAAAATTCCCCTCTTCCAAGTACGAAACCGAAGTGTAATTTAGCCGCTCTATATTTTTCAACGATTTGAAGAATATGAACTGCCCGAACAATATTAAAGCTCTCTTTCTCGGAACTTACTAAAATTTTAGATGAAATTAGGAACATTTTTGTACCAAGACGTGGTCTCACCATATGAACTATCCGTTTTGTCTCCGCAGCCTCGTTGTGAAACCATCGATGAAAGTGCGGTCAACAACATGCTTCATGTAAGAAAATGTCGTTGATTCTTGCAATCTTAATCGAACCTCCGAGACGGTGTTATTTCATTGTATTTGTCAGGAAATGAAAGAGCTGCCGTCCACACCGTTGACTGGGATCGCTCAGACACCGATGCGCTCTCCTCCACATCCATTACCGGCGTTCGCGTTCCTTGGTCCGCCCGTTACGCCGAGCTGCATGGTACTTGTTTTTCTCCGCACACGACAAACTTAATTTTTCGGGTTAAATGCCGGGTGCTTTCGCCCGAAAGAGCGAATATCCGGGATAATCGAAAATGAAAAGGGGAAATACCCAAGGATTACATTTTTTCTGCAATGATATTACGTGATATGACCAGCGTCTTGTTGCTAATTTCGATGAGGGACACATTTGCCATATGTCCTATATTGTGTGAAGTTTATTTGCTCTTCGTTTTGTCTTTCGTGTGATCACGAAGTTTTTTTTTTATTTCATCTACTCAGTATCTCATTAGCTTTTTGATAATCACCGTGTTGGGCTTAATTAAAAAGATATTCACTTGAAATTTGTTAAAGTGAAAAAAAGAAAGTAGCTCCGATTCGAATAAAGTGGGAGGTTCTTGTGACGAATTCGATCACGATGAAACAAAGCCCGGAGAAAAACCTTATTCTAATTATGATGTGATACAGTATTATGATTTGGGTAATTTTACCACGTTTTTATGAACTCACTTTCTTGTCTGTCTGTCTGTTCGTCCGGATCAAATTTTGAAACTCAAATTTCCCTCACTTCCCGACTAGCTATCAAGCTGAAACTTTCAATTAAGGTTATTTTTTGCTTTTTGAAAATGTGGTTTTTTAGATTAATTTTTTAATCTACTATAATTATTATCTTCATTTTTTAATTAATGGTCTTGTTTTTCTCTGTCGTCATCATTCTTCTGTTCTTTTACTTCGTGAGAAATGGACTTCAAAAAAATGTATGTGAGTTCTTCTGGTTCTGTCGCTGGATGTACGATTACGGATTTTCGTGGGATTTTATTCAATAGAATATTTCAAGGTTTATTTTATTCTATCGAGATGACGTTTTAAAATGGCTCTTCAGCACGCTTACCGTTTTTTAAAATCTTCAATATAGGAGCTGTCTTCTCGCTTTTTTGCAACTCTCTTGTTAAGGCAACCCAAATCCCCAAAAAGTGATTTTGGAGGTCGCTCTTACGCGACATAGATTTTTACCAGTTGTCTTCCGCCTGTTGACCATTGCGAACGGGTGAAAAAAAGGGAAATTGTCGACCGACTGATGTTACTGTATGTCTTTGACGGGGCATTCCGGTAAAATGTGTTGTGCCTTTTGCTCTAGTATCAACGAATGAAGCAGTATGTGGATTTGTTTTATCCATTCATATTTACTCATTCATAGTGGCCATACTCATGTCTTTCAAACTTGGACCATATTATGAGTGTTCAAGCTTGTAATTCCTGAAAAATACCAATAAATTTCTTCAACTATCATCAGTTTACCTCCAGAGGAGGCTACTCTTTCATGGCCAATCTTGTTCTTCTCGTACGGGCTCATGGGCTGAATACTGTAATGTAGTTGCGATAAGGGAGATTTCTCCCGGCATCTGCAAGAAAACTGTGTGGCTTTTGAAGAGCGTTTACTTTTTTGGTTTAATCAAAAGTGACGATTCATGTATTTTTTTTCTCAATAGATGACCCCGATGCACAATCCGATTGACACGCGGGAGGACGAAATTCATGTTGCATCTCCGCCTCGACAGATGGCTCCTCCTCGACAGCCGTCTCCGTTTAAGCGGAATAATTTGCCATTGCCACAGAAGCCGTATGTGTTCCAAACTTCTAACTAAGCGTTTTTGAATTTGTGGTTCAACGTTGAAACCAGCGTTTCTGACAATGTTTTTTCAAGGTTGCGTGAGAAGCCCGCATCCGTTTGTCTTTCTGAAGAAAGCGAAGACGACGCAGAAGCGAAAGTGAGGAATTCATTGTACTCAATTTTCGCTGGGTTTTGTATTAATGTCACCGCTCCTTTTCAGGTCATTTCGAAGCCTGAAAGCCGACCGGAAGTTTTGGCGCGGTCCACTGAACGATTGCCTCCGAAAGAAGCTGGGTAAGTCATTTAATTTGATAACTTCGTTTTTTATTTATTAATTTTTCACTTGTACTCGAATGACGAAATCCTTGTCCAAACTACTGTATTTGGCTTATTTTCGCTGTTATATTTCCTGACAGGAAAATTGAAATTCCGGCCGAAAGGCAGACCGACCGGATACCTCAACCTGCTACAGCTCATGGGAAAGGAGTCTCGCCGAATGATGGTGATATGAAACAAAATCATAGCTGGAGTCTACGAGCCTTTCTGGATCCTGATGATGGGAAAAATCGAGCAGCTGCGAAGGTGAATAATCGTCGATTTTCTCGCATGAGAGATTGTTTTTTGCGGTCCTTGATTTCTTTTTTCCAATTCATTTTTTGATTCCACTTTAGAAAAATTTATTCGGAAATTCTGACTAAACTATGAAGATCGGAAGGGAGAACTCGTTAGAAAAATATGAATTTCTTGAACGTTCCTACGGTAGCAAAATTGTAAGATATTTTCTTGATTTCTTTAGTCCAACAGTCCGTGTAATCGTTCTTCATACCGCCACGATATTTGTTGTTTATTTTTTATTTTTGCTCGGGTCGTCGAGCTTTCTGACTTCCTTTGTTCATCTTCTCTTTGCGCACTATTCCTTCTGCTCAATGTGAACATCACGATTTTTGACCCGAACAAGCGCAGAAGTATGTTCCCTTCTGCGTCTGAATGTCCGACGTCTTTCAGAATTACGAGCGCGTCTAATTTAATAAGAATTAATCAAGTTAGCACGAGAATGATTTCCTATAAACTTCCTTCGATCGAATACTGTCTAAAATTCTTGGGAGAATCTCTTCCAGAAATGCGTATACTAAAAAAAAAGCCTTCAGAGAGATGTACTGTAGTATATTTTCAACGGAAATCCACCTGTTCTGTCTTGATTCTGCTGAAGAAAACGGAAAAAGTTGAAAATTTATTATTTGTTCGAAAACGGGGATGAAAAATTTCTGATGTCATAGAATCTTTATGGGATCGTCACAGATGTAAGTCAATCTTAATATACAGTATCAAGAAGAAGAACAGCGATTGTACAAGTATTGAAACAGAAGGCTGAAAAGGATTGTAAAAGTAGGTTACTTCAATGATGCTTGCTATTTTTGTACTTGTACTTCTGTCAAAAAAGCTTTCGTGTGTTCGAGTTCATCTTTTGCAGCCTCCTGTTCTGATGTTCGGTCTTTTGTCCGCTTGATCCTTTGACCCTTACTGTCCACAAAAGCGAATACTTGATAACTACAGGCTGCAGAAGTTTTGGTCGGTTAAGGCTAGGTTTTTGATACCCGGATATTTGGAACGTGATTGTTTGGTAATTGCTCCTCGGTCTACCTGCTTTTTTTTAGTTTACTCTTTGTGCTGTGAAAACCGATCGTGTTCGACATTATTGATGCTTGATCCACTCTGAATCCGTGACATTTTTCGCTTCTCCCGGATAGAGTCCACCGGCAGCGCCAAGTGCGAGTTCCACCAACGTCGGCAGCATATTACCCATGCTCAGTCCGATCCATTCGCCGATGCCTGTAAGTAAAATACGGTCAGCCAGCGAGGACAAACGTACGCCCACGCGCCGTAGCCGCCGCACCAGCGCGCGACGGTCCGCCGAAGTAGAATCCGTCCCAGTACCGGCGCCCACGCCCGTTGCAATAACGAAGCCGTCCCCACGGGCCAGCAGTAAACTTTCCACCGATTCACCATTTTCTTCCCCGGCGGCGCATAGAAGACGGAAACAGCGCAAAAAGCGCGGTGCTTTGAACCGTGCGACGAATCGCGTCTTTGCCGAAGACTCTTCGGAAGACGAAGGGAATGATGCTGCAGGAAGCAATAACGAAGGGTCGGTTTCTCAGCGACGGAGACGCGTGCCGTCGGCCTCGGTGACACCCGTCGTTTCTGTGAATCGACGACCTCAGGTTTGCGAAGTCGCCTTTTTTCTTATGCATCAATAAATTTTGAATCGTCCCTCCGGTTTTGAAGTTGGCCGAATTGACGCGAAGCTTATGTAGTACAGTATTTGTGTATTCACGAGAACATGAGACACCCTAGATTTTATACAGGGTGTTCTTTAATTTTTATCCCCTCGATAATTTTCTTTTCCGAAGACTTGCTGACCGGATGCAAATCTTAGATTTGCTCCCGGATGTGTCTGTAACTTTCCTGCACGAGGTGTACAAAACGGTACACCAATTTTTAAACTAGGATTTATTCTCAAGCACCACGCATTTCAGTGGCAAATCGCAAAATATGGTTCAGTGACTCTCGGAAAAAAACGTACCGTGTTAAATTTGCGAAAAATACCTTCACTGTATTATGGTTTTCAGGATATTTCAGGAAAATCCTCGTTCTTTAAAATCTTAACTTTCGGTATAACCTATTCGAATGGCTGGGTGTGTTATTTCCAAACGTTTCGTGCTGTTTTAATCAAAAGATTTTCGAAAAATCTCATTAAATTTACTCTTAGTTAACTCATAGTTCACTTAATTTTCCCACGAAACTATCTCGACCAGAAGTGTCGATTGCCACGCTTCTTTTGAAGGCTCGACTGCTCGTGTGAAAATCCGCTAAATTAATTTTCGAAGCATGAAAAGTGAATGTATTCGCAAAATTCCGATTAATTTGTTTTTATTTCCACGTTTTCTTTCTTTCTTCGGAGAGTCCTCGATGGTTGGTCATGTGCTATACCAAAGCAAAATTTCATCGTCAGGTCGGTCATAAACTCTGGGATTCGTCTTGTACTGTCGGTTGCGTCCTAGAACCTTTTTCGACCCCCTCATGAAGTATTTATTCATACCCTAATGTAAGAAGCACCATTATTTTTAATCAGTCAAGATGGTCAAGTGTCGTGTATTTACATATACGCGATGTGCTAAGCTCAAAACCGTCAAATTTTCTGTGAACGACAAATTAAGGTACAGTATCCCAGTGTCAACAGTGTAGTCCGGAGCGACATCCTCTTTCTCTTTCAAATGGTATGTGCTCTGGGCACTGGCCTCTTGGCTCCCGGTGACCCGCTGCATGCACTTTTTTTTATGGATGACTGGATTGCTGAAACTGATCTAAATGAAAATGATTTTTAATTAAACTGATGATGAATAGAACTAATTTTGAGCAATCCAGAAAAAAGTGCATGCAGTGGGTCACCGGGAGCCGCGAGGCCAGTGCCCAGCAGCGCACGTGCACGTCGGGAGCCCCGCTGCATCCTATCTTGCCAATTTCCTTCCCCTTTCTCACCCCCTCTTTCGAAATGTTGGGAACATGTGCAGGCTCTCCAAGACAGCATGAAGTTCTCCGGTTAAATTATAAAATCCTGCATTTCCTTCATTCATGCGAACAGCTCTCCAGAACAGCAGCTTAATAGAAAAAGTCGCCTGACAACATTTTTGTGTGTGAAAGTTTTCATTCAATGGTTCTTGTGACCATTCCGTGGCACTTGGGACCATAAAACTACATACCATTTGAAAGAGAATTGAACAAGCTTTCATTTGGTCTTCAATCATTGCCACAGCTCAATTTGCTACCGAGCTGTTTTAAGTAAAAAAAACTGTTCTCTTTTTTTGGCCCACCCTGTATATGAGACGATCGTGCGTTTTCCTAGCTGTCCTAGTTCTGCATATTCTATTGCTATCTGTGAATCGTAAATGATCACGTGTTATTAATGCAGTGTTTCCTGGCATTTTTTTATCATTGACTCGACGTGTCTTTACGTGATTTTAGACTGGAAGTGATGACGATGACGAAGAAATTCAGCGAAACTTGGTGGATCGCGCCGAGGCGCCGCCGTTCTTGCCGCAGAAACGCTGTGGTCGAGAGATCGCGCCTCGGGCGGGCAGGATGTCGTCACCGTGGCAACAAACTTACCCTCGACACCAGTTCTCGCCGTCGACACAGAGCGAAAAGGTTTCATCGAAAAAGAACGATGATGACGAGGATTTGATGGGAACTTCCACGCAATCCCCGCATTCTGCAAGGAATAGATTCAAAATTGGTGCTAAAGGTAGTAAAACTTTTCACTTTTCCTGCCTTCGTAATGTCGAGGAAGCACATGTATGAACTGGAGTACCTCACAAAATGTTATCGCTATTTTTGGATCTGCTTTTTTATTGATTTTTTTAAATATGATCCGACATGTGTTGCGTAAATCTTGGAAAAGCATTTTGTCGCTGGTGTAGCTGATTTTACACACAAAAAATCTTCGTTTTTTGCAAAATATACGGTGTCCGGAGTAATTGCCTTGCGGCGGAAAAAGAAGCACATTTTGTGACCTGCCCATCGCGAGTTAAAAGCATGCAGATGTTCATCACAATTGGTATTCTATGTCTTCCTGAAAGTCAAAATGTTGAACTGAACAGACAAAGAAATATTTATCATGAAAATATATATTGTACCCGTTTATACACCCTGAACCCTGCCAACCGCGGTATTCTACAACGGAAACCCTCTTGTGTCCTGAAGGGAACGCAAAAGCTGATTTAAGTGAGATGTGTGTAAAATTTCATTTTAGTTACCGTAAACATCTACTCATGGTGAATATTTCGTCATTCTTGGTCTCTTGGGTGATGGAAATGTCAAATTCTTCCTTTGGATTTAAAATCTTACTCTGTTTCAATACTTCTGTGTCCCAAAATAGAATCTGTTCTTCGTGCCTTTTTAGATCGCGGATTGAAATTATGAATTTTTCAAGCCATCAAAATTTCCGAACAAATTGAATCCCGTTACTGAAGGATTTTCTGGGCTGATTTTTGTTCTCAACGCATCAACATCTCAAATGCATTCGATGCCTCTGTATTACTGAATTTTTTCTGATGATGCATCCTTTGTTTTCAGCCAAGAAGAAACCCTTTTCATCTTCTTCGTCTGCGGAATCCAGTGACGAATCGCCAAAAAATATAGACAACGCAAAAATGCACATAATCGCGAGGCTTTTTCAGCGGAAAACGGAGAGAGCCGACGGACGCGGAACTTCCGAAGAAGCCAAGGAAGAAGTCGAAGGTGATTTGAATGTAGTAGTAACTTCTAGCATACTCTGATTCTTGTAGGTTCTTCAGTAGTATTGTATCAGTTTCGTCCAAAAATTGATAATCTTATTCTTCGACGTGGTTCTTTCTTGTAGTTTTCTGCATCACGATCGAATGGATCGCTAAATGACTGTCTTCCGATTCTATTTAGATAAACGAATGTCTTCGCGGGCCTCGTCTTCTCGGTCGCCGAGCAAAACCATTGATAAGGGAAGAAAACGAAACTCGGAATCCATGCGCAAAGCACTGGATTCTGATTCGGAGTCTAGCTCATCTGCGCCATCCCCTCCGTCCACCAAGCCGAAATCTGAGTCAGAATCTGACTCGGACGTTTCCTCGTCATCATCCTCTTCGTCCTCTTCCTCAGTGTCTTCATCATCATCATCATCGTCAATTGATGGGCAGTCCTCGGGTCCGTCTCCGGCGAAGAGACCCGCGTTTCAGCAACGGTCCTCGTCCAGAGCTAGTAACCCGATCTCGTTGTCGCCGATCTCCACCAATACGGAGAAGTCTGACGGGGATGACAGCGATAAACCGTAAGTGGCTTCACTGATAATGGAAATTTGTCAAGAAAGAGTAAAAAAAAAAAAAAATGCATCAAGATCAAATGATTGCACTACCTTTTTCCATAATTCCGTTAAAGGTCAAGATCCATTAGCGTTTGTTGAATCTTGTGCCGTAGAATTCAGAAATACTCGCTTACTGTCTTTCACTTTCAAATTTTGCATAAGTGTATATCGGTAATGTTTGTTAAGGCGTCGTAAAGCAAGGTTCTTCTTAGAATCTATGACACCTTATATTCACGTGAATAATGTAAACCTGGATTAGTTGAATCGATTTTTCCCCCCGCGTGATTTAAGAAGACGAACACTGTGTAAGGTAATTGCATTTAATGATGAGTGATGTCTTCCTTGGCATGCGCGAAATTTATTGTTGAGATCTGGAGACAAACGTGAAGAGATAGAACCGTGTACATAATTAGCGCAATTTCCATTTTGCTAGTCTGGATCGTGTAGATGCGCCACCAGCGATGAAAAAGCTCTCTCTACCGAGTCCATTATCTCCACTCTCTCCACCATCTTCCTCTGATTCCGGCTCATCTTCTTCGTCGCCAACGCGAATATCTCGGAAAACCAAGCAGCAAGATGAAAAACCTCTGCAACGGCCTCCGAAGCAGCAGAAAGTTCAACAACCACAACAAAGCCGCGCGCAAGTGGAGCAGTCGAAAACGCTTACCAAAAAGATTAGTGATAGGAACTGTGATGAGCCCGGACGAGCGAAAACGCGACGGAAGATGACCTTAGCGTCCATGGCTCGTCGGGAAAGTGACACCAGCGATGAAGACGAGCTAGAAGACGGTGAAGTGTCGCCGTCTAGTCCTGACGAGGAGGATGACGTGGAAGAAGTCAAAGCCCCCGGGTCCATCTTGCGAGGTAGCGAAGAGTCGAGTGACGAGAAATCCAAGCCAAGAAGGACTCCGACTTTAAGTGTAGAAGCGAAGCGTAAATGCGAAGAAAATAACGAGGAAGAAAGCGGCGCGGATCGGGTAAAGGAGGCAAGTGCGAGTCCTGATCCGCGTAAGCGACGATCCACGGGTGTGTCTTCAGCCCCTGCACCGACGAATCCGGGGATTCCGAATGGAGTTGTTCCCGATTTGCGGGTCTCAATTCCGTTGAGTCTGTTGAGAAGCATTCCGAAGCCGAGTCCCAGTCTGGGCGTTCCGTTAGACTTGGTGCAACGTTTGTGGATTTCCTTCGATCGAAGGTAACGTGGTCCTTTCATCTATTTGATCTTTGAGTCACGTATCAGCCATTTTTTGTAGTTTTTTTCTTCTTTCGATTTTGGGTTTGTGGTACCTGCACTGATCACGTTTTCCTTCGCCCTGTTAACTCTGGGAGGGATGAGCATTTGATCGTCAGTTTTGAGCTCGTATTCGTTGGAACTTTTTTTTTATCACAGTGCCCACTGCTCTGCCTGTGTACAATCTGGTTTTTGACGCATTGCTACGCTAAAAATGTAAAGAGATTTCTCCGTTTTTGGCGTGTAAGATTAATCTCTAATTATGAAGGATTTTTCAAATTAGAATCCGTGTTGACCGATTCAATTACCTGATCAAAAATCATCGTTACCCAGAGGATCTTCACGGTTTTGACACAATGCTTCTTGGAATTTTTTGCTTTAATGGAGGCCTTTTGGCAAATAATTTAAAGATCCTTATCTTGAATATTTGCATGGTATGTTTAATCTGTGTTTTGGGGTCCCGATTCCAAAGTTGTTTACGAGTGCCTCTATGGATAACCGTGAATAGATAATATTTTTGCTTCTTTTCCCATTAATACACATTAATTCACATTGCTTACCCACTTGCTATTTTATTTTATTTTCTTGGAGCGACTGCGGACTTCTTGCTCTCTTCAGATTGAGAGTCTTTAATTTAACCTTACTTCTGTCAAACAACCGAATGGAACGTTATTAAATTGAACAAAAATTGATCAAAATTCTGACGACACGTTCTTACATGCAAAGACGTTTGTATTAGTTGCTTACTTGAATGAATAATTTCGATTTTAGATGTGTGAAGCTCAAGGCAGATCGGGTTGAGCCCGTTATGGCGCCTGCCGATTCGGCCACAGATCCTGACAAGCTGCCACCACAGGCAGCTGTGGAAGCTGATTGCTGTCCGCGCTTCCGACACCACCGCCACAATCACCATCACCATCGCGATCGCGATCGGCATCATCGCCGCCGCCGCCACAAGCGGCGAAGCAGTGTCTCAAGCTCCACCTCGTCGGACTCCACGTGTAAGAGGCATCTCAAGCGAAAGAAGCACAAACGGAAGCGACGGCATAAGCGACTCAAAAGTGCGGATAAATTTGGCTCGTCGGACTCGGACCGCAATTGCAGCTCGAATCCAGATCCAAAGGACGGTACGATAGGTGGGAGCGGAGTGGACGGAGGAAAGAAAAGTGGTGGTGCGGTTTCTGCGCATTCTACGCCGAGGAGGGACGTGGAGGCGGATTCGAGCACAGCGAACGTATTGTTGGTAAACGGGGTGGAAGGAATCATGGATGCTGACGCTCGGACGAGATACGGGAGTGATATGAAGGACCAAGTGGTGAGGCTTTTTATTTAGGACTTCAGAGTTTTTGGGTTTACACAGGGGTGCTAGGATATTTTCGCAAAAACTGTTACTATTACTGTACAGTATTTACCCGAGTACCACGCGCACCTTCCTTAAAAAAAAAAAACGGGAGCAAGAATAAGGTGCACGTCACAGTGTGGTAAAAATTTTTCGGTAAATTTCCAAGACTTTAAACTTTCTCCCCACTTCAAATTTTTTTAAGTGGGGCAAGAAGTCCGTTTTTTAAGATTCTTTGTTATGCATAAGAAAAACATCAACATCGATGTCAACTTGTAAATGGACTTTTGTTTAGATTTTACCCCCATATAGTTTTTGAAATACCCTAACAACTTTGTTTTTCCTTTCCTAGATATCTCTATATTAGGATTTGTTTGAAGCAGAGTTTCACTACATTTTTAACGAAAGGTCCTCTTCGTGCGTTTACTTTCTATGGAGGAGCATGTCTGGCCCATAGTACAGTATACCTATGATAAACCCAAAACGAATATACAGTATTCTTCTTTTTAATGACTTTCAGTTACTGACATCGAAGTGCTTGCCGTACAACTCAATATAAAATTTAGAGTGAACACTTTTCTTCTGCTCCCTGGATCAGTATTAGAATCAATCGGTTCTCCGAAGGAAATGTGCCGAAAAGTCCATTGAACTATTCTGAGAAAGTTCGGGTTCTGGTCCATCATCCGACAAACTATTGTGAATAAAATTTGAAAAACAAAGAAAACAAATCGACGTTTCCTCTTTTCATTGAAGAGGGAACACATTTTTGCGATTTCTCTTGTCAGACAAAGGGATTGAATAAAAGTACTTGTATGTGATTCCTTACTGTTCTTCTAGTATTTCGAACAAGCAAGGATGGACGTGGATTCATTTCATCAATCGAAACCGGACTCATTACAGCCGCAGCCAAACCTGACGGGCTACAAAGTATCCGCTCGACGAGATGGCCTCTTGGGAAGCGTGATGGACGACGATGACCCGAACGGCGTCCGTCGGTTGGGGCCAATACCACAGCAGCAGCAACAGCAGCCGCAGTTGCCGCCGTATGATTCACTTCACCGCGCTGCGGCGTATGGGTACCTGACCCCGACTCAAGGTTCCGTGGGATACCATCCCATGAACCTGCATCTTCACGGTTACGTTGATGGACGCTATGATTTGATTAAACCGGAACCTGGGGTTGCGAGCTTCTCCGGAGGTCCGCACCCGGGTTTCTTCGAGATGCGACGAAGACAGGCAACGAGGCTCAGCAGCATGCCGGACAGCGAACTTGGGGGGAGGTTTGTTGTTTTCTTTTCTGCCCGTCCTTCGCATTTATGGTTAGAGGCTCATTGAGTTGCACGGACACTAGTGACAAAATGAAGATCATTGAATGTACTGTAATGTACATTACTGTATGATGTCAAAGCTCGATGAGCCTCTACCATTTGTTGATGAAATTTGTGGCGGTTTAACGGGTTGGCTGTTGAAGGGGGTTGGTGGTTCATCAGAAAAGCTAAACTACTGTGAGAATTTGATTTATTAGGAAACTTAATTGTTTTCCTTCTAGAAAACAATCAAGATAACCGTGGGATGCGTAAATTATATCTAGCTAATGTTCCCAAGAAGTAAGTTATGCCTCCTTTTTTCGATCAACGAAACTTGAATTTTATTGCCGGGCTGTCGAATAAAAAATTAATTTAAAGGAGCATAATCAAGTCGTCAATAATTTTGGCATATAGCGGATGACGTTTTAATGGGGTTTCCAATGCTTTTATCATTAATGCAGATCTGTCTTTCAAAATACATCTAAACCGGGTTTAACTGTACAGTATTTTCAAAGGATACGCTGCTAAGGCAGGGTTAGCTTTTTACTTTTTATTTGTGCCAACTGCGGTGATTCCGGATACTCACCTGGCAACACACGTGTGAGGTCTGAAGCTTTTGTTTTTAGGATTGGTTTTCAAAGTCTGAAGCTTACGCTAGGGTTAGGCTATTCAGGTTTTTTGGGTTTGTCACTACTTTTTGTGACTGAGTGTCCCAGAAAGTTTCAGACCGAATTCCGAAGAACAGCATTTCACTAACCGCCGCGAATTCTAGAAACCTAAACTTGATATGTTAGAAACGAATATAGTGACAGTGTTCTTCGTTCGATTGTATCTTCATGCGCGGTACTTGGAATTGTCATTTGAAAGTAGAAGAAAAACTCACCTGTGCGAATAGTTCTGAAGGAAGGAAAAAATGTCCTTCGTTGTAAAATCTGTGAAAATGATGAAATGCTATAAAACTGAAGTTGGGCTTAAAGAAATGTTGACTTCACAGTTTTCTCGAGGATGCGAAGCGGTTGAAGAATAAGGCGGATGGCGAAACTGATAAAAATCGTCAAGTGATGATCTACATGGAAGCGGTGCTCAAACACATGTTAGCAGCGCTAAGCATGGAGAAAAACCAAACGGCGGAACGGAGTTCCGTTAGAATGTATCAAGATACGCTTAGTCTTATTGAGTGAGTACATTTTTATTCTTTCCAGTCGAATGTGCTCATCCGCCGTAGTTGTTTTTTCTAGGTGTCGGTTTCTCGCGATTCAAGGTGATTGATTTTGATAGAGTTTTCTCTGTCTGATAATTGTCAGTAGGTGCAGTCAATCGGTTTTTTGGTTGGGTGTCCCCTCATCTTTCGAAATGAACCTTGATTTATTTAAACTCCGGACTGCGGTGAGGATAAGGAATAGTATGAGAATGAGCTGCAGACGCGTAGTTTGTACTTCAGTACTGATTTGAACACGTTAGTGCTCAAACTCAGCGTCGAAATGTAAACCTAACGAGGAATCTACACCCGAACTGTTGTCCAATTTTTCGGCGATTTTTCTTCGATTGACCACTCGACTGCTGCCATTTTTGTTCAACACTGATGCTTTTTACACTGCGGATTCTTGTCGAAAAGGTTTAATTCTGAAATTCGATTATGGATGTCAAATGCAACTGAGAAGTAAGGTTTCATCGAAAACTTTTTTCACTTTTTGAAGCACCGATTGTTTTTTGAAACGCAGGAAAACTGAGAACAGAATGACTTTATAAGCTCGTCACAAAATCCAGTTTTTGTACCTTCAGTTCTCTCACAGCCTGAAGGGGTCGAGTAAACTCAGGCTCAGTCAGAGTGAATTTAGCATCTAGATCGCGTCTGTTGATTGATGACAGTGAGCAGTTTTGATATTGACTTACAAAATATTTGATGGGACTCCCGCATATTTTTGCGTTCGTCACGATATGTGCTTCCGAGAAACTCTGTGCGTATAAGTCTTCTTAAATTTCGAGTCGCTTTTCGGAATTCTTGAATTTTCCCCTGTCGCATTTCCGCACGCACAATCATGCGAGGACCCTATCAGGTGATACTTAGGTAATGTAAAATCATTCCTTCGAAGTGTTACAATCCAAGAAAAGTTTAAGAATCCCTACTTGACTGATCAGCGTAAAGCTACGAGGAATGGCTAATCCGTTGCGGATCCTGTGGACATTTTCTGTTTAAATACTGTACTTGAATAAATTGCTGGATAAATATGTGTTCAAGTTTAATTAGAACATAGACAAAATTACGTTATTTAAAAAAATGAGCACAATGGGGGACGCAATCGAGGATATAAGATCTTCGATCCACTTGAAAAATGATTCTGGCAACCACATTCCTCACAGCAACTTCAGTTGTTTACAGGTCAATCCCTTCTCATTTCTTTACTCCGGTATCTGAAGGAAGGTCGAGTATACTCTGCAAAAATCGGCAAAACCTCAAGTCTATTGAGTAAAACAAAACCGTTTTGCGAGGCGTTCTTAATCCCGAGAACCACATTATTTTCCTTCGGACCGGGAGCCTGTAATAATTTTGCTGAACGTGATGGATCATTTGTCAAATTTTCAAGGTCGAGGCCAATATGCAGACACTTGAGGTCAAAATTGATGCACGAAGGAGCGACGGGTCCGAGCTCAGTGGACGCGAAATTGTACATCCTCTGTCTTCGGTCGCGGTCGTTACTGAATCTCAAGCTCTTCAAACTCTTCAAGGTGGAAGCTCGGGACAGTCAGCCGTTGGCTGACGACCATTTCAACAAGGTATGATATCACCCGTGATTTTGGACGAGTGACCATGTTTTCGATGAAAATCAACTAAATCACGACTCAAGTTGTGCGACGACACCTGCGCAACATTTTTGGAACCCATTCTTTTCATGAGTGCCGGTTTCCGACGATATTCTACCCTGGGAGCACAGGCTTTAATAACGTAGTGCTCTTTCCTTCGAATACCCTTTGATAACGCCGTTCGAAATCCTTTCAGCTGTCGATCTCACTGTAAAATATTGTACTTGAGATTTCAGTTCGCGGTTGGAAGAAAAAGCTGTTCAACTCAGGAAGACCCTGGGTCTTAGCAAACATTTCAGTGAAGAATTCATGTGTTCGCGAATACAGTATACAGTATTTGCAATGCTATACTTCGTGAGAACGTTGATGAAATGAATGAAATTTTCAGGTCTAATAAAATCTCGAGCTTTAACGTCGGAATTATAAAATTTCAAGATTTTCCAAGAAACTTATTGGGGAATATATTTTCTTTTTGAATTCGCTGGGCTTCTGATGCTATAAAATGCTTCTTGTTTTACAAAAAAATTTCTAATCTTCCATCATGAAAGTAGTTTTGTCGGTGATGATTGAACTTCGAGCCATTTGACGATTTCAGCAGTTTTTGAATGCAGAATTTTGAATGGATTTAAATTAAGCGTATGGCAATGTTGTCCTCAATGGAGTAAGCAACCTACGCAGCCGAGTTTTAAATTCTGTACTGTACAGTTTTATCAATGTTCCTTTTTTCCAAATGTGGCGTGCTTTTCGGGTAATAAAAATTAGGAACGTTTTGAAGCTTTTTCTGTGATTTGACGAAAGATAGTGTTTCTCCTCCATCGACAAGAAGAAGAAATTACTTTTTTCCTCTTGAATCGTGTAACTAAAGGGGCAACAAAATATTGGTTCATTTTCCGTGTTTAGAAAGAACATAGTTCTGTAACATCTGGCACATCAGAATATAACTGTAGTGTAACTTGTATTCGATGGTTTTTTGTTGTCGTTTTTCGGTAATTCTTTTTTCACACTAAAAATGGCGTCTAATTTTATTGATTCCTGCCTATGTTCTACTGGTGGAGAGGTTGGGACATTTGCCGGCGCAAGGCGTAGAAAAAAAAGTGTTCGAAACAAAAACTTGAATCCAACATTTGGAAATGCATTCCGATTCGTTTAGTCTGTGAAGCCAGAGAGCTTGGCGAGCCTGAGTGGAGCTTCCGGGGGGTCTCCCGTGTCACCAAGCCCGTCACCTGCCAGTTCCGTGGGCTCGCAAAGCTCGGGCTACGCGAGCAACGGCGGCGGTGGCGGCGGAATGGGAACCGGGGCTAGTGGGGCGCTGACACCCGACCGGGATTCCGCCTCCGCCGCCCTTCTTCATCCGCACCATCAGCAGCACCATCACCTAGGGCCCGGCCAGACGCGACCGGCGCCCGTCGCGATGCACCTGTCCGTTTCCGTTCCGCTGTACGTGCACGTCGCCTTGTCGCAGCTGAACACGCTGCACAAGTACCTGACGGCGGCCTTTGCGTTGTGGGACGAATCCGACGACTTGATTGAAAAAACCGGTTCTTTCGGTCAGTGAAACTCTCCAGCATTTTGATTCCGCCGCGAACGGTGTACGTAAATGAGAAAGATTCTTACCAATTACGGAAGAGAATATGTTCGTGTACATACCATAAAACTTAATGAGAATTAGTTCGCAGTGTGCATGGTAAATCACCCAATTGTTTCGTCAAGTTGATGAGTGGTACTGTACAGTGTAAGACCATGTCTAAAGCCTGATCGACGACAAGGAATCATGCATCGATTCGAACCCATTGAAGTACTCTACTTGAAATTTCTCTGCCAGAATCTAACGAATTTTTATCTTCATAAATTTTTTTCTTATTCCGTTGGCTTTATCTCGAATTAAATTTTTTTGATATCAAATTGAGTTATCGCCGAAAGAAATAGGAAATTGGGGGAGAAATTCCGTTAATATCAGCTATTTTTGTTTTTTAAAAAAAGCCGTAGCACACGTTTTGGCAACCTCGTCTAACAGCCCTGTATCGAAAGAAGAACTAAACAATATTAATAAATAAACAATATACTGTACACTTGTACAGCATATGCTGTACATATATTTTGGACGTGCCATCTAAATTGAGATAGTAAAAATGATAAAATCTTAACGTGAGTTTGCAGTTGCGGGTGTGTTTTCTTTGGGAATTAGGAACAGACCAAGGAACTTACCCCAAGTAAGTTCCAGGGCGATCATTTTTTGGACCGAAATATCCCAGGTCCCAGCTCATCCCTTGAAACGCACACTGAAAGCAATCGTAAAATTCCAAATATTCATCGATGCATTCTTGAGCAAAAATCATTGAACAAGTAAAGGTCTGTCGGGATTGTTGAGGAAACGTCGCATATGATCTATAATCAATTTATGTTTCACCTGCGTGATGTTCCAGTGACCAGGAGTGGTGGTTGAAGAGTAAAGAACCATATTCATTTTTATTTATATTGGTTGAAAGAAAAAATAAGCGGGTGCGTTTCTTATTCAAACGCTTTTCGATTTGATACTTGCCAGATTGTGTACGATACTACTTCAGTAAAAATGTCCACTGACTCGTAGTACAGGTACTATCTTCAGTTAGAGACAACCAAACTTAAAATCCTGATTTCTATGGAAAGCATCGGAGGAGATTGAACTGGTGACTGAAGTGTGGGGAGAAACAACCCTCTTCCGATTATGCAAAAATCAAATGTAATGAAAGTGTATTCCAGATTTGCGAAGAAAGTTTTTTTCTCGAGGCACAGAAATGAAAGTGCGCCTTGACGTTGAATGAATTGTGTAGCCGGTCTGGCCTATGTTGAACGCCTGGCTAATGACCGCGCGGAGTAGGGAGAGTTTCGTGTTCTACACTCTACACAGTCTACAGGACAGGAAAACTTATGTGGTGTATTTTTGTCCGCAGGATTTTTTGTGGAGCTAGAACGGAAAGCTGGTCCGTTGTCACTGCACTCATCCATGCTGGAACTTGTATCCTATGTTACCAATGGCTTGGAACTTGCCAACGACTTGCTGCACCAGCAGGAAGAAGATCTGCTGCGCCAGCCAGCCAACTTCCGGGGGTGACGCAAGCGCTACCTCCTCGCGGAGAGGGAGATCAAGCGATTCGGAGGAAGCAGAGAATGATATCGCCCGTTTCCTGCTTTTTTCCCCGCCTGAGCGGAGAATTTTCTGCGGAAACCATTTTTATATTGCCAAAATTGGATGTGGGTGAGAATGGAGAGGTTGGGAACTGCACCTTCTTTTTCGGCGGGGCAGGAAAGCAAGTAAGTCTGGCTGCGTTTTTCGAAGCGTGCAGGTTGCCGCCGTGTCTGTTTCGTCGCAAAAGAGTTTTTTTTTTGTAAGAGAAGTTGGGAACATAAGCAGGATTTTGGGTCTCCTGCTGTTTCGGTGCTGCTTTTATTTTTCCTCGTGTTCCCTCAATCATCTCGCCCTATCAGAAAGAGTGACATTCCTGTCTTTCGAGAGGTTCAGTTTTGATTTCGTTGATCCCTGTGGTCTTCGAAGGTTGACTGCGAAGAGCGTTGAACTTTTTTCAATCTATTACTGGCTTCGAGGGAATAATTTCAATTTTTCTCTAATTTATCTATGATCCAGATGCGTACTCCAAGTGCAATCAACTCTTGACTTCTCAAAAACGTATTCATTGTTGAATTGAAAAAATAATATTTCTATTTGGTGGTTGAAGTCTTTAAAAATATCTTCGTTTACCCTTTTTCATTCTTGTGACTTGTGAGTCCCTAGCCGTTTTACGTACCTAGTTTCTCGGAGAATATGGCTGAAGTTTATCAAATTTCCCACAGAAAAATGGAGCCGGGCTTATTTTGTGTGCACCTTTTGCCTGTTGAACGGAAAATCTCCCTATTCTCAAATTGCAAAATGACAACCGGTTAATGTCGTGGAGGTGAATACACATAAAATTTGTGTACTTCCTTCAATTTCATTTAAATGAATCCTTATATTTTCTCATTTGCTGCATTACGTTCTAATTTTGGTGTCACGTTTTATATTTTAATATATTTGCTGATTTACCTAGCCATTTTTTGTCCTGAACAAGAATTGTCTGGGCCGGGTTGTGGTAAGGCTGATTGTTTCAATCGGTCATGCATTCGGGTAATGATGTCTAAAGCTCGCTCACTAAAATGTAAGATGTGTCTCGTGCTCGTGCGCTTGCGATCTTTTTTTTCTTTCAAGTGTCGTTGCGTTAACTGCTGAAAAGTTGGAACATTTCACCGTAGCTTGGGAAAAGTTCAATGCTCTTGATCGTTTTTGTTCCATTCATTAGAATCTTGTGAAAGTTGCGCCATTGAGTTTAAATCATTTTTGGGGGAGAAATTATTACGAGACACGCTGCTAGTCAAAACAAAATTTTTACAGGGGATGGAGAGGAAACTTTCGGACAGAAAACATATGTAGAAGCCTAGAAGGTGAAGGATTGTTTTTTTTTTTACACAAGGGGGCCAAAAGATCATGCGGAGACAACGAGAAGGAAGAAGATCTGGGAAAGAAAAATTGGGATCGTAGATTTTTGTCGGTGTGTGACGCTTTTTCTTTTTTGACGATTTTGAAAAATAAAACGGTGTGGGGGAATATTTTTTGCCAAGAGTTGGAACTTCCAGGGAATCCGTTTTTGTGTTACGCTCGGTGATTTTTTTTTTATTTGTATCAAGTATGCGAAAGAGCACTGGGAAAATTTTTTCGTGGGTGACAAAATTTTGGAAATTGTTTTTTCCTTCTTCTCCGGGAATACTCTAAAAAATTCGTGACTGATTTTTTTATGCCCCGTTTTTTAAGAAGTGTTTTTTTTTTGAGTTTGACTAAAATTCGTGTGTCGCCTCATGGAAAAGGACTTGGGAAAACAACTCGGGAGCCCTTTTATTTTATTTTTCTGCCTTGTAAAACGTTCAGCGTCGTATCGAGCCCGCAGCCTGAAGGTACTTCATAGCATTTGTTTCAAAGTTTTTGATTTGCTTTTATTTTTTGTACAAACCACGGTTGAAGGAAATGCGGATTCGATAAAAAACATATTGAGGATTTGTTTTCTTTCAGGCTTAGGCTACGTGGCGTGATTTTTTCTCTTTCTCTCGGGACGTGGGGGGCCTGGACGGTTGCGTTGGGGTGGTGCACCACCGGTTTTATGCGCCACGGTTTGAGCATGTGTGGGTAAAACACGGTTGTGTGGAAGAGTCCAGTTCGGTGCCTGTCTGGGGTAGGCAAAGACTGTGCAGAAATTGGTTGTGATCTTTTTCCTCCTGTTCGGATCAGCAGAGTTCCTTGAAAACCTGCGAAACTTCCCAAATGATTTACCAGAGCTTTCATGAAGTTTTTTGTGTTGCCGCAGTTTTTATCCTCTTTGTGGATTTGTTCCGTCAACGAAAGCTTGCCGTGGTTCCATGACTTATTATATGCATTCAAGTGACGGAGGTTGGCTCAAAGTATCAGTACTCGACCGTGTTTCCCTGAAATTATGCCTAATAGTGTTTCCACTTAAACAATAATGTATGTTGCTGCTGATTGCGTGATCTGCATACTCGTTGTTAGAACAGGTACATTTCAGATATGATTCCATCTTTCCTGGACATTACCATTTTCAGCGTAAAAATTGTGAGTATAGATCAGTGCTGTCCAACCCAAATGTGGCCTAGGGCCACATTAATACATTTTTGTGTCCAAGGGCCACATTGCAGAGGTGGAGAGTTTTTGAGGGCCACGATAGATAATAATGTCGATGCCCCAAATGTTCCCCTTTTAGAATGTTAAATTGAATTCCGTGCAATGTATTAAATCACAAGCATAGCTTAATAGGATTAGATGAAGGGTGGAGCAACATTTTGAATTTTTAAATTGATCTTCCAATATACAGTACAGTATAATATGAAGAGTGGCAGCTGCTACCTTGAAAGTTTTGGGAAAATTACTGTGGGATAGATGAAGAGTCTCTGCAGCCCATATGTTTCACAGCACTGGTGTAGATCAACAGCAAATGTAACTGCAACATTTCATGTAGGTTCTGTATTTATTCCTTCAAAACATCACTATTATTTGAATTCCGGGTTGAATCGTGCTGGCGTTGCGTGAAATTTCGTCTTTTAATTACTATACCCCCCCCCCCGATTCACATTAATTTAAATTCGATGTTCTTTCTTCTTAATTCTTTCTTGATACAGTTTTTAAGATTTCCCTGTTTTTAACGTGAAAGATTTAGAAATAAAGTGGCACATGGAGATTCTCAATTTCTACAAAGTACTGTACATGATTAGATGACTGAAGTGTCTTGTTGAAAATCTTTTAATGAATTTTTGGATTGTGTGCGTGATGCCAATTGCCAAGTGAATCAATGTGAAAAGATGTCACTGGCCGTCAGTTTGTAATCTTTTTTTTTAATTTTCAGTCCGGTATTTATATCTCTCAGTGCTGGTTGATTAGCGTTTCTGATATAGCTGCAATGATTATGATACTCCGGTGAAAGAAATGCCATTGGGCTTGCATGTTTGATTGAGTATAATTTTTTGGGGTATGACTTGAAGCAACTGATGTAGCCGAAGTTTTGCTAACGCTTTGTTTTTATTTTGCTGTTAGGGTCATATTTTTGGGAAAACACGGTGCGTTTGACCGAAATATTTTATTCCGGTTTCACGTTCGCAGCATCGTGATTACAACTTCCGACTTTGTTTGAAGATATTTCTTGCCAGATGATGCATTCGTATGACGGTGCTTTCAGCGCATGCAAATTGTTTGATGTAGAACATAACCTGGTTGTTACGGACAATGCTTTAAAAGGCTTCCGTGGTTGTGCGTGAACTGCTTCCTATATGCGACGTGGCTTAAGTTCTGGGTTTTTTTTTTTCTCGATCCAGATTAATCGGTCGCACAATGCATTTTTGAAAGATTGGGATTCCCTCAATCGTGGCACATGCTCAAACCGTGGCGACGTGTTTCATTGAGTGTGACTCCCGTGCGCTTGTGGAGTGGCCGCAAAGGCGAAGCTTACAATCCCGGTTTCAGATTGAATTCCCCTCCGACTGATTTTTCTTTCATTTCGTTTTCATTTAACAACAAACAAATGATGTTCTCGTAATGCCTTCTTTGGTGCCGCGAAAGAAAGAAAGTTTCAATTTCTGCGCGGAATGAAGGAGAAAGAAAAATACGTGCTCAGTTTTTTGGCGCATTTACGAACCGAAATGGGCGCGAGGAATTTGGTGAAAAGAGAAGGTAAAGCAACACTTGCCGCGTTTTTTTAGGTTGTTTTTTGCCTGACCTTTCGATTTGATCCTGTTTCGGTTCGAGATGAGAGTATTCGCACCCTTTTATTTTTATTTTCGGGTTTTTTTTGTCCAACATTTGAGGGATGAGTTTTTTGTGAGATGATGATGAGGCGGACTTGAGGAATCTTGCGCTGCTTGCTGCTGCTGCTGGAAGAGAAGTTAGTGAATCGATTCGTGCTTGCTATGTTGTGTAAACATCAGTCTCGCTCTGATTCACGGGACTCGATTATGGAATAAAAGGGAAGAAATATCGTCTGCAATCAAAACGCAGCTTTGATTGCTTTGGTTGTCTTTCTTTCGCATGTTTTGTGCTGGAGCTCACGATGTCTGATTTGTAATACAATTTTTTTTTCGCACATTCAGCACAATGACTGATGTAATGCTTCAAGTACAAGCGCCGATCTCTGTAGAAAATCCGGAAGACAGTGAAGCGGCGCAGTCGATTGAATGTGACGGATTTTTTATGAAATGTGTTGTTTGTGATAAGTCTGTTCATGAAGAAGCTCCCATCTTTATGCCTTGCTTACACGTCATGTGTAAAGCCTGTTCCCCGGAAACGAATGACCAGGCTTTTGTCATGCGTAAGTTCCTTTGCCTTTTATGATAGAAAGCAACTTATATTCTGACAGCCGCTTCTACTAGGCCTGTGTGAGCGATGTTCGCAGCCCTTTGATATGAGAGATACATTGCCGGCCGAAGTTGTTGATTACATCTTATCAGCGAATGACCGATGCATTAAGAGACCTTCTTCAAAGACTGCAAGTGGAGAAAAATGCGAAGTCGTGGCATCGAAAGATGAAGCTATGTGTGAAATCCATGGCAAACCAACTGTGGATCGCTTCTGTCATTCATGTGGCGTTGCGATATGTGTTTCATGTCTGGATGCGCATTCGTAAGTTATCATTTCTTTAGTTCCACTTGACCATGTAATCAACGTTTGTCCAACAGCTCTCACAATGTCATAGTGTTACGAGAAGAGGTCAAGGTCACGGATGAATATGAAGAGGTTTTGAAAGCTTGCGAAAGCGTGAGACAGAGTCTTCGGAGTGATTTTCAACTCTTGCGGGAGAACCAGCTTCAGCTTGATCGTGGCCTTGAGAGGGCGACATGGGGATACGATGAGGCATTACAGGAAGCCTCGGAAGCGCTGCAAAAACACGGAAAATACTTACTGCACAAAGTGTCGGACCAGATTTTGGACAAGTTGTCAGCATTCGGCGATCGAAAGACATTGTTGGAAGGGGAACTCGCTGAGGTTCACAAGACATTGTTGGTGGCTGAGTATTTCAAGAATAATGCATCTCCGGACACCTGGGCTAGAATGGAGTGAGTGTACATTTTGATTACTGTTTCGAAACCAATCTTCATTTGCCTTTATTGTCCAGAATTGCTCCCATATACTTCACAAAATGTCTGGAGAAGCGGAAAGAAGTTGCTGCAATGTTGAACTCCGACTTCGAGAAGCCTATGTTCAAAGTTGTATCTGATGTACAGAGCATTGTTATTGGTGAGTCAATGTTTTCCACTTCGGATTCTGCTAGGAAATGAATATTTAAATCAATTGCAGTACGTCGTGTTCTTTATAAATTGATCAATCAAGTTTGAAAGTGCGGTTTGTGTCGAGAGCAAGGTATTTGAGAACCTCAATGAAAAAAGGTTCTGAAGGAAGTAGCGGGCAAAAAAAAAATTACTTGTAAAATTAGCAGTCTAAATTCATTAGAAGTCCCACAAAAGCTAACACCAAAAGGGCCAGTGAACAAATTTAGCACTTCATCAAAACCTCAACGGATTTTTGAAAATTCTGTTACTGTTTTCATCTGTGCGCATTTTTTTCTCTTGCTCTTCTGAAACTTTTATCCTGAAATAATTCTTGAATGTTCTGGAATCTGAACAATCGTAAGAGTCTTGTCTTTTGAATCATTAAGTCAATTCGCTCGAAATAATTTTGGTTCTTCTTTGATCCACATGAAGAATGGAAGAATTGAAATTCGTGTGATACAGTAGTTCCTTGTGATGAAGATGTCTTTTGCCGGTTAACGTGAGAGATCAGTGCATCATTTCTGGTTCTAACTCATAGTCACATGTTCACAATGAGAAGCAATTTAATTTTTATGTGAAATGGCTAAATATTGATGCAAATTTTTGTCAGACTGCGATGTACTTTTTTTGGGACTTCTTGGACTTGCAAGACACTTTTTGTTCATAATCAAGCTGGGCTGCATAAGATGAATAATTTCATTTTTCTGTCCATCGTATTGTGTACCCTTGCACAGTACGGATTCTTCCATAGTAATTTACAGTATAATTCAAATATAACTAATCTTTTGCTAGCATTTTTCTTGGCGCTGGACATGATGTGAGCTATAATTATGTGCATCTTCCAGATTTATTGGAACAGCTGGGAAGCTTCAACTTCTTTGCGAATGGGAAGCGACTGACAGTTTTCCGAACCACTCCGGGTGGACTGTATCCTCAGGAAATATTTGAAAGATCGCTTGTTGAAGAGCAGAAAGACGCACTTAGTGGCAAAAACGATCATCTGCGCGACCATATCTCTGTTCAAGAATTTCAAAGAATATCTTCGGCTGGTGCACTGAAACGCTCTGGTTCCATAGCACCCTTGAAGGTCCCTGATGATGTATTAATCATTGACCCAGCCCAGCCCTCGGGTAGATCAACTGTCGCAATTCCTGCGGAGTCAATAATTAATAGCTCGCAGATTGTAGTAGGATCACCGATGACCAGTGGTTCCAAGTTCCGGCATATTCTTCCATCGCCAGCATCAGGGGTTCATCTTGTCAGCAAGAGTAGTAATACACCCAGCAGACTCGCAAATTGTTCCAACGTACGAATCATCAGTCCCACTCGGCTCACCAACGGATCATGTGTGCGACTCGTCACTAGTTCAGCTTTTCAAGCATTGCGTCCCGCGATCCCGAATACTTCAAAAACTCTGCAGACGTCGATTGGATCGCAGTCATTGAAGAGCTCTTCGGAATTGCCGAAGCATCCTATCAAGCTTATCTCTATGGGGACCGGCACTGGTGCAAAATTGATGCAGGTGTCCCCAAAGTTGGCTGCCCAGATTTTAACACAGAGGACGTCGAGTGGCGGCGGAGAAAGCGTAGCATCCAGCAAAGAAGGAACCAAGAATAAAGCTCCCACCGTTTACATGATCAAATATGACGGGAAGAACGCTTACCTAGAGACTGCTCCAGTAAGACATTTTTTTCTTCTTCTTCATATTTCCGAAGTTTGATCGGATTTCCAGTTTTGGATATTTCCAAACCCTGTGAGAGCAAAATTAGTGGCAAAATCCTGTGTTGCTTGGTTCAGAAAACTGTTACATTGAAGCTGCTTGCCTGATATGAAGTGGAGCATGGAGCTTTTAGCACGGAATTTTGCTGGAGCAGATTCTGAGACGCATTTTTGTGGTTGATTCAGACTCCAACCCTGAATTTTCTTTTTCAAAAATTGTGTTATGCAAAAGATCTCAAATTCTAAAAGATTATGAAGTATTTTTTACCCAAGAAATCCGTGATAGTACTTGAAAGCCTGTATCTCAGCAATATTTGCATGAACTTGTGAAATTTCAAGTAATGCGGGCAATTCTAAGGGCATCTGTTTCTAAAATTCACGATTTTTAGGGCTGGAAAGTGCAGCGTTTTTTCCTTTTGTTTCTGTTCATAAAGCTTGTCTCAATTGGAAAAAAAAGCAAACTGAAGTTTCAGCTTCCTGAAGCTCATGACTCTTTGTCCAGAAAATGTTGTTAGTTTCTTATTTCCCTCCCGAGGAATTTTGTTCTGGGAGTATTTGGTTGTGCAGACCTTTTTGTTTGGTAGGGACGTGCAGTACTTGTCCTGGTTGGAATCGATTTAAGAGTTCTTGTTTCACACACACCATTGGAAATCTTGTCATCAACATTCACTGTTCTTACTGAAGATGAACCTGGATACTGTAACTTGAACCTCCTTAAATCAATTTGCTTTCAAGTCCTTGAATCTTGAAAGCAATGCATTTAAAAACTACCTGACTCGAAGGCTTTCCCTTTGAAACCACCATAACTTGAGTTTTCTGGGTGCCTTTTGACGATTACTTTATTGACACAGAACAAAGAAAAGCAGTAAAAATGTAATTTGTATCAAAAGGAAGTAAAGGACTATTCGGTCAAAAGAATCCTTGCTTCCAAGTTCAGCATCCTTTCAACTCATTTTAGGAACAATTTAAAGCCCAGAACATCACCAATTACAATTTCTGGAATCCTTTCTTTCCCATGGCAGAAATTCTTGTTTCCCTAATTTTTTGCTGGTCCCTTGAAATTCGACTGAACCGAGTTTCAACTGTATTTTCAGTCGCAAATGGTTGCTGGGGCAAAACGACGTATTATTTCGACGAGCTTTGCCGCAACTCAAGGATACAAGGTGCTGAAACCAAGATCAGTTGAAGCTTCTCCTGTGGTTGACTCATCTGGCACCTCCACAGAGAAAGCTGAAGAACCTTGTGAGTCTCCCCTGGTTGGGTTGGTTCTGAAGCCTGCAAAAGAACTTCCTGCGTTGCTTCCAATTCCGCTCGAGGTATGAGTGATTTTCCCGTAACTTGTTTCTGGTGGAAGTTTAAGAAGCCTTGGAGCTTCCTCAAGCTTTGTTGATCGCTTCATTTGCAAGAATAGTAATCAAGGTTTTGCAAATTTATTTTTGACCTTGTATCTCGATCGAACTTGAGGTATGACAGAATTTCGAAGTCAAGAGATTTGCCCAATATCTAGCCAGATTTAGTCGGAACATATTTCCATTGCCTAAGACTCGTTCAAATTTCTTTTTCAACTCATGAAGAAAATACAGGTTGGGCTAAAATAATACGAAGCCACAACTGGGGAGGAATATTTCCCTTTTATAAATAACAGCGGTTTCTCGCTACGCTGAGTTGAAGACGTCTCGATTGGAATAGAAAGACAAGAATGGTTGAAAAACTTGATTATTAGTCACAATACCCAACTGCGAAATTTTTTGTTTGTTAGTAAGTATGAAAGAATTGCTGCATCAAACAACAAAGCTGCACAGAATGAACGAGACAAATTAATACCTTTGTCAGTTACTGATTTTTATCATGTCCCACCCCAGTCCTCCTGGTTGGTTTTCAAGCTGAAAGAGCAACTTCTGAGAGTAGGTCGTTTGAACTTGTGAAAACCTGACTGGGAGTGGGTTGAACAGAGACAAAACTCGAAGGTTGAATAATCTTTTTGAAACGAAAACAGTTCCAAAATTTCCGAAGTATCTACACCGACATCAGCATTTTTGAGATTTTCTTTTCGAATTCACCGGAAATGCTTCTTATTGTTTGGAGTGAAATTTAATGATCAGAGTTTGATATTACGGTAATTCCGTAGCTTTTGTACGCGAAATAATGCATTACGGAAGGAAGCCATTTGGTGGAACTCTCGTTAATGTAACTTAATGTAACATATTTTCAAGTTCATTCATGAAATAAAGTACTACGGTTCATTCGTGAATAGCCCTGGTCAGAAAAGGAGACACATGATACACTTGCATGTGTTTGAATAAGTGTAACGCCGTATGAGCTTGAAGAACAACGGATGATGAATGAAACCTGAACAACGTTTTAAAGCTTCATTGTTTCTTATCGTAGAATGCAATACAGTATACAGTCTTTTAGTTCTAATGGAAGCTTTTGGGAATTCGAATGTTTCTTGTTTTGAAAGTTGCATTGAATCTTGTAGTAAGTCGGTGCAGAATTTTCCGCGCTAGATTTGAGAAAACGCGCTTTTTCTCAATTTACCAAATTCGTGATTGCGGATGTGACTTGCAGTGATATCTGATTATTCTCCGCGATTTTCGTCCACAGAATCCGACAGCCGAACCGATGCTGATAGATCTGGTGGACGACGATGATCATACCTCCATTCCGCAGTTGGATGAATGTCACATTTGTCGGAAGAAAATTGAGGACGTGCAGCCAATCAAATGTTTCGTTTGCTCTTTGGCGTTTCATGCTGACTGCCACGTGCCGAAGATCGTTCGTGATGGGTGAATCCTCTTTTGCACTCTACCAACGTTTATTTTGATGGAAAAGTTCCAGAACTAGAGAAGATGATTAATCAATTCTTTTTAACGACGATATTGTGTTGCTTTTCCTGTCCCCATTTATTTTTTTTGAAGGAGATATCAGGCACTCTCTTTCAGCAAGAATTCTGGAAAATTACCTTGAAGAAATTGAATTAGTTTTTCAACAAAATATATATCCATGTAAGGGAAGGATTTTAAAAATTCAAGTCCCTGAAATTGCTTGATTCCATGCTGATCAGTATTATTAACCACGAATAGAGGTGTACAATGTCCTTTCAACTAACACTCATTTATTTATGCAGTCATGGAATTGTCTTTGTTATTCATTTCCAGAAATCTTGGTATTCGGGGAATGCCAAGTTTGTGTTTATTTTTAAATATCCTATTGAAGTACAGTACAATATGTGTTGGGGCATCCACCATGTCTAATTGATTTTATTCAATGTTCGAATATTAGCACTGCCTGGCGATGTCTCATGTGTAGAGCGCCTGGAAGAGAAAAGCAAGTGGAAGGCATTTTCATGTTCTTGAAGGAATTGAAAAAAGTAGCCAACGGAACAAAGTCGACGCTGGTGAGTCGAGGACCTTTTCCTTCCAGACCGTGATCTTTGATGTTTTCGTGATAAGCTGAAACCTCCTATAAAATTGTAGTGTTGAAGCATTGCGAGAGATTGGAATAGAGTGTTCCATCACTAAGGTCGTTCTGCGAAATGTTTGCTGCGTTAGTCAGGAATTCCTCTCCAAGGATTTTGTAAAGACCCATCAATTTCTTATTGAACTTTGAGCATACAATATTGGCACCAACACGGAAAATCTTTATACAGTTCTGTACAATAATTACGTAAAATTTAAAATTAAATTATCAATATGATATGCGCATCAGCATTTGTTTTGTTTTGTTGGAAGATGAAAGTGTCCTTCTTTTGAAGAGATTTCACCATCATGCTGCAAGTGGGAATCTGGCAAGAAGTTGAAATGAGAACTAAATGATTAAGTTGAAGAAATTTGTTGACTGTCAGATTCTGGATCATTTTTGAGAAGTGCATTGAACTTCGCATTTCAGGAATTTCTGACAAGATTTTGATTATTTTGGTGTTCCACAGAACTCATTGTTGCTGTCAACCTTCAGCGCCATGGTCAGAGTGCTAAGAGAGAGGAAAAGCTTGCCCTGCGACGAATTTTTCTGCGATTTGTGTCCAGTCATGGTGTCTTGGCAAGACGTAAATAATTTGGTGAGTGATGATCTGTCCAGGGTGATTCTGAAGTCCTGCAGGGCACCTAAAGATTGTGATGCCTTTCTGACGTTTGGTGTCGATGACCGCACTGGCATTTTTCCTGAAGCTGCACTGCAACTGATCCAGCGATTTTCAGGAGTGATTTGATCTAGAAGTTTCTGTGCTGAATTTAAGGAAAAGGACCCTTTTTTTGGAAAGAAATTTTTTCGAAATTCGTGAATGCTGATATGACTGGCAATGATGCTTAATTATTAGCTGTTTCTTCGAAGACGTTTTCTTTGGCTTCACATGGAAAATCTGTGATGTTCAACCGAAAATTTTCCAAGCCATCATATAAATCTTCATGTAGGCGTACTAATTCAAGATTTACTAGCATCATTGATGTTTTCCCCGGTGTTTCTATTTTTCTGACAAACCAATGAGAAATTCTTGATATAAGCTCAATGGGTCTCTCCTGCGTAAAATCATCCCTACACGAAAAAGCGTAATTTGTTCATCATGTGGCTCTTGGTAAAATGAGTTGCAAGGTTGTATATGTCAACTAAATATAAGTTGCTGGAAGTGAATTGGTTCTTGGGTTTTCCCACTTGGGCGCGACCTTGGTTTTTTCTTAGCAAGTCAGTATGAGTAAGTATGACTGTAAAAAATGTTGATATGGCCCATGATGTTGAAGTTGCTGTGATTTTTTTCTGATTTTTAAAATATTCTTTTCAAGTTGTTGCATGATTTTAAGTGAACTTTCCGGTTACCGCCGGAGAGATTATGGCCGTAAATTTAAAGAAAAGTTAAAAAAAAAACACACGGCACCTTCAACATCACAGGCTACATCATATTCTCGATTTATTCATTTTTTGCGGTCCTACCTACTATAGAAATAAAGAAAATCGCGCACTAGTGGGATAACTCTCGTACATCAATTCAGTTATTGTGTAATTCGCGCTAAGTATGGGTTTTCTATCTTAACTCGGCGTTGCCGCTCAACATTTCCTGTATTTGTATATAGACGGTGAACCCGGAGGGACTGAAGCTGTTCGCTGCGAAGTACAATATAAAGCTGGTTGCAGAAAGCAGGAAATTACCAGAAACGTGAGGAATTTTTCAAGAAGGGTTCAAGGCTTTCGGCTGTTCTCATCAATTTGCTGAAACCATAATTTCTAGTATTTCAACCACTCGGACCGAGTGCGTTTCTGACACATTTTTCAACTTTTTTTTATTGGTGATGAGGAATTTTAAGAAAAAAGCAGATGCGATTCTTCGGCAGATGCAATTGATTTGAGTTGTTCGCGTTATTTTTCGACAGGACAATTGTTTTTGGATGCTGGTTTCTTTTGTAATTTCCGCCAAGTTTTCATTCGGCATGGAATTGCGTTAGTCATTACGAAAATGTTATGGAAATTCGTTTGAAACACTTTGCCAAACAATTGTCATCAACCCATATTTGGCATTTATGAAGAGGATGGTTCAAGAAGTTGGATTTATTTTTTTAAACGGGGTTTTCCTCATTTGTGTCCATGTTGCCTGTTCCAAATGAATTGCAATTTCAATGAATCCAGAAAATTCTTTGTCTTAAATGCAGTGCTCAAGATGACTGCAACTCCTTCAGACTTCGCAATGTATATTATGTGGAGAAAAGTAGCAGTTGGGGATACAGTAATTTACTTGAAGTTACAACAATTCTGCTGTTTTCAAGTTAGTTTCAAAAACAGGATGAATTACAACTCCTTTGATACACTGTGCATTCCTTCTCCCCAGGACATCTCTTGAAAACTTGACAAGTGGTAAACTATGATGGGCCCAAAAATGTAGGCATCATTACTTCTCAGATTGTGACGTCTGGATGTGGGATCACATTTTCCCATGAGAACATTTTAAATCACTTCTCCTGTTTGGTGAAAATAATGGACAAAGTCCTCCAAAAATATGTTTTCCAATTTTTTCATCAACTTTGGAACACAGAAAATAACTGTAAAAGAGAAAAAGCAAATGACCTGATCTTTTTGTATGATAATGAGTCCAAAAGGCTGTACATATTTGAATAAGGAGAGAAATTGTAGCAATTTTATGATTAAATTTGTTTTGACTTGATGTCCATGGTACTGGTTCAATTTGTTCAAAATATGTCAAAAATAATATTTTTGCATTCTTCTAGAAATTTTAGCAAAGTGCACATATTTTGAGACATTGTCCAGATGTGTGTCCATAATTTCAGCACTTAATATCAAATTGCCACCATGCCAGGGCCTCACTAGAGTATCAGACAAGGTAAAGGGCTTTAGGTAAATGTGCGCTGTGACCATACCCACAGCACTCTACAGGGGAATGAAATTCAGCTAGGGTAGCGGGTATTACATTGTTGGCCAACATTACATGGCAACACTAGTCTAGACTAGCAAACCCTACCAACCTGTTGCATATGTAGTTTCATAGAATCTCCCACTCCCTGCAGTGGATAATGAAGAACACATCTGTGGATAGGGCTGACCTGCAAAATGCTGGAGCGCCATAGATGGAGAAGTCGCCGGATCATTGGGGAAACAGGAACATCGCCCTTAGTTCACAGCGAGCGGAACTCAAGGAGCAAACGATATTCGCAGCAAATGCTGCGATTGTTCCACAATTTAGCTTTCTCCGCCCCCTGTGTCCCGATTCGTCCTTTCCGCGCTTCGTCTTCTTCATTCACCCTCCAATTCTTTTACTTTTCCTCAAAATTTCCTGTGCAGCCATAATGCCATTGAATTCACCTGGATCGTTCACATAAGTCGAAGAAAGTGGAACACAAAACCAGCGTCCGCAACAAACGAAAAGAGCGTCATTCTTGTAATAATCTTTTCCATGGCTACTGGTGCTCGACCTGCATGACGCATTATTTTCTTCATTTCAGAATATTGTATACTGTACGCTTATTATACCCAGACAACGCGAAACCGCTTTGTCTCTGGCGTTAGCATTAGTGAAACTCAGTGGGTCCTGCATACAACCAATAATATACAGTACACCATTTTAAAATGTTCTCATTTTTTTCTGCAACAATCAAGCGGGAGAAAGATTCGGTAAACTATGGGACGTTAAACTGAATTTGACAAATACATCTCGTGATTTAGTTGCGCTTACTCGTCCGTTGTCTTTCAAGCAAGTTCCGCAGTGGTGGGTAGATGTCACTGACAGTTCCGGTGCGTCATACGAGATTATATCAAAGGTAAAACCCCCAAGTATCTGCGTTATTTGAGCAATAATGTCTGAATAGAGAATCGGCCAAAGGAAAAAGTGCCCGGTATAAATTAATTTGAAATTGAGATGAAGAATCTAAAAAAAACTAGGATGCATTCACGAAAAATATATTACGCAATAAGAAAAGAAAATCTGCACATCACCAAATTATGCTGTACCATACCATAATAGCCTCAAATTTCCACAGCAGGGACATTCGTAACATACACAGTAAATTTTCAACTAAACCAGAGTACTGTATTCTATTTGGATGACATTTCTAAACCAGTGTTTCCCAAGAGTTTGGGCCCACGGATTGGCAAATAAAATATGATCAAAAATATGCGGAATGGCACATTAAAAAAAAGTTCGTGTTTTAGAATGAGCCCTCTTTATGTTTGTAATGGGAGGAATCCGTGTTCTACTCACTGAACAAGAACCACATCGGGGGTTCTTATTGATTTCAGAACCACATGAAAATTAATTTCATCATAAATTTACTGTAATTCTTCCTCAAAATATGCTAATTTTTCGCTTCTTCTTTTGGATTTTTTTGCATCATCTGTGCTGAGCATAGCAGAACTTATTCTTTGCTTTTTGTGCTTTTTATGGTGATGTCAAAACTCAAAAGAGCAGATTTTATGTGGATTTCTGCTGCTCAGTGATTTTTTTCTCATCTAAGTTGAGAAACACATTTCATTCAAATATTCGAGGGTTCATTCCCAGTTTTTGATGAACAATTAACATTTACCGTAAGTCAATGGGAAAACGTGATCTGACATGCGGACGCCTCAACATCGGGACAAGCACAAACTACATCCGCATCTCGGAGCCCCACTAAAAATTCTGCCGTATAAATTATCGCCTCCTGAAAGGCTTATTTTGGCAACATCTCTGATACTCAAAAAAGGAGTTTGCTCTTTTCATTCCACAAGGAGAGCAGCCAATTTTCCTTGGCTTGCTTTGTGGAATGAATCCATAATATTTTCTCACAGCTAGGAAATAAATAACTGTATACCCAAATTGACAGGGTCAATTATGTATTATGGACATTGATTCCTCATGATGCATTCTCCTTGCGGAATATTTCCAAGGCTAAGAGAATTTCATTGTCTCGGCATGAAAATAAGGGAGCAATGCCCAATGCTATTGTCCAGCATTTCTGACATTGTCTTCTAAAATTACGTCACACAATTTCTGATAGCCATTCTTTGTGGCGATAACATTTCAAGTCTAGTACGAATAAATTTCCCACTATTCATTTACAGTATGTTTGTAAATTGTAATGGCGAAATTGAAAAGCTGAAGAATTTGACAAGAGCTGATGCTAAATTACTCAAACGTTCGCAACGAAACGCACTTCGAAGCAAAACTCTTCTTTCTGGAAAAATATAACACTAGGCTGATATATCCCCGACATAAATTGAATTATTTCTTTGTGAAAAATCAGGCTTGAAACTTCTGGTCTCAATATGTAAAAAAATAACACGTGAAATGTCGTACCAAGTCTTTTCATTTTGGCGTAAAAAGAAAACTGTCACAATAATAATTTTTTGCATTGTATAACATTGCACTCAAACAGAGGAAACTGTTTGAACTCGCAAAGAGCTGATCTTGTTCTAAAAATGTATAACAAGAAACATTGAAAAACCTTGAAAAATAAAATTCGATCATCTGTTTATTAAAGTGTCCATAAGTCAAATCTGACAAGTTTGACTACAGACTCTAAAAAAATCTGTCCCAACATCTGACTGATGTCTCAAACTTTGGACACTTCAAAAAATTTCCAGAAATGTTACTTTTAAAATTTTGTTATCTTGTGAAAACATAGAGCTACTACCATTAAAAATAAGTCTAAAGAAATCTTCAATTTAAATTTGACAAATACTTACTTTCCAAAATAGAACAACTTTGTTCTTCTGTTCATCATGATTTTTCCTTTTAACTGTGGATAGTACAGTAAAATGTGTGCATGTCTTTCGTTGCCATTTGGAAAAAAAAGCAGGTGCTGTATGTTTTTTTCTTGGTGCAGTTATTGTATGAGCTTCAAAGCTGAGACAAATTTTCTATTAATTTTTTGAGAATTTTTTTCAATTGTTTGGCAAACACAAAATATTAAAGGAACCCCTATTGGGACCCTTAACAGCAAAATCTATCCCATTGACAAACACTTGAGTGATTGATCAAAGCACCCACCCAAGCATTGCCTGGATGTAGATGGCTATCACAGTTGGTGGAGACACGCAAGAGACCAGGGAATGATCCGGCATTTGGTTCTTGATTTTTGACCAAGGAAGAGCTCTAATTCATTTTTGGACTGACAAAATCTTGTGAAGTGTATTGTGTTGCAAGAAAATCTGAGTTATCACAGAGTAGAACTGAAATATAAACCTCCTGATTAAGAGACACTGGCCAAGGACTCTTTTACTCATTCTTACTGAGGGTTTGTACAGTTGTTACCTGATTGTGCTAGCATCCCTGAGATGACTTGCAACACAGAGAATTCAAAAGCACAGCCTCACATGCCTCCTGCGCAAGTCCCCAATCCACCAGCAGCTGCATTGTCTGCTGGGTCATCCACAGTGCAGGAATCCCTGACTGTCACACCATCAATGCTGCAGAGCCCCTCATCAATGGCAACTGCCTCATCAGTCAGTCAGTAGGAGGCCATCCCACACCTGATCCTTCAATACCTGACAGAGGTGTATTGTCTCAGAACACCCAGTGGGGCTGACCATGCAGGATAGGTCACCCTACTGGAAACTAATGGGATACCTCTATCTCTGGCGCATGGCTGGATTCTGCCACCCAGATGGCATCTACAACCGCTTGACCTGCAGATCATGCTGTGGGTTGTCCCCCAACAGCAGGAGATTGTTGTTGCGGGACCTACACCCCTGCCATGCCAACCAATGCAGTATTGTCTGCTGGGAGAACCACAGTTGGCAGATCTACTGCATTAGAGGGACAATGAGACCTTTGAGGACTATGCAGACCAGCTACATCAAACTCCTGCCATGAACAACGTTTCAACAGACATGAAGGTTTGGTGTCTACTAAATAAAACCCAACCCTTGTCTGCAAAGCCGCATCAGTTCTGTATGGATGTGGGATCCTCAATTTTAAGGACCTGGTTGCTGCAATTGTGGTCTCCCACACAACACCTCACCTGGATTGGCTGGACCAATTTTTCCATCTTTGACCTCAAAATGGTGAAAGCTTCATCAGCTTTGGGGGCAGGTTAGAGCATACCTTTAACTCCTTTCTCACTTCCCCCAGACAACTGGTTATGCTTGACACCACGCAGCATAAGATTCTTATTGATCAACTGATTGAGGCTGTCCCAACCAGCTTGCAAGATGAGTTGCAGAAGAAGTGGACAGACAACCACAACCTCACCTGGCCAGAAGCCATCACCAAAGGTTGCACACCCACACAACATTGGGCGGCAGAACTAGCTCCAAACC